ATCCCCATAGAAGTCAGTTGTTCTTGGTTCATTTGACTCCAGGTCTTGGCCATCGGGCCTAGGTCTTTCCATGAGGTGTCAGGGGATCTAGTGAGAGATATGTGTGGGATAGCTGTTTCCCAATGATGGTAGATATGTGTCATATTCTCTGGAAGATGGACTAAGATGAGCATGGTACCTGTGGGGTCCCATAACAAGTCAGTCAGGGTAATTTGAATTTCCTTGAGCTGGAATAACTCTTCCTCATAGTTCATATCAGGGCCTGGTCTGTCTTTAAACCATAAGGTGCAGTGAAGTAGGGCCTCTGATTGTTCATCATGTGGGGGTGCAAGTGCAGGCAGCTGCAAATCTGCTCGAACCTCTGGGTTGATGTCCAGGCTATACCAGTAATGCACAATTCCCCCCTTGGGAAGTGGCAGAAGAGTGGCTGGGTTCAGGGAGAGACATCGCTGAAGTTTCACATTGTCAGGTAACAGTAAGGATGTTTGTAGACGAAGGTGACGTTGAGAAGAAAGGTGCTTAAGTTGAACTTGTTGCAGGATTGCAGTAATGTCATGAGGGGCCAACACCGTGAGGTGGTGACCAAGAACAAAATCATTAGTCTTGTCCAAGAGGGCACTGGCAGCAAACACCGCTCTGAGGCAGGAGGGACTACCCCTTGCAACAGGGTCAAGCATGCAGGAAAAATAGCCAATAGGCCGCTGTCTTGAGCCATGTTTCTGGGTAAGGACTCCGGAAGCATATCCTGACTTTTCTGAGACAAACAGATTGAAAGGTAACTGGTAGTTTGGAAGGCCCAAGGCAGGTGCAGAAGCAATAGCTCTTTTCAGATTTTGGAAACAGGTAATAGCTTCTTCGGTGAGATGAAAGGGCTCACTCCTGAGGGCGTCATAGAGTGGCTGCATGAGCTTTGAGGCTTCCGGTATCCAGGACCTGCAGTATGTAATGAGACCCAAGAAGGCATGGAAGCTTTGCAACCGGCTTCAGCGAGGAAACATAGGAGATCTTCTGAGTCACGTTCTGCAATAAGTGAATCAGGAGCACAGAGAAGGAGATCATCAACATATTGAAGTAGGACAACATCAGAGTGAGATTTCTGCCAGGGCTCCAGTACCAAAGACATGGCATGAGCAAACTGTGTGGGGGAATTCTGGGCCCCCTGAGGCATGACAGTCCAGGTGTATTGTTGTCCTTCGTGGGTGAAGGCGAAGAGAAAACGGCAGGAAGGGTCAAGGGGCACACTGAAAAAGGCATTAGCTAGATCCACTACAGTAAAAATTGTGGCGGTTGGTGGAACCTGGGACAAGAGAGTGTGTGGGTTTGGAACAATAGGAGTGTCTTTGACGGTTACTTCATTAACAGCACGAAGGTCCTGCACCATTCGGTACTGGTCGGGTTGAGCTTTAACAGTTCTCTTTTTAACAGGGAAAAGTGGTGTGTTACATGGAGATGAACACTTGATAAAGGCACCTTTGGCAAGTAGGCTTTCAACTTGTTTGGTGATAGCATCAGCTTGTGCTGGCTTTAGAGGATACTGTGGCCTACGGGGAGGCCGTGCTCCAGGCAGGAGCTTGACCACAACCGGGGGCACATGTAAACGTCCGATGTCATCCGGGCCGGTGGACCAAAGTTCTTGGGGGATACGATCCAGAGCACTGGGGGTTTGTGAGACCCGTGCATTCCCTGTATTGTCAGTGAGGTTCAACAAGATGGGGAGGGAACAGGAGTGTCTTTTTGCGATAAGGGAGTTGTTAACTCGACTTGAACATCAGCAGTAAAGGTAATGGATGCCTGGAGCCGAGAGAGAACATCAGCACCCAGGAGGTTGATGGGGCAAGTAGAGGAAACAACAAACCGAGAGAGTATGTGTGAACCTACGTGCAGAAGTTTAGTAAGGGGGCTACTGCGGGGTGTACCATCCACCCCAACACAGGAGACATCGGTGTCAGATAAGAAGGATGGATCTGGCAGGTCTTGTTCTCTAAGAACACTACGGGCTGCACCTGTGTCAACTAGAAAAGTAGTTGGATGACCCTCCACGGGGAGAACTACAGTAGCTAAGGGCCCTCCCCCATCCCCCGCAGACACTGCCATGGCAGGGGTTGCTGACACAGGCTTGCCAGTTACCTATTGCAATAAATCTAAATGGGCCTGATCTGGTCCCTGGTACCGGCGGGAAGTGGAAGGGGGGTTATTAGACTGCATGGGAGAACGGGCTGGACGGTTATTGTGGCGGGGTAGTGACTGACTCTCTTGGAAATCATCTGTGTCAAACCCTTCAGCGGAAGCCGAAGGGTATGCACGGGCCTCTGATGCAGGGAGCCGGGCCTGGGTGTATTCAGGAGGAGGAGGAGGAAGCTGAGGCAACTGTGGATGGGGCAGGGCAGGGAGGTAACCAGTGGAGGGGAAGCTAAAGCCGGTGACATGTGGACTTGGGTACCGGGGAGTTTGTGGGCGGATTACTCTGGGGTGTGGGCAATCTCTTCTGAAGTGGGTTGATTACAGTTAAAACAGGTCCGGATTGTCGTGAAGGTCCGGTCCCGGGGAGAGGGAACAGATGCAGGCAGTGTCTGGGGTAACTGAGTGTATTGTTGAGGGAGTATCTGGGGAACCTGGTTAGGACTGGCAATTGGTGCGGAGGTAGTATACATCAGAGGGCTAGCTCTCCGCTGTGTGGGTTGCAGAACAGATTCTAAACCCTTGGCCACTAGTAAGAGTGTATCCAGTGGAATAATTCTGTACTTTGGGCGAGCTAAAATTAACCCCTTACGAATGTGCTCCCTAAGGCCTGCCACGAAGGCTGCAGATAACATCTGGGTGTGTGCTTTGTTATAGGTACTGAAACCTAAGTCTGAGAAAATCTGAGTCAGTCTAGAGTGATATTTCTCACTCTAGACTGACTCAGATGCCTGACACTCTGTAAATAGTGAACTTGCATATTGAGTACACCTGTAGTCAGGGAACTCACCAACTGAGTTACCTCACAAGAGGTGCTCCATTGGTCAATATGATAAAACAGAGCGCTGCAAGCAATCATCTGAACAAACAAAAAGGGGGGGGGATGAGTATAAGTGGTAACACTGCCAGTTGTGCCTGTAACCCTTGAAGGGTTGTGCACAGCTCTATATAGCATGTCTGTGATCTATATCATCCACTATGGTCCCCAGTAGCCTAACCTGCCAGCCACATGGGGCACAAAGCAAGGACAGCCTGAGGGTGCAATACGCCCAAGTCATAGCTGAGTCCCAGTCAAAGCTACAGCACATGTGCCTGCCATCGACGGAACTAATGCGGTAAATCTGGTAACAGGCCGGCCCCGCCCCCACCCGACCACGCAGTCGTGGGGAAGTGGTTGCTCAGGGCCGCCGCACTGCATGGGAAGGTAACCCCCCAGGGAGCAGTTATACCGCAAGCGGAAGCGTGGGTCGGGTGGGGGGGTGGAAGCAGAGGATCTCGCTTGGCTGATGGAGCTGGCGGGCGGGATCCAACACGTGGGACCGCTGGAATCTTACTCCGGGGTCCCGGGGTCGGCAATGGAAAGTGGTCAGAGGATCGCTTTCCAGCGGCCGCAAAAAGGAGGAAAAGTGAAGGGGGCAAAGCCACCCGGAAGAGGTAGACGGAGGGAGGGAAAAAGGAAACCCCCCCAAACCCGAGAAAAAAACGATCCCAAAACAGGAAAATGCAGAAAAGTCATAAGAGAAAACACATCCCTACAGCAAAAAAGTAGGGACAGGAAAATATAATCTAAATAAATAAATCATAACGGCAGTAGGAAGGTAAACACATTCTAAACAAATAAATCCCTGCAGCCATAAGAAGGTGGATGCAGAAAAACAGAGTAAATAAATCAATGAATCAAGCAATCAGTACAGCACTAAGCAGGTAGGTGAAGAAAATACAGTATAGCTAAATAAATCAATCCTTACAGCACTAAGTAGGTAGATGCAAAAATACCCTCTAAACAAATAAATCAATAGAGTAATAAACGTATAAATACAGTAAAATATCCACAACCACCCATATATAACAGGAGGCAGTGGTACTCTGACCTGTACTGACTGCGGAGCAGCAAAGAAAGAGGAAATAGTTAGTTGGGAGAAGCCTTTTATAGATTCCTGATTTTTTTTTTGTCTCTGGTGTTTTTATCTCTATGTTAATATGCTGCTGTGGAGTTCTAGTAAAGAGAGACTTAAGCAAATATTTGCCTCCTGTCATTAATAAAATTAAGATTATAGTTACACTAAAGCTAATATAATCTACAATTTGAGCTGTATGTCTGTTCAACCATAATTCACCTCTTTCATTTTAAGTACACCCACACTTATTATATATCTTTTTTTTCAGGGGAAACACGGCTTTCATTTCATTTATATCTGAAACATCATTTAATATGAATAAAATTAAAAAAAAACTTTGAGAAATAAACACATTTAGTTATTTTTCTGCATGGCATTTTAATTGTTAGTATCATAATACTGTTAGTTTTTACTGCAATAAATTACTCATATTTGTATTCAGCAATGTCTCACAAGTACAAAAGAGTTACAGGGTCAAATATAGAGAAGCCTCCTGTCATGCTATAACATTCCAGGTTTTGTTTACATTTTGTTTTGATCTCAACTTGTACAACTGACTCAGTCCTTAAGGGGTTAAGGGGTCAAATTCTCTAGACTTGCTGCCTGTGTTGCCAGGCAGCTCCTTCAAAATTTAATTAATAAAACGACTTAATTATGTGGAAAAATTACATAAATATACACGTAAAGTTTTATATATATATATATATAAATAAATATATATTTATATATATATATATATATAAAATCTCAATATCAAAATACACTCAGGATGGAATTACACACAAATAAATACAGTGAGGGGAAAAAATATTTGATCCCCTGCTGATTTTGAATGTTTGCCCACTGACAAAGAAATGATCAGTCTATAATTTTAATGATAGGTGTATTTTAACAGCGAGAGACAGAATAACAAAAAAGAAATCCAGAAAAACACAATTCAAAAAATTATAAATTGATTTGCATGGTCAATTAGTGAATTAAGTATTTAAACCCCTTCGACTTGGTGGCAAAACCCTTGTTGGCTATCAGAGGTCAGACGTTTCTTGTAGTTGGTCACCAGGTTTGCACACATCTCAGAAGGGATTTTGTCCCACTCCTCTTTGCAGATCCTTTTCAAGTCATTAAGGTTTCGAGGCTGACGTTTGGCAACTTGAACCTTCAGCTCCCTCCACAGATTTTCTATGGGATTAAGGTCTGGAGACTGGCTAGGTCACTCCAGGACCTTAATGTTTTTCTTCTTGAGCCACTCCTTTGTTGCCTTGGCTGTGTGTTTTGGGTCATTGTCATGCTGGAATACTCATTTTCAATGTCCTGGCTGAGTGAAGGAGGTTCTCACCCAAGATTTGATGGCATATGGTCCCTTCCATCTTTCCATTAATGTGGTGCAGTTGTCCTGTCACTTAGCAGAAAAACACCCGCAAAGCATAATGTCTCCACCTCCATGTTTGACGATGGGGATGGTGTTCTTGGGGTCATAGGCAGCATTCCTCCTCCTCCAAACACGGTGAGTTGATGCCAAAGAGCCCGATTTTGGTCTCATCTGACCACAGCACTTCACCCAGTTCTCCTATGAATCATTCAGATGTTCATTGGCAAACTTCAGACGGGCCTGTTCATGTGCTTTCTTGAACAGGGGGACTTTGTGGGCGCTGCAAGTTTTCAGTCTTTCACGGCGTAGTGTGTTACCAATTGTTTTCTTGGTGACTATGGTCCCAGCTGCTTTAAGATCATTAACAAGATCATCCTGTGTAGTTTTGGGCTGATTCTTCACCGTTCTCATGATCATTGAAGCTTCACGAGGTGAGATCTTGCATGGAGCACCAGACCGAGGGATACTGGAAGTTATATTGTGTTTCTTCCATTTGCAAATAAATGTCACCTTCTCACCAAGCTGCTTGGTGATGGTCTTGTAGCCCATTCCAGCCTTGTGTAGGTCTACAATCTTGTCCCTGACATCCTTGAGAAGTTCTTTGGTCTTGGCCATGGTGGAGAGTTTGGAATCGGATTGATTGCTTCTGTGGACAGGCGTTTTTTATAAAGGTAATGAGCTGAGATTAGGAGCACTCCCTTTAAGAGAGTGCTCCTAATCTCAGCTTGTTACCTGTATAAAAGACACCCGAGACCCAGAAATCTTGCTGTTTGATAGGGGATCAAATCGTTGCGTTTTACTTGATGTTATTCTGTCTCTCACTGTTAAAATACACCTACCATTAAAATTATAGACTGATCATTTCTTTGTCAGTGGATAAAGTTCAAAATCAGCAGGGGGTCAAATACTTCTTCCCTCCCTGTACATACATACATACTTCCTGGTTGGTGTTATACTGTTAGCCTATATAGCCACCCTAGAGCCTTGTATATAGAGCCTGACATGGCTCTATTTTTGTGAGTTTGATTCCTTACATTTTATTCTTTTCAATATTGAAATCTATTAAAATCAGCAGGGGGTCAAATACTTTTTCCCTCCCTGTACATACATACATACTTCCTGGTTGGTGTTATACTGTTAGCCTATATAGCCACCCTAGAGCCTTGTATATAGAGCCTGACATGGCTCTATTTTTGTGAGTTTGATTCCTTACATTTTATTCTTTTCAATATTGAAATCTATTAAAATCAGCAGGGGGTCAAATACTTTTTCCCTCCCTGTACATACATACATACTTCCTGGTTGGTGTTATACTGTTAGCCTATATAGCCACCCTAGAGCCTTGTATATAGAGCCTGACATGGCTCTATTTTTGTGAGTTTGATTCCTTACATTTTATTCTTTTCAATATTGATGTATTACAGAAAGCACTACTGTCCCCTACTGTTCTCGGTCTAGACTGCCTCCCTTGGTAAAATCATTGGCTTCCAATATCATTTCTATGTGGATGACGCACAACTCTATCTTTCTTCTCCTGATATCTCACTGTCCCTCTTGACACATGTTTCTGACTGTCTCTGATATTTCTAACTGGATAGCTACTCACGTCCTTAAACTAAACCTGTCTTTTTTTTTTATTTCTTTTTTTATAAGGGGTAAGAATACCAAATAGTATCATCATATTCCGGACATACCTACTTAGTGTCTGAAATTAAAGACACAGTAAAGACTGATTCTCTAAATGAAAAATTATAGTCTTTGTGCTAAGAAAGGAGGATTTCCTCCAATGATTTTAAATTTATGTTTTTCGTGTTATTATGTGTATGTTTCTGCAACAATGAGGAAAGACATTAAAGATTATGGGGTAGAGAAGGATGCAAAGATATTCCGAGAAATAATATGATAGAAATGCTCACACTTAATGTTCAAGGTATGAATACTATAGCAAAAAGAGCTCTATTATATAAATATCTGAGTGAAAAGCAATTAGATTTAATATTTTTACAAGAAACCCACTTGAGGCAAATAGATAAACAAAATTGGGGAGGAAAAAGATCCCCACTTATAATACACGCTTCTAATAAAGATAAAAAGAAATGTGGAGTTGCTATAGTATTTGGAGAAAAAATCAATGTTGAAATTATTCATCAAGTACAAGATGTTAAAGGTAGATTCTTGGTGATAATATGTAAAATTGACTTAAAAACTGTACTAGAAAAAATAGATGAAATTAAAGTGGGAAATTTAATATTAGCAGGTGATTTCAATGCGGTACTGGATCCACGGATAGATAAAAAATCAATGAAAGGAAATAAATTAAACCAAATGTGATGAAACAAGCTAAAGCTTTATTTGACATTTGGAGAATTTATAACCCTAATAAAAAAGGGACTATACGCATTTTTCCAGAGGTCATTTCTCCAACTCAAGATTAGACATGATTTCACACCATACATCCCAAGAATATTGCTGAACTGAAACAGTTCTGTAAAGAGGAATGATCAAGAATTACTCCTGACTGTTGTACACGTCTGATCTGCAACTACAGGAAACGTTTGGTTGAAGTTATTGCTGCCAAAGGAGGTTCAACCAGTTATTAAATCCAAAGGTTCACATACTTTTTCCACCTGCACTGTGAATGTTTACATGGTGTGTTCCATAAAAACACGGCAGCATTTCATTCTTTGTGTGTTATTAGTTTAAGCAGACTGTGATTATCTATTGTTGTGACTTAGATGATGATCAGATCACATTTTATGACCAATTTGTGCAGAAATCCATATCATTCCAAAGGGTTCACATACTTTTTCTTGCAACTGTAGTGCGTATCCGCCCCTATTTAACTCCAGATGCGGTTAAGGTGCTGGTCCATGCCGCTGTTTTTCTCGCCTTGAATACTGCAATCCGCTTCCTAATTGTTTTCACATATTCCCAACCTTCCCATTACGTTCTATAATGAATGCGGCAGCGAGGCTCATCCAGTCCCCCTGTACTAGACATGTGAGTGGTGGGTGGGGACCCTAAATCAGAATAAGGGGGGGTCCTATTATCCTCCCCCCTGAGCGGTGGGTGGGGGCCCTAAATTAGAATAAAGGGGGAGTACCTATTGTCCTCCCCCCTGAGCGGTGGATGGGGGCCCTAAAATAGAATAAGGAGGGGACCTAATGTCCTCCCCCTGGCCCCCACCCCTGAGCGGTGGGTGGGGGCCCTAAATACCAGTTGGGGGGGACTTAATGTCCTCCCCCTGGCGCCCACCACTGAGCATTGGGTGGGGGCCATAAATACCATTTGGGGGGACCTAATGTCCTCCCCCATGGCCCCCACCCCTGAGCAGTGGGTGGGGGCCCTAAATACCAATAGGGGGGGACCTATTGTCCTCCCCCCTGGTCCCCACCCCTGAGCGGCGGATGGGGGCCCTAAATAAAAATGTAACCCCCCAGGTGACTAGGGGTCCCCAACCCCAAGTCACCCCTCTCCCCCAAAAAATAACCCCAAACTACACCCCTCACCCTAAAAATAATGAGGGAGGGGACATTAACTAAGTACCTGTAAAAAAAAAAAAAAACGTATCATTTGATGTGTTCTTTCTTCTAAAATCTTATTTTTTCAGCCCCAAAAAAGGCCAAATAAAAATCCATAATAACCGACGCACTTTAAAAATAAATAAATAAAAAAAACGAGTGCAAAAAAAATAATTCATCTTCACCCATGGAGAGCACTGTGCAGACTGAGTGTGGTAACTTGTCTTCCTTGCATGGTAATTTATCTTCCTTTCAGGACCTCCTTAAACAGGTCTAGGTAGGAGGGCTAAGAATCTTTACTTCCCTCCCACAATTGCTAAAGAAAGTGATGCATGAACAGGATGTGATGTAAAACACATCATCTCAACTAAGGGTATATAACATAAGGCCAGGCTCAGAGCGCTCTGATTGGTGGGTTTAAGCCATCCAATCAGAGTGCTCTGACAGGTAAATGAAGAGACTGACAGGTAACTCTCTACATTTACCTGTCAAAGCACTCTGATTGGTTAGCTTGAAATCCACCAATCAGAGTGCTCTGTGTCATTTTACACAGCGTGGGAAAGTTCTTTGGAATTTTCGCACGCTGTGTAATTTGACTCATAACTCTATGATTGGTGGATTGAAAGTAACCCATGTATCCAACGCATCTGGTAACAAATTTAATAAATGCAATGCTGTATGCAGTCGTTTGTTCTGGTGCGGTGGCTTTATACATTAGCTAATAAGTAGAAATTTATTGTAAATGAGCAGTAACAGCCTTTTTTTTTCTTTTTTGAATATCCCTGTATGAAAATGGTCCCAGGAATTAAACACAAATTTCAAAATTTTTATTAAATCTCAGATAAAAGAAGAAGATTCATACATACTACCTTAAAGCTTAACATGTCCTATATAAAATATCAGTGGAGGTAAATCAGCAATGTATATTTTAACATTCTGACAAGTTAAGGGTTCTCTTAAGAACTAGCTGGTTTGAAATATCTGTAAGCAAGTAAATAAAGTATTCGTAAATGGTCTCAGCAGCCAACTATGGCCTTGATTTAATTAGTTTAACTCAATAATGTGCAATTTCTATGTACAAAGTTTTATTCATTGCTGAGAGTGGTCATCAGATGCTGTCCGCATAAAGAAATGGTATTTTAATTTTTAGATTTATCTGGTAACGAGTACGATATAGCACACAATGTAGATCATAGCGGTTTACATCTGTATCTGAACACACAAGACAATGTGTATTTAATTAAGCATATAGTATTGGTAGCTCTCAAAAGACAAAAATGTGATGAGTTTTTAAAGTATTAATGCCCACACGTTAGTCTGTCTATACAGGGAGTGCAGAATTATTAGGCAAATGAGTATTTTGACCACATCATCCTCTTTATGCATGTTGTCTTACTCCAAGCTGTATAGGCTCAAAAGCCTATTACCAATTAAGCATATTAGGTGATGTGCATCTCTGTAATGAGAAGGGGTGTGGTCTAATGACATCAACACCCTATATCAGGTGTGCATAATTATTAGGCAACTTCCTTTCCTTTGGCAAAATGGGTCAAAAGAAGGACTTGACAGGCTCAGAAAAGTCAAAAATAGTGAGATATCTTGCAGAGGGATGCAGCACTCTTAAAATTGCAAAGCTTCTGAAGCGTGATCATCGAACAATCAAGCGTTTCATTCAAAATAGTCAACAGGGTCGCAAGAAGCGTGTGGAAAAACCAAGGCGCAAAATAACTGCCCATGAACTGAGAAAAGTCAAGCGTGCAGCTGCCACAATGCCACTTGCCACCAGTTTGGCCATATTTCAGAGCTGCAACATCACTGGAGTGCCCAAAAGCACAAGGTGTGCAATACTCAGAGACATGGCCAAGGTAAGAAAGGCTGAAAGACGACCACCACTGAACAAGATACACAAGCTGAAATGTCAAGACTGGGCCAAGAAATATCTCAAGACTGATTTTTCTAAGGTTTTATGGACTGATGAAATGAGAGTGAGTCTTGATGGGCCAGATGGATGGGCCCGTGGCTGGATTGGTAAAGGGCAGAGAGCTCCAGTCCGACTCAGACGCCAGCAAGGTGGAGGTGGAGTACTGGTTTGGGCTGGTATCATCAAAGATGAGCTTGTGGGGCCTTTTCGGGTTGAGGATGGAGTCAAGCTCAACTCCCAGTCCTACTGCCAGTTCCTGGAAGACACCTTCTTCAAGCAGTGGTACAGGAAGAAGTCTGCATCCTTCAAGAAAAACATGATTTTTCATGCAGGACAATGCTCCATCACACGCGTCCAAGTACTCCACAGCGTGGCTGGCAAGAAAGGGTATAAAAGAAGAAAATCTAATGGCATGGCCTCCTTGTTCACCTGATCTGAACCCCATTGAGAACCTGTGGTCCATCATCAAATGTGAGATTTACAAGGAGGGAAAACAGTACATCTCTCTGAACAGTGTCTGGGAGGCTGTGGTTGCTGCTGCACGCAATGTTGATGGTGAACAGATCAAAACACTGACAGAATCCATGGATGGCAGGCTTTTGAGTGTCCTTGCAAAGAAAGGTGGCTATATTGGTCACTGATTTGTTTTTGTTTTGTTTTTGAATGTCAGAAATGTATATTTGTGAATGTTGAGATGTTATATTGGTTTCACTGGTAATAATAAATAATTGAAATGGGTATATATTTGTTTTTTGTTAAGTTGCCTAATAATTATGCACAGTAATAGTCACCTGCACACACAGATATCCCCCTAACATAGCTATAACTAAAAACAAACTAAAAACTACTTCCAAAAATATTCAGCTTTGATATTAATGAGTTTTTTGGGTTCATTGAGAACATGGTTGTTGTTCAATAATAAAATTAATCCTCAAAAATACAACTTGCCTAATAATTCTGCACTCCCTGTAATGTAGAGATCATCAATGAAAATATCAGCATCCCAGGAATGTTATGTATGATCAATCAGTCCTCTGAAGCTGTCATTGTGTTCCAATAATTTTCACAATTATTCTCAATCCAACAGTGTGTGTGTGTGTGTTAGTGTATGTTACTGAGTGTGTTAGTTTGTGTGCGTCTGTTTGGTGTCTGTTAGTGAGTGTGTGTACCAGGCCAGGTACCAGGCCTTTCGATGTTCTGCATTTTCTCTTTCCGTGAGCATCTCAACACATTTTCACAAAATTCGTAGCTCAGTGCCCTCTGCCAGTCCATATTTTGTCTTGTGTTCATGGAATAGTTTGAGGAGAGAATGTTTGTACAATTCATGGTATAGATCTACAGTCTCTGCACTAGGGTCCTTTATCTGGGGAACAGTCACCGGTTCTCCAACTAAGAGAAAAGTAGGGAAACAAAATCGTGAGATAGTTAAAATCAGAAAAATTGTTAATATTAAAGTGAAGGTTTTTTTTAAGCAAAATTTATGAAAGAAGCACTCCAGGAAGACAGCTACTTGAGGTGTTTTTAGCCATACAATGAAAATATTGCCATATCGCTAAACAGCAATGTTTACCTTTAGTGGTCCTTTAACATGCTTGATAAAACATTCTTGACTTTAGGGCTTTTCCATTTGATATACCAAAGGAAATAAGCATTTACTTACCTTTATTCCAGCTCCAAGACACAGTCCTTTGAGCAAGCCAATACACCACCTCTATGGTCATCACGCTTGATGACTTCTCTCCAATCAAATGCTTCTCATGGAGATGCAATGAATTGTGTGCTTCTCTATGAGAAGCTTTAGAAGCAACACAGCTCAGAGCACTCCAATTGAACTTTGTAGTACAACACAGATGCTCTAACATTGGAACTGCTGCATTGTACTAAGTGAATGTTCGATGTGCTCATGCAATGCATGAGGACATCGAACGTGAAGAATAAAGTTCTACTTCATTCGAAACATAGAAATACCATCTCTGGTTGTCAAGCATGCCCTTTATTCCCCTCACCTCATGTGGGTGGAATGAGTTTAAAGTAATGGAAAGGTGGTGCTACGGCTTCCCCTACACCTGCTTCAATTTCCTAGCTGGTTAGAATGGGTTATTCCCTGGACTTGCAACTGATTAGCTATGGTTCCTGAGGCTGTCTTAGGCCAGCACATATATTTTTACCCTACACCCCATAGTTTAGGCAGAGGAGGATCCTGAACCGTTATTTTCTGCACACACACCCTTGCATACAACTCTGGGATTCAGCACTGAGATGGTAGTTAACAAGGTTGGGTGTGGATAGTGGGTTTTAGGATTTGCGAAATTCCATAACTGTGTTTTTATTCCTGTTAGAGACTTCAGACAAACCTAAATCTCAGTAATTTGCATTCAAATTAGCTTTTTGCATTTTTCACACACAAACAAATATGAATGCTAACTTTGGCAAGTGGCTACTAAAAAAGACTGCACATACCCAATTTGTAATACCTTGGGTTGTCTACTTTTGCAAATGGTATGCTATCATGGGGATAATTCTCATTCCTGGGCTACCATTTAGTCTCAAAGGCAACATAACCAGTCTGGCTAATTTCAATGTCTATATTATGAAAAATGTGACGTGCTATATTTGACCCTGTAACTTTCCAAAACACCATAAAACCTATACATGGGGGTTACTGTTTTACTTGTGAGACATCGCTGAATGCAAATATGTGTACTTTATTGCAGTAACAGATAACAGTATTGCAACATTCACAGTTAAAATGCCATGCAGAACTAAAAAAAATGTTTTTCTTAATTTCTCAATTTTTTTTAGATTTTATTCATATTAAATTATGTTTCATATATGAATATTTTATATGAAATGAAAGCCCTGTTTCTTCTGAACAAAATTACATATAATAAGTGTAGGTGCATTTAATATGAAAGAGGTGACTTATGGTTGAACAGACATATAGCGTAAATGCAAGTTTTGTTTATGTTTTGTTTTGATCTGAACTTGTACAATTGCCTCAGTCCTTAAGGGGTTAATATACCCAAGCTTAATGAAGCAGTTTTAGTGTATAGATCATGCACCTGCAATCTCACTGCTCAACAAAGGTGTGCGCACTGGTTGTGCCTGGGCACACGCTAATCCCCGCGGCCCACAGGCAGGGAGGAAGGCAGGAGAGGACCCGGGGAGCTCTAGCCAGCAGCTCCGCCGGGTTCCTCTCACGAGGATGGAGCATTGCCATGGCAACGCTCACATCTCGCAAGAGTGAACTCTAGCCCCGTACGCTAGAGTTCACTCACAACTGGACCATCAGGGATTGCAGCAGCATGGTCCCCCCTCCCTACAAAAGGTAAGAAGGGAGGGAGTGCTATTTCCTAAACGGTCCCCTCACCCCCACCGTCCTTCCAAACAAATACACACAAACAGCACCCTCACACACACAGCACCCACACACATACAGCACCCTCACACAAACAGCACCCTTACAAACACACACACTAACAGCACCCTCACACACACGCACACACACACTAACAGCACCCCCCACACACAGCACCCTTACACACACACACTAACCGCACCCCCCACACACAGCACCCTCTCACACACAGGACCCACACACATACAGCACCCTCACACATGCATCGCCCACACACATAGAGCACCCTTACACATGCACACAGCACACACTAACAGCCCCCTCACACTAACAGCACCCTCACACATACAGCACCCTTACACATACACAGATGCAGCACACACACTAACAGCACCGTCACACACACACACACACACACACTAACAGCACCCTCACACACAGCACCCTTACACACACAGCACACACACACTAACAGAACCCCCCCACACAGCACCCTTACACATACACACAGCACCCTCACACACAGCACCCTTACACATACAGCTCCCTCACACACCCTCATATTAAATTATGTTTCATATATGAATATTTGATATGAAATTAAAGCCCTGTTTCTTCTGAACAAAATTACATATAATAAGTGTGGGTGCATTTAATATGAAAGAGGTGAATTATGGTTGAACAGACATATAGCGTAAATGGAAAGTTTTGTTTACGTTTTGTTTTGATCTGAACTACAATTGCCTCAGTCCTTAAGGGGTTAATATACCCAAGCTTAATAAAGCAGTTTTAGTGTATAGATCATGCACCTGCAATCTCTCTGCTCAACATTGGCGTGCGCACTGGACATGCTGGGTGTGCCTGGGCACACCCTAATCCCCATGGCCCGCGCTATGTGCCTCCATGGGCCGGGCCACAGGCAGAAAGGGAGGCAGGATAGGACCCGGGGAGCAGGGCCGTCTTTAATTCTGATTGGACCCTGGGCAAGCATTAACTTGGGCCCCCTGACTACATATAGATACACACAAATAAAAAACCTGACACACATGCAGATACACACTGACTGCATATAGATACACACAAGAACATACAGATACACACAGACTACATATAGAACACTGACACACAGATAGACACAAACACAGATACACAACCTGACAAACATGCAGATACACAGATACAAACACTGATACATGCTGATACAAAGGTACACACACTGACTACATATAGATAAACCGACACACACACTGACACACATACAGACACACAGATACACAGATACACAACCTGACACACATGCAGATATACATACATGGACACATACAGATACACACTGACTATATATAGATACACACACAAACACAAACGGACAACATACAGATACAAAGGCACATTCTGACAGACGTACTGACACAGAGACACACACAGACAGCCATACTGAAACACACATACACACAGACATACAGAACCACATGGACACTGACAGACTCACACATAGACATACTGACACACTGACAGACATACAGACATTATGGCACACATACACACAGACAGACATATTGAAACACACATACACACAGACACTGACAGACGTACACACAGACATTTTGACACTCACAGACAGCCATACTGAAACACACATACACACAGACACTGACAGACGTACACACATACAGACATTTTGACACTCACAGACAGCCATACTGAAACACACATTCACACAGACACTGACAGACGTACACACATACAGACATTTTGACACTCACAGACAGCCATACTGAAACACACATACATACTGAACCACACAGACACTGACCGACTCACACACACACAGACATACTGACACACTGACAGACATACTGGCACATATACACACAGACAGACATACTGAAACACACATGCACACAGACACTGACAGACATATTGACAAACACAGACATACAGAACCACACATACACTGACAGACTCACACACACAGACATACTGGCACACTGACAGACATACTGACAGACAGACATACAAACATACTCACACACACACACACACACACACACAGACACTCATGCAAAATTTGATAACCACCCTCCAGTTTCTTACCTTTTCCTGGAAGGTGGCTTCCCTGGGGTCCAGTGTGCTGACTGGGGTGGCTGGGAGTTAAGCTCTCCCGGCCTAGCCCCCTCCGGAACAGCTTCTTCCTCCCGCGCGGCTCCTGTTTCTGTGGGAGGAAGTGACGCACGGCTGTCACTTCCTCCCAGCACTGCCGAAAAGCAAGGGCCTGGTCGCGCTGTTAATGCGCCACCGCGCCTGACCGGGCCCCTGCTGACACAGGCCCACTGGGTGGCCTTAAGTGCATGGGCCACCCAATGGGCCCCCATAGTTTGCGGGCAGAGGGCAAAAGGAGCAGCTGTCTTGGGCCCCCCAGCAGGGACAGGGCCCGGGGCAGCTGCCCTGTTTGCCCTGCGTTAAAGACGGCCCTGCCGGGGAGCTCTAGCCAGCAGCTCCGCCGGGTTCCTCTCACGAGGTTGGAGCGTCCCCGCAGGCTAGAGTTCACTCACCACTGGATCATCAGGGATTGCAGCAGCATGGTCCCTCCTCCATACAAAAGGTAAGAAGGGAAGTGGGCTATTTCCTAAACGGTCCCCCCACCCCACAGTCCCTCCAAACAAATACACACAAACAACACCCTCACACACACAGCACCCTTACACACACACTAACAGCACACTCACACACTCACTAGAAGCACCCCACACACACACACCACCCTTACACACAGCACCCTTGCACATACACACACAGCACCCTCACACACAGCACCCACACACATACAACACCCACACACACACAGCACCCACACACATACAGCACAACACCCACACACATACAGCACCCTCACACACACAGCACTCTTAGACATACACACACAGCACACACACACACACACACACACACACTAACAGCACCCTCACACCAACAGCACCCTCACACATACACCCTCACACATACAGCACCCACACACATGCATCACCCTTACACACACAGCACCCTTACACATACACACACACACACACTAACAGCACCCTCACACTAACATCACCCTTACACACACAGCACCCTTAAACACACACACACAGACACACAGCACCCTCTCTCACACACACCCTCACACACACAGTACCCTTACACACACAGCACACACACACCAACAGCACCCTCACACGGCGTGTGTGTTTGTGCTTTAGGGTGCACACTTTATGCAATAGGCTGTGCATGCCTATGCTGCTCAATTATCTGCCTTTTAGGAGTTTAAACTCTTTTGTGTCTGTTTATGCAGCACCAGTTAAACCTCACCTGACTGTGATTGACACATCCTTCATTTCACACATTATTCATTAAAAAAAATGGTTTCATTTTCAAATCAGATGATGACTTACTCCCTACTTTGTACATAAAACTTTAATCACACACAGTTTGATATATATCATGGCCATGCACATACACTCCAAAACAACCTCGTTTAGCTACAGTTGTTTTGGTGCCTGTAGTGTCCCTTTAAAAACCATATTCTGCCATTTTCCTGTAACCTAATAATTGTCTTATTCAGGGTCATGGATTAGTCTGAAACTGGAGTTTCCTTGATAGTCTGCATTAAAGCGCTGCAGATACAACCCTCACTGCATCATTAAATACATAGAAAACTATGCTTCACTAAGGCCATCATTGGGACTGGACTCCAATGTCCGTCTAGGTAAGGCTACCTGCAGTAGCAGAAGTAATGAACAAAGGCTCCTGGTGCAATATTTTTATTGTTGGCCCACTATCGCTCCAGATAATTAAACTATGATTCCCAAGAAAATGTCCCACCTTGCCATTGCCAAATAACCAACTCTATAGTCACAAGACCCTACACCTGCATGCAGTTTCCTCAATTTAGACTGACACATTTCCCTGATAATTAACCCTCTCACCAAATTCGATTTTGCCATATTTGGAGTCCAGACACACTGCATGCAGTACACAGACACCCTCCATGAAGGTTACAGACACCCACCATGCTTTTTACAGATACCTCACGGCTCACGTAGATACACAACAAGATTAAAGTTTGCAGACAAATTAAAGTACCAAAGTAACAAACAGCCTTTCCCAGCCAGACATTAAGCCCCAGTTCTCTTTCCTTTCTTCTGACAGACAGGCTGACTCCCTCTGCCCCCCCACCCCTCTCCAGATGGGCAGTCTACAGTAGGCCCCTAAAGTCTGGTGGGCCCCAGTGCTGGTGCACCTGCTGCATTTGCAGTATATTCCAGCCCTGGCTACTTGCAATGAATAAAACCCCAATTGATGCGCTATAAATATCAGTCATCGAAGAAATACGTAAGATTTGGTTCCAAAAATGTTTTTTAGTTTTTTGTTCCTCCCTGCTATCTTTAATCTGTGTCTTTCTTGCAATTAAAAAAAATGGTATTTACATTTTATTAAATACCGTGGGTTGAGGTTGCCTTTTTTGGCACTCCATGGCTGCGGTCTGATTAGCATAATATACTAGACGCTCAATGTGTTGTGTGCTGTACAAAGCTTTATCTGAAGACTGCATTTTTTTTGTTACATTAACCTTTTGAATATTTTACAAAAGATGCTTAACTATATGTAAATGGGAGGTAACAGTGAATTTTATTAAAGGACACGGAGGCTCTTATTAGGCTTTATCTCTTTCTTTATTCCTCAGCAGCAAAGAAAGGATATTGATATTTTTAATATAGCAATAACAAAAAGAAAAAAACTAATACCCTTAAGGGTTAACCATATAACATTCCATATCCATTAACCAATAGGATCAGTCCTTGTACTATATCCCTTCATGTGAGGTAAACCACTTCCTCTTTCTTTGCTGCTGCCTCAGCTAAGTACCACATATTTTTCAGCTCCATAAAATATTGTGTTTTTCAGTTTTCTCCTGATTCATATTCTTATCTTTATACTGTTCTCTTTTTATATCTGCTGTTTGTTTTTGTCTGTTATTGAATTTTTTTTTTCTGTATATTGCTGGTGGTTTTGTTCTTTAAACCTGTTCCCAGTGCAGGGTACTTGCCTCTCCCCTGAGGCAAGCCCCATCCTGCACTGCCGTTTCGGGTTGTTTATAACCCGTTCCTTCTTTCCACTTCCCCGGGTGGGGGTCGCTCAGGAATCCACCCCCCACCCCCCCTCACCTCCCCGGCCCAGAACGAGCCGTTTCGCCGCCAGATGGGCGGCTGTTACTTTGGTGGCCATTTCCGCCGCTCGCGCATGCGCGGTCCACTCTCGCGCATCGTGGCGGCCATCTTAAGTGTGGGCAGTTTTGCCGCTCTTTTCGCCCGCGGTCCGCACCACTCTAGCAGGGAGGGGCGCGGGCTGATTGGCTGAGGGAGGTGTTGGGCAGCCTACCAGTGTCCCCCAGGAGTCATTCCTGAGGGAACACTCGGTAAGCTGCCATATTATATGTGCCATATTACATGTGCCTTTTATAACTGTGCCTGCCCTTGCTATTCAGTCTAGTGCTCAGCCACTTGCCCTATACTGCTGGTATACAAACCTCTGCAGTGCTGCCAGTGTGCATTTGTCCAATAGTGACAGTTTTATTTTAGTGCCTTTCTCCCTCTACTATTACTGTGCAACACCCTGATCACTATGCAGTCCCCTGCTAGTAAACAGACGGTTACCCCCCCTCCCACCTCTCATAAACCCAGCAAACATGACGCTACAGACGCTGCTGTCACTGGGGGAGTTGGGGACACATCCCAGGAGCACGTGAACTCAGAGGAGTTCCAGGCACTCCTGGATGCTACGATGAGTAGGTCTGTTACACAGGCCATTTTTACCGCCATGGGGGCGATGTCGGACACCCTGTCCCACTCTATCTCCTCTGCTATTAGGGCATCCAGCCACAACCCGGGCTCGGCACCCCCTATATCCACTGATAACAAGCCAATGGTCCCTAGCGGCCGCAAGGCTACGTGCAAATCGCACCATCTGTCAGGTGCTACCTCCAGAACCAGTAAGACGGACAGGTTGCGCCCTGTTGAGATTGATGACGTGGTGCTCCCACGTAAAAGAGCCCCCCGCCGGGCAAAAACGGTGCGGACTTGGAAGAGGGCAAAAGCCCTATCTGATCCGTCCGACTCCGATTCGGACTCAGAGGAGGTATCAGATGGGTCTGATGACATCGACCCAATTATTTCAGATAATTCGTCCCCCGAACGCAGCGACATCGCGCCTCCAGCGTTAGACGCGGAGCACGAGACGGATGAGTCCGCTGTGTTAGACCCCCAAGGGGAACCCCTTTTTGATCCCGACACCTTGCATAATCCGCGTTCAGCGGAGTGGTACCCCACAACTCATGTGGCCATTTACATTGCGACTAGGGTCAGAAAACCCCTCGACAAGGCCACAAGAAGCAAACTGAGGGCGGAATGCCCAAGGCCCACTGTCCCAGACATGGCCTGCGTGACCCCTGAAGTGGACCCCAAGGTCGCCCAGTTCCTGGGTAAGTCAGGATGGAGGGCCAAGAAGGGTTTGGACTACTCCTTAAAACACTGCCAGGACAAGATCCTGGACATACTCGGGCCTATAGCTAAAATCTTCGATATGGTCAAAGCGGCCCTTACTGGGGGGACCCCAATTGACTTGATGGCCATCAGAGGCTGGATTCAGAGAGGCATATGCCTAATAGGAAATGCCAACACCGCTTTGGCCACGGAACGGCGTAAAGCCATATTGATGAAAATCGAGCCAAAACTAGTACATTTGGCAATCTCCGAGCCTGGCACACAGGCAAAAGGTCTCTTATTCGGAGACAATTTTGTTAAGACCCTGGGCAATTACGTCAACACATTTACGGCACTAGATAAGGCACAACATAATATGAAGCGAGTGTTCGCGCAAAAGGTTTTCGGGGGGGCCGGCAGACAGCGGGGCCGTCTGTCCGGCCGCCCCTCCCGGACTCAGTTCCGGGGCTATCGAGGCTCCGCCACAACGCGGTTCCACCCACCCGAACCGAGGGCACAATCACCATTCTTCCTGACCAGGGGCAGATCATGGCATCCACGCGGAACCAGGGGATCCTCCTATGGCCGTCGGCCTTATGGTGAGTCACTCCCCATTACACACCCTTCCCTTGGTACCCGTGGGCGGCAGATTGTTTCATTTCCAGGATGCGTGGCACAACCTAACCTCAGATACATGTGTCCTAGAGACCATCCTCGGCTATCACATCGAATTTACACAACAGCCGATTCAACTCTCATTGCCACATCGGATTGTTTTTTCCCCACTAGACAAACAGCTAGTGTTAAAAGAGGTTCACACACTGGAGGAGAAATGTGCGATATACAGGGTTCCCATTACCGCCCCCGGGTTCCTAAGCAACATCTTCCTAGTACCCAAGAAAGGTGGGGGCACGAGGCCAGTAATAAACTTGCGGCCCCTCAACACCTTTGTCACATACCATCACTTCAAGATGGAAGGGATACACTGCCTCCGAGACCTACTAAGACTGGGAGACTGGATGGTAAAATTGGACCTCCAGGATGCATACCTCACACTTACAGCGCTCCCGAGCATCGTTGGTTTTGATAACACCGTTCTGGACGGCACAGCCATGGTTCCCTTCGCTCATGGAAATGTCAATCGACCTCACCAGATTGATCCCAGGGAGCACGGAATTATTATCAGATCCCGATGGGAACTCTCATCCACTTCTGGTGCAAGGTCATCTCAGACTCCTAACATGGCTCCTCTCCGGGGACCCTGGACCATGCCGAATGTTTCACAAACAACTTTGGACTTATTGGCAGGAGCTTGGGCCCCAGGGACAAGACGTTCCTATACTCTTGCCTGGAACACATGGTGTAGTTGGTGCGTGGAACGGCACGTGGATCCCATACGTGCTCCTATAAACCAGGTTTTGGGTTTCCTTACTACCCTTTATGATCAAGGCTTGGCCTAGCGCCCTAAACGTGTACAGGTCGACGATTTCAGCTGGGCACACTGGTTGGGAAGGCTTCCCGGCTGGGAAGCACTTATGGATCTGTCGTCTCCTACGGGGCATAAAATTTGCACGTCCGCCACAACCTCGTTAGACGACCCTATGGGATGTGAATATGGTCCTTCGTTTGTTGCAAGATTGGCCCCCAAACTCGAACCTCACACTCAAGCATGTGTCTGCAAAATTGGCAATGCTTCTATGCTTAATTTCCTGCAAACGGGTATCAGACGTGAGGGCCTTGGATATCGATGCACGATCATTCACACCGGATGGTGTCCTGTTTAATATCACCAGACGTACAAAGTCGAACACCACTTCAGTCTTCTATCCCTCCTTTCCTCACAACACTAACCTCTGCCCGGTAGCATGCCTGCGGGAATACGAATTACGGACCCAGTCATTCCGGAACCCAACCACACATAATTTGTTCTTGGCAGTGAGGAAACCTCATCAACCAGTATCCACGGGAACTCTGACACGTTGGGTGAAATGGATAATGTCAAATGCTAACATCGACACAGCTGTTTACGGAGCACACTCTACTAGAGGCGCTATGGCCTCTAAAGCATTCTCCATTGGATGTAAACTGGAAGACCTCCTCCGCACAGCTGACTGGTCCCGAGAATCGACGTTCAAGGAATACTACTTTAGACCAACAGAACATATCTCATCTAGGGTCATATCACAGCTTTAAACTAGCCTAATAAGAGCCTCTGTGTCCTTTAATAAAATTACCAGGTTTTACTAATTACATGACGTAAAGTCATGATTTTATAAAGGACACGGAGGCGAGTATTAGCCCGCCCACTGAAAGGTAAGCCGTACATGTATTTTTTTCCCACCCATTTGCTCATAAACAGGTTATAGTATTTTTGATGTTTAGAATCAAGGTTATAGGGTAATAATTGAAATTTAGACTGAGTTATGCTAGAATGTCGCAAACAATGTTTTCAGATATAAACGATTGTCTAAGGACCGGTACAGCATATATGCATGACAACGGTATTCGAATATATTTTACCATATATCTCTCTGTCTCCTACAGCTTAACCCTGTGATGACATAACTGGGATCGTCCGCTACCTCATCATTATTTTGGAACTTTCGCCGGAACCCCTACGAAAGATTACCCAAGTTTGAGAAAAATGTTTTCCTTGTTGATGTGTTCAGCTTCGGCGTCAGCCAGAAAGAGGAAGTGGTTTACCTCACATGAAGGGATATAGTACAAGGACTGATCCTATTGGTTAATGGATATGGAATGTTATATGGTTAACCCTTAAGGGTATTTGTTTTTTTCTTTTTGTTATTGCTATATTAAAAATATCAATATCCTTTCTTTGCTGCTGAGGAATAAAGAAAGAGATGAAGCCTAATACTCGCCTCCGTGTCCTTTATAAAATCATGACTTTACGTCATGTAATTAGTAAAATCTGGTAATTTTTAAACAGACAACAGCGACTTGTGTCACTAAATTTACTATGGAAATATATCACAAAAGCACGTTTACATATAATCATATGAAAAAGTACACAAAATCAATCAAAAAGCAAAACAAAATTCAAAATCACAAAGCAAAAACATAATATAAGCAAACATTTTATATTTAGGAGTGATAAGTGTAAACTGAGCAAAGTACTTTCTAGGGCAGTGCTATTATTATCCTCAACTCCAAACACCAGTTAATGGTGAAAGGGTAGGAGCCATTTTGCTAGACCCCAATCCAGTTTATATTACCCTTTGCCCCATGGTATATGGGCCTGAGAATGGAGTGGTCTCACAAACTCATGTTTTCTTGTTCCAAAGCCCATGTATAGGGAGATAAAGAAAATACTTCACATGAACCTCATGATCTTTAAAAAAAATAGTAATAACTTTTCCCACCTAGCTTCAGATGCGGGTTAGAGTACTAAACTATGTGGATCAATGCAGGGGTCCGATATAAGTTTTATGTGTAATTTATTTTAAGTGCTTTGTCCTTTCAGCACCGCAAACCATCAGACTCGGCTGTGGCAGAAAACTTTATTTATATTGCTGCACAGCACACATGACCACTCAACAAAGCTTAGCTAGGATGTTTAGCATGGTCCTACTGGCATATAGAAGATAGGCACGGAAATAAGCCATGTTATGTTTTGGAGAGGCCACAATACCGTCTACTCTAGATAAGTTAAGATATTGCCGTTTCTAAGGTTTGCTATAACATAATTTTGCTGCATTGGTGGACATTTTTTTTCTTCCAAAGCTGTTTATTTCTGCCACATGGTAAATTGCAATGTAGCATAAAAATGCATCATTGTCAAAACAAATAGGAGATTCCAGTTATTAAATGTACCTTATAGTCATGAATAACAATAAACGATAAAATCATTACTGACACAGAATTTACGCACATACATTTGCAGAAATGTTTTGTTAAAGGGAGGAAAAACACTAAATACATCACCATTTTGTTTATGCACTGGGTAAATTATTTCAGCGAATATGACTTGGAGGAAATTAATTGGGGAAATAGCAGAATGGCAGAATATGGCATTGGAAGTTAATAAATTAAAGACATTGCACTGGTGATGCTTGGTTGGGCATTGTGTTGTATATCAATTGTGACTATAAAAACTGGTCTGGATACTCTCAGGATTAGCATATATAAAGTGGCACAACTCTTGAAAAAGCCTCGAACGAGGACGAAACGTGTCGAGTGAACTAAACTCGATGCAGAGGACTCTGGTGAACTGAAAAAAAGATCAGAATGTTGCCACTAGTACAATACATGATATAACATTTGTTTTCTGCATTTCAAATTTTAATGATAACACATAAATAGCAAAACATAATTATCACATAGTAATCAGATGACCCATTTAACGTGAGATAATTATGAAAATTGTTATTTAAAACTGGCACAGCCCAACCTATTTATGGTGTTTGGGCACCCCATTTCCTGATGATAACCCTTTTCCTTCTCTTTAAAGTAAGAGGAATGCAAAAATATCTGGGCCTTTGACATATTAATGGTCCAAAGATGAACATACTTACTAACTGTGGTGATTGGATGGGAGTATGGTATAAAACCCTTGGATTTACAGGAAGTCAGGGCACGACCATAAAAAAAACACGGAGCAAAACCAAAAAGTTTCTGGAATTTGCACTGGGCAGCTCGGAGTAAACTGCCCTCTGAGAAATGTATTTGCTGGTACAGGTCATTCTCGCCAAACGAAAAGGAAGGAACCAGGTCTGCCCTGCAAGAAATAGAAAGACTCATTGTCGGTTTGCAGCAGGAAGTTGACATATATAGATATATTATAGTGGTTCAAAAAGTAGCCTAAACTGTCATCTTTCTTTGTATTGTCCAGCAATTTTTGTGCCTCCACAATTATGCCCAACTAACTAAGAATACTGTGCAAATATTCTGTATGCATCCTGCCTTGCTTTCTGCTCCAAGATAAATGAGATGTAAGCAGGCTCGGACTGGGAAAAAAATTTGGCCGGGCATTTTTTCATCACAGCGGCCAACTGAAAAGGGGGCCTGGCTAGATAGGGTTTGTTTTTTCATCTGCAATGACAAGCACGCCCCCTCTCAAAGTGAGCATGTTGGTTTAATGCTCTTCTAGGGCAGACCATGCACAGAGCTCTGCTGAAGAACTCTAGAATGAGAAAAAGGCCCTGTATTTGTTTTGCACAGCGCAAGCACATTTAATAACATGCTTGCGTTGTGTTTGCTTAAAACATGTCTCTGATGTCTCCATAAATGGGATACAAGGAGAAAAAAATGCCAGGAAAGAGTACTGTGCATGTGTTTGAAGCCTGCTTATGGGATTGCGTGTGTGTAGAGTGAGCTGATTGTGGTGTGGTTTTGTGTTAATAGGTTGGTTTCAGTCATGCTGTGTCTGTGGTGTAATGTAATGTATGTGTGTCTAGGTGCTGTAGAGAGTGTGTGTATAAGGGGCATAGTGTGTATAGGGGATGTAGCGATTGTGTGCATACAATCTGTAGTGTGTGTGTGTAGGTGATGTAGTGTGTGTAGGGGTTGTAAAGAGTGTGTGTTTAGGGAATGTAATATGTGTTTCCTTACAAGGAATCTAGTGTGTGCATAGGGGATCCATAGTGTGTATGTCAGAAATGTAGTGTGTGTGTAGGGAATCTAGTGTGTGTTTGTTTGAAGGGATTGTGTGTTGGGGTGGCAGGTTAATGCCAATATAAATGTTTTTTTTTTTTTTAATTAACAAAAAAACAAACTAACAGGCACACGTCATATCCCGGCTCCCAGCCTCACTCTGCGGCGCGCGAGGGAGCTGAGCAGTCAGCTCACAGGAAAAGCTCCCTCGTCAGCCGCCCGCCCGCTCGACAATGCCGCCCGCCCGCCCGCCAATGCCGCCCACCCAGCAGCCACTGGACCACCAGGGAGATAGAGAACCCCTTCCCTCCCCAGCACTCCCAAAGGTAAGGAGGCTGGAGGGGGGGAGGTTTAAAAAGTACCTGTGTTAATGTGAGTGTGTGTGTTATTGTGTGTGTGTGTGTGTGTGTTAGTGTGTGTGTGTCTGTTAGTGAGTGTGTGTGTCTGTTAGTGTGTTATTGTGTCTGTCTGTTAGTGTGTGTGCGTCTGTTAGTGAGTGTGTGTCTGTTAGTGTGTGCTAGTGTGTGTGTGTCTGTTAGTGTGTTATTGTGTCTGTCTGTTAGTGTGTGTGTGTCTGTTAGTGTGTGTGTGTCTGTTAGTGAGTGTGTGTGTGTGTCTGTTAGTGTGTGTGTCTGTTAGTGTGTGCTAGTGTGTGTGTGTCTGTTAGTGTGTGTGTCTGTTAGTGAGTGTGTGTTAGTGAGTGTGTGTGTCTGTTAGTGTGTGTGTGTGTGTGTCTGTTAGTGTGTGTGTCTGTTAGTGAGTGTGTGTATTTAGAAGGCGGGGGAAGGGATGGGAGGGGTCACGCGCGCGGGGGGGAAGGGATGGGCGGGGGTCGCGCGCGCAGGGGCGGTTGGGGGGCCCTGAGTTTTGTCCTGCCTAGGGCAGCACAAAACCAGGATACACCACTGGGTGCTAGTGGTGAGTGAACTCTAGCCTGTGGGGCTAGAGTTTACTTTTGCGAGACCCGGAGAGTTGCCATGGCAAAATTCTTAAAACTTCAGTCCAAATAGCCATTTTCAAATCTCCAGTTCAGTTACATTGAAAATGTTTTACAGCTTAATTGTCGTGGGCTGTGTTTTAAAAGTAATTTATAAACTCAACTGTTCAGTGAATAATTCACTTAATGGAAAAACAATTACATCTTGACTTTTGGCTACATAGAGGAGTGGTTGATGTGTCCTCTAATTTGTGCTCCATTGACTAAACCACATGCAATAGGTAAATTATAGTCTATAAAACATAGTTCTCCAGAATGCTCTAGAACAGGCATAGGCAACCTTCGGCACTCCATATGTTTTGGACTACACCTTCCATGATGCTTTGCCAGCATTATGGGTGTAAGAGCATTATAGGGGATGTAGTCCACAACATCTGGAGTGCCAAAGGTTGCCTATCCCTTCTCTAAAATATGGCTTCCTTCTATTGTATGGTTCAATAAATGTATTCATATTATATAATTTATAACACTTACCCATTCTCAAGTGCCAATTTCACAAACCCTCTCCTCCTACTCAAGATGAGGGTGGTGACCCCAGGCTGACAGGACAAGGATTCTGATGCTCCCCCTACTACAATCACCACTGCATTACCACGGCCATTCTGTGACAACACATAACCAATAGACTTTCGATTCACCGGGCAAAGTCCTGTGTAAAGAGTAAGAGAGAAATAGTCACATAGTAATTTCCCCTACAAAAAGATTTAAGTCCGTAAAGTACAACCATCTTCTTTTGGTGATGGCGAACAAATTCACAGAAAAAAAACATCTGAATGGTGTGACTTCTTTAAGTATTCCCGGTGGCTGAGTTTACACAGAGGCAAAGAAAACAGAATGTGTTAGTGCATAAGTCCATGGCAGCGTAAGGGTTCCAAGACCCAGATAAATTGTTCAGCCTAACAAGTGGGGGCTCCGTCCGAAGGGGAGGATTGTGATACCTAACTGTGAGTATAAAGATATTTCTTTCTTTGTCTGCTCACATGGGTGTCACAGTCACCTGTCTTGAACCTGTCCTAGGCTGAGAGAGCGCTAGTTCTGAGGAAGAGGTGATTTATAAGTTTGGTACACTTTGTCCCCATGGGGATTTATAAGCTTGGTACACTTTGTCCCCTTGACGAGAAGTGGGTACAGGAGCGGCCGCCCATCTCGACATCTTGTTAGTCAGGGAGACTCTCAGTGAGTCTATATATGGATTTAGTGTCTGTTTAGTTAGTTAATAGGGGATTTATAAGTTTGGTACACTTTGTCCCCTGGGGATTTACAAGTTTGGTACACTCTGTCACCTGGATCAGTAGAGAGGGTTCTCCTACATTAATGTGTATTTCTTTGTGCTTTCCACACCTTCTCTTATTAATTTTAGTATAAGTGTTTTAATTATGCTTGAACATTTTAACGAATGGGGTCTGATACAATTGTTATATGAATGTATGCTTTGTATGTTTGTTATTAATCAACTCCATGAGCCCAACATTTTTCTGTTTTTACTTTGGGACTAGGAATATATGTTTGATGTGTAAGAATTTGTAATCTGAACAGATCGTTAAATTTCATATGAGCCTGGTACATTTTTTATGAGACCGGAACTTGCCCATAAATTTAGCAAACCACACAGGGATAGTTTTATTTTTATCATCCTAATTGTTGGAAAGAATGGTACACCAAACAGCACATAACATAGTTAAAGATCCCTTTTCCTCTGAATGTATGTAGACCCATAATGCTGCTAACCCTAACAAATGAATACATTTTCACACTAACAGCAGCCCAACACTGATTTATATTGCTTTTTGGCTGTATTACTGCCCTTTTTGCTTGCTACATGATATCCATCCTGTGTGTTATTGCTTCTTAATTAGTTGTATCTCAATTAATATTGTTATAGACATCTTTGTATAACTATTTAGTGTCAAAGTACCCTCCTTAACATAAGATGGGGCAGGGAAATTCTAAACAGACTTTACCTAAATGAGACCCCTAAACATTTTGTAGAAAGAATTACAGGGGATTATTATGTGGACCCCTTTGTAGATAATCAAGCGGGGTACACTGAGGGGATGCAAGGCAGAAACATTTTTCCCAGAACAGGTGGCTTGGACCCAGAGCATGTTTTAATGATAGAAGGCTTGTGCATGGGTCAAAAGGCAAAACGGACCAGATAGCTCTTGGGATAAGAAGTATATGCGTACATGTTGAAAGATATGGGTTTTCCTCTCCCCTTATTGGGTAGTCACAGTCGACCTTACCCCAACTAACTTACCTACAGCCCCAAGTCTTTGCCGAGTAACCAATTCAAGTTCCTCCCATACACCTTTATACCCCTCAATAACAGACCTTGATGATGTGAACACAATATGTAATATTGTTGCCAATGAACTGGAGCAACAGAGGGTGCCCCTTCAGAGCCACCCTCCGTCTGCAACAGATCAAGATAAACAAACCACAACCACTGTTATACAGGGGGACGCTCCACAGCCCTCTGGTGATCATACACAGGTTGTCACTACACAGCCCTCATCCTCACATTTGACAACAGCTTCGTCAGTGTGGGAATGGACTCCCCCACACATCACACACAGCCAGCTGATCAAGTTGCATAATATGACAACATGACAGGATCGTGAAGAGACAAGGCAGGGCATCCTTGATGCACTGGTAACAGAGGCTGATGATGAAGGAACACTTGCTTTTTATCATATTTGTGTTTATTGTTTTTGTCTCGAGAAACAGGGGAACAGAAGGGAAAGGGAGAAGGGATAGAGGGTTCCACAATAAAATATACATACATTTGTTATACATTAATCATACACATTACATGGTAGTTTGCGTTATCAACATCTTTCTCTCGGGGCAGTATGCGTTACAGTCCTGTTTAACGCCTACACTTCTTATTCGATTGTGCATATCGGTGCATGTCTACAGATAGTACTGTTTTACAATATACATTACATTGTATACATTACATTGTATGTGCAGGTTCGCCCCCCAGGGTTATTGCCATATAGTAACTATGTTCTGGTGCCCGCATATGTTTGACTCTTGACATGTTTATTGCTTGGCCCACATTGGTCGACGTGTATGGAGTATGGGGGAACTCAGGGAAGGGAGTAAACTCAACTTAACAGAAACTTGTACTGGAACTTGAGCTTGATCTCGATCTAGGACCATTGAGGAATGCTTAGGGAACTACAGTGGCTATGCTCTCCTCGGTTTTGTATTGTTATTATTATTGTTATTGTTATCATTGTTATCGGGCCTGGCCCGCTATGTAGTGCTCGTCCTTCGGTATGTGAGCCAGTCCTGCCACACCACCTCATGTTGTTGTGCTTTCCCCTTCAAACCCATAGCCATGTTTTCGTATAGACAGACATTATCTAATCTCTTTGAGATCTCTTCCATCGAGGGGATAGCTTTGTCCTTCCAATGATATGCTATAGCCATTTTAGTGACTGTGAGAAGGTTTACAATTAGTGGGGTGTGGTGCTTCTGATGTAACATTGGCAACATATGTAGTAAGTAACCTTCAGGTGTCAGTGGCATGGTAAATTGGGTTAGTTTGTTTACCAGTGTTTGTACGCTTAACCACAGAGGCTGAATGTCTTGGCATTCCCAGAAGACATGGATCAGTGTACCCTGGGCTTTCTCGCACCTCCAGCATAAAGAGGAGACTGTACTGTACATTTTGGCTAATCTATGCGGCACCATGTACCATCTCATTGTGATTTTGCTGTATGCTTCCCACATGGAGATGCTACTAGATGCCTTCTTGGTGTTGGCTATGGCCTTGTGCCATTGTTGTATCGCGAATTCCCTACCGATATCTCTTTCCCATTGTGTCATGTAATGAAGTTTAAGTGGGGTAGCCGCTTCCCATAGGGCATTATAACATAGTGCCAGGGGCTTGATGTGGCGGGCATTCAGCAGGTGTTGTGTGTTGTGAACTGTAAGCCTCTGTGTGGGCTCTGTAGCTTGTAAATTGGTCTGTAAGATGTTCTTGACCCTTAAGTATAGGAATAGGTCTCGGGGGGGAAGGGAGAATTCTGCCTGTAGAGTTGGGAATGGTTTTACTGCGGTCTTGTCAAGAATGTTTTCCACCCTCAGGACACCTTTTGCCAGCCACGTATGGACTTCTAGGTTCGGGGAGTGGATTTGTAGCGCTGTGATTGGGGACTAGTATATTCGAGGCCCAATTTCTCCAGGCCTTTAGAAGTGTCCTTGTGCATTGTATGGTCGGTTTTTTGGTGAGGGTTGGGGCGCCTACCCACAGAGCTTGGGTTATTTGTGCCGGGTGGATGCAGGCGTCCTCAAAGGAGAGCCAGATTGGGGTTGGTGTTTTCTCGGAAGCTCTGAGAAGTCTTAGACCTTGGGCTAATAGGGAGGCTTGGTAATAGAACTGTACATCAGGAAGGCCCAGCCCTCTTCTAGTGAAGTGGAGGCCCAAAGTTTTATTTCTAATTCGTTGGGGTTTCCGTTTCCAAACGTGCGCGTTTATAACAGATTGGAGTCTTTTAAGGAGGCGGACTGGCAGGGTTATTGGGAACAGGTAGAGTATGTGCGGAAGAACCATCATCTTAATCGTGTTGATGCGTCCTAGCCAGGAAATCTCTAGGTCTTCCCATTTTGTTACCTGTGATACGAGTTTGTGGATCAGGGGAATGTGGTTTTCTTTTATCATTGTATGTGTTGATTTAGTAAGTTTGATCCCTAAGTAGGAGAGTGACTTTTTCCTCCAGTCGAATGTGTATGTGCGCTCGAGTTTTGTCGTGAGGGTGTGTGGCAGTAGTATTGGGAGAGCTTGTGTTTTTGCGGTGTTGTTTTTGTAGAAGGATACTGCGCTGTATGTGTCAAGAATTTTTTGCAACTGTGGAATAGAGTGCTCCGGCTTTGTGAGGTACAGGAGGATATCGTTGGCAAATAATGCCAGTTTCTGTTCGCCTCGCGGAGTAGCTATGCCCTGGATTCCTCTTGTTTGTTTTATATGCCTTATGAGGGGCTCTAGGCAAAGGATAAATATAAGCGGGGAAAGAGGGCAGCCCTGTCGTGTGCCATTTCGGATGTCTAGCGGGGTCGATAGGAAGCCGGTGCTGAAAATTTTAGCTGAGGGTTCTTGGTACAGAGCTAAAATGCTGGCCAAGAACTCTTGGGGAATGCCCATTTGGGCGAGTGTTAATTTCATATACTTCCAGTTCAGACGATCGAACGCTTTCTCAGCGTCAAGCGCTAATAGGACTCCCCCTTGCTGTGTGGAGTGGGCCCATTCTATGAGGTTGATGAAGTGTCTAGTGTTGTCGCCTACTTGCTTGCCTGGGACAAATCCTGCCTGTTCCTCAGAGATCAGAGTCGGGAACAAGGGTTTAAGTCTGTTTGCGAGCAGTTTAGCATACAGCTTGATATCTGCATTGAGTAAGGAAATAGGCCTTAGGTTCGCGCATATCGTCGGGGATTTGTTTGGTTTGGGTAGTGTGACTATAAACGCTTCCAGCATTTCCCTAGGGATTTGCCCAGTTTGTTTGATATAATTGAAGAGTTTGGTGATGTGCGGAAGTAGTGTGGTGCCTAGTTTGTGATAGTAGTAGTTGGATAGCCCATCCGGGCCAGGCGATTTGTGTTTAGGTAAACTGGCTATCGTGTTGGCCACTTCTTCGCAAGTGAATGGGGCTTCTAATAGCTCCTGTTGTGGTCTGGTTATGGATGGGATGTGGGTAGTGTTCAGAAAGCGGGTGATTTCTTCTTCAGACGGTTGGTGAGTTTGGGGGTCCCTGTCAAGCTGGTATAGGGAGGCATAGAAGGAGGCCAATTCCTCCACAATGTGGTGTGGGTTGTATAGTTTGTCCCCCGTCTTGGAAAGTATGTACGGTATTTTCGTGTGTAAGTATTGCTGCTTTAGTTTCCTAGCAAGTGCTTTGCCTGCCTTGTTTCCCGTAATGTAGTGGGATTGTTTAAGGTAGCGCATATGCTTCTCTGTTGTGGCGATTTCAAGGTTGTGTAAGTCAGTTCTGAGTCGTTGTATCTGCTTGTGTGTCGCTTTATGTGGTGTGGTTTTGTGTTGGGACTCTAATGCGGCGAGTTTTGCGAGGAATTCAGCCTTCGTTGTGTTGTGTTGTTTTTTCGCCCTGGCTCCCGCCTGTATCAGAGCTCCTCGCATAACTGCCTTGTGTGCTAGCCATTGAGTTGTGATGGGCGTGGTGCAGGATTCGTGTTGTGAAAAGAAGTCTGTTAGTCGGGTTAGGATAGATGAGTAGGTGTTGGGGCGGTCCAGAAGAGCCTCATTGAGGCGCCAGGATCCCGTGCCCCGGGCCGGGTACGGGACCCGAAGGGTCACCGTAAGCGGCGCGTGGTCGGACCATGTGATAGGGCCTATTGCGACTGCCATGATGTGTGTCAGTGTGGTTTTGTCCGTGATGCATAGATCTATCCTGGAGTGTGTCATGTGCACCGGGGAGTAATACGTGTAATCTTTGGTTCTTGGATAGAGACAGCGCCATGAGTCGTATAGGTCTTGTGTAAATAGTAGTTGGCTTAGGTGTCGCCCCAGTGTAAGTGATGCCCCTTTTGGACCTCTGTTCTGTGTGCGTTGAATGTCTAGGTGGGGATCTGGTGTACAATTGAAGTCTCCACATATAATGACATGTCCTTTCTTGTGTTTTGCTACCTGCTTTAATGCTTTTGTGAGAAATGCTGTTTGGTTCTCGTTGGGGGCGTATAGTGAAGCAATCGTTATTAGTATGCCATTTAATGTGCCAACTAAAATAAGTAGCCGGCCGTCTCGTCCTGTATGTTGGTGGTTTGGTGTGAACGCCCAGTCGTCGTGAAAGTATATGGAAACCCCTTTTGATTTTGTTGGGGAGTGTGCATGATATGCTTGGGAATAGTGCCGGACTGCAAATCTTGGGGGGTTGCGAGTGCAGAAATGTGTCTCTTGCAGACAGGCTATGGCCGCCCCAGAGGTTTGGATGTCGCGTGCCGCCAACCTCCTTTTATGGGGGCTGTTAAGGTCTTTCACGTTCAGGGAGAAAAGGGTCATAGTATTAGGTGTCCCCATGGATAGATTTTGTGGGTGTCAGCTATATTGGAGGTCCCTCGTGGGATTCGCTTTGGCATTAGGAGTGAATAGGTGTCCTGCGGTAGTGTGTGAGTGCTCTGGGGTCTCCCTCCCCTCTCTAACATTGTTCCCTCCTGACGGGTAATGTGGTCCTGTGGAGCATAGTTCAGTACAGTGATTCCAGATAACATAATAAACATAAACATAAACATGGAAAACAAATAAAGTATATATATAATTTCCCTACTAGATAGGGACGTCAGTGTTGTTGGGGCGACCTCCCTGCGGAATGCTTGGGAGGCAAGCTCAACAGGGGGATTAAAGATAACCTGCGTGGTTCGGCCAGAACCGGGACCCCTTAAGTGTGCGATCGTACATAGCTTACATTATACAGACAGCCTTGTACACGTTTCTGTTATATGAGAGCATCCCGCCTTCTTAATTAAGTAGTTGTGTGTGCTTTTTTTTTTTTGTGCCCTTTGTGAGCCCTCCATCCCATCAGCTGTAAGACTCACTAAACATAAGTGCCCTGGAATAAATATGAGTTGGAGCCATATACATTACACAGCGTTATGGTCTTCTTCAGCGTCCATTTTCTTTCCGTCTTGGCACGCGGTCAGTTTCGTGGAGGGGCAGAGGGTTGTGTGAGGAGAGTTCATTTGTCTCTTCTTGGCGATCCCGCCATGTGCCATTCAGTTGTGAGTTTCCTTTGCGGTTTCGGAGCTTGCGCTTGCTGGTCCGGCGACTGGAAAAGTCCCCATTCTCTCAGAAGGCGCATTACGTCCTCTGGTTCCTCGACAACGTGGTTTTTGTTGTTCCTCCAAATGATAATTTTAGTGGGATAGCCCCAGCGGTATGAGACATCGTGGTTGCGGAGAGTCTTTGTGACCGAGATGAATTCCCTCCGTCGGCTCATTGTGAGAGCGGATAGGTCTGCGTACAGTTGCACCCCCTGGAACGGTTCAGGTAGCGGTGAAAGTTTGCGCGCGGCGGTCAGCAGCGAATCTTTTGCTGTGTAATAGTGGAACCTGACCACTACATCGCGTGGGGTGTCTGCTGTGAAGCGTTGTGGTCTAGGCAGTCGGTGTGCTCGGTCCAGCTGCCACTCCGTAGTGACCCTCTCTGGCAGCACGGCCTGGCATAAACCTTTAATGTAGTCGGGCAGAGCCTCATGTGTGACGTTGTCAGGGATTCCTCTAAACCTGACATTATTGCGCCTAGAGCGATCCTCTATGTCCGCCATTTTCCTCTTTAGCTGCTTTTGTTCCTCACTGAGAGCTTGTAGTTTAGCCTCCATGTCAGTGTGAGCTGAACATATTTCTTCTGTGCGGACTTCCAGTCTGTCTGTTCTGTCTCCTAGCTCAGACAAGTCCTGTGTTAATTTCATATACTTCCAGTTCAGACGATCGAACGCTTTCTCAGCGTCAAGCGCTAATAGGACTCCCCCTTGCTGTGTGGAGTGGGCCCATTCTATGAGGTTGATGAAGTGTCTAGTGTTGTCGCCTACTTGCTTGCCTGGGACAAATCCTGCCTGTTCCTCGGAGATCAGAGTCGGGAACAAGGGTTTAAGTCTGTTTGCGAGCAGTTTAGCATACAGCTTGATATCTGCATTGAGTAAGGAAATAGGCCTTAGGTTCGCGCATATCGTCGGGGATTTGTTTGGTTTGGGTAGTGTGACTATAAACGCTTCCAGCATTTCCCTAGGGATTTGCCCAGTTTGTTTGATATAATTGAAGAGTTTGGTGATGTGCGGAAGTAGTGTGGTGCCTAGTTTGTGATAGTAGTAGTTGGATAGCCCATCCGGGCCAGGCGATTTGTGTTTAGGTAAACTGGCTATCATGTTGGCCACTTCTTCGCAAGTGAATGGGGCTTCTAATAGCTCCTGTTGTGGTCTGGTTATGGATGGGATGTGGGTAGTGTTCAGAAAGCGGGTGATTTCTTCTTCAGACGGTTGGTGAGTTTGGGGGTCCCTGTCAAGCTGGTATAGGGAGGCATAGAAGGAGGCCAATTCCTCCACAACAATGTGGTTTGTTTTTTTAGTTGTCCCCCGTCTTGGAAAGTATGTACGGTATTTTCGTGTGTAAGTATTGCTGCTTTAGTTTCCTAGCAAGTGCTTTGCCTGCCTTGTTTCCCGTAGTGTAGTGGGATTGTTTAAGGTAGCGCATATGCTTCTCTGTTGTGGCGATTTCAAGGTTGTGTAAGTCAGTTCTGAGTCGTTGTATCTGCTTGTGTGTCGCTTTATGTGGTGTGGTTTTGTGTTGGGACTCTAATGCGGCGAGTTTTGCGAGGAATTCAGCCTTCGTTGTGTTGTGTTGTTTTTTCGCCCTGGCTCCCGCCTGTATCAGAGCTCCTCGCATAACTGCCTTGTGTGCTAGCCATTGAGTTGTGATGGGCGTGGTGCAGGATTCGTGTTGTGAGAAGAAGTCTGTTAGTTGGGTTAGGATAGATGAGTAGGTGTTGGGGCGGTCCAGAAGAGCCTCATTGAGGCGCCAGGATCCCGTGCCCCGGGCCGGGTACGGGACCCGAAGGGTCACCGTAAGCGGCGTGTGGTCGGACCATGTGATAGGGCCTATTGCGACTGCCATGATGTGTGTCAGTGTGGTTTTGTCCGTGATGCATAGATCTATCCTGGAGTGTGTCATGTGCACCGGGGAGTAATACGTGTAATCTTTGGTTCTTGGATAGAGACAGCGCCATGAGTCGTATAGGTCTTGTGTAAATAGTAGTTGGCTTAGGTGTCGCCCCAGTGTAAGTGATGCCCCTTTTGGACCTCTGTTCTGTGTGCATTGAATGTCTAGGTGGGGATCTGGTGTACAATTGAAGTCTCCACATATAATGACATGTCCTTTCTTGTGTTTTGCTACCTGCTTTAATGCTTTTGTGAGAAATGCTGTTTGGTTCTCGTTGGGGGCGTATAGTGAAGCAATCGTTATTAGTATGCCATTTAATGTGCCAACTAAAATAAGTAGCCGGCCGTCTCGTCCTGTATGTTGGTGGTTTGGTGTGAACGCCCAGTCGTCGTGAAAGTATATGGAAACCCCTTTTGATTTTGTTGGGGAGTGTGCATGATATGCTTGGGAATAGTGCCGGACTGCAAATCTTGGGGGGTTGCGAGTGCAGAAATGTGTCTCTTGCAGACAGGCTATGGCCGCCCCAGAGGTTTGGATGTCGCGTGCCGCCAACCTCCTTTTATGGGGGCTGTTAAGGCCTTTCACGTTCAGGGAGAAAAGGGTCATAGTATTAGGTGTCCCCATGGTTAGATTTTGTGGGTGTCCACTATATTGGAGGTCCCTCGTGGGATTCGCTTTGGCATTAGGAGTGAATAGGTGTCCTGCGGTAGTGTGTGAGTGCTCTGGGGTCTCCCTCCCCTCTCTAACATTGTTCCCTCCTGACGGGTAATGTGGTCCTGTGGAGCATAGTTCAGTACAGTGATTCCAGATAACATAATAAACATAAACATAAACATGGAAAACAAATAAAGTATATATATAATTTCCCTACTAGATAGGGACGTCAGTGTTGTTGGGGCGACCTCCCTGCGGAATGCTTGGGAGGCAAGCTCAACAGGGGGATTAAAGATAACCTGCGTGGTTCGGCCAGAACCGGGACCCCTTAAGTGTGCGATCGTACATAGCTTACATTATACAGACAGCCTTGTATACGTTACTGTTATATGAGAGCATCCCGCCCTCTTAATTAAGTAGTTGTGTGTGCTTTTTTTTTTTTTGTGCCCTTTGTGAGCCCTCCATCCCATCAGCTGTAAGACTCACTAAACATAAGTGCCCTGGAATAAATATGAGTTGGAGCCATATACATTACACAGCGTTATGGTCTTCTTCAGCGTCCATTTTCTTTCCGTCTTGGCACGCGGTCAGTTTCGCGGAGGGGCAGAGGGTTGTGTGAGGAGAGTTCATTTGTCTCTTCTTGGCGATCCCGCCATGTGCCATTCAGTTGTGAGTTTCCTTTGCGGTTTCGGAGCTTGCGCTTGCTGGTCCGGCGACTGGAAAAGTCCCCATTCTCTCAGAAGGCGCATTCCGTCCTCTGGTTCCTCGACAACGTGGTTTTTGTTGTTCCTCCAAATGATAATTTTAGTGGGATAGCCTCAGCGGTATGAGACATCGTGGTTGCGGAGAGTCTATGTGACCGAGATGAATTCCCTCCATCGGCTCATTGTGAGAGCGGATAGGTCTACGTACAGTTGCACCCCCTGGAACGGTTCAGGTAGCGGTGAAAGTTTGCGCGCGGCGGTCAGCAGCGAATCTTTTGCTGTGTAATAGTGGAACCTGACCACTACATTGCGTGGGGTGTCTGCTGTGAAGCGTTGTGGTCTAGGCAGTCGGTGTGCTCGGTCCAGCTGCCACTCCGTAGTGACCCTCTCTGGCAGCACGGCCTGGCATAAACCTTTAATGTAGTCGGGCAGAGCCTCATGTGTGACGTTGTCAGGGATTCCTCTAAACCTGACATTATTGCGCCTAGAGCGATCCTCTATGTCCGCCATTTTCCTCTTTAGCTGCTTTTGTTCCCCACTGAGAGCTTGTAGTTTAGCCTCCATGTCAGTGTGAGCTGAACATATTTCTTCTGTGCGGACTTCCAGTCTGTCTGTTCTGTCTCCTAGCTCAGACAAGTCCTGTTTAAAATCTGTCACCATTAGCTGGAAGTCTGCATGCAAGGTAGCCCTGAGCTCTTGTAGCATGGTATAGAGACTTCTCTCACTCACCGGGTTGTCCGTGTAGCGACCTGTGGGGTCTCCTGTGTCTGGCTGATCTTCAGCACTGGAGGCCGTCGCCATGCTGCCGTCGCCATCTTGGCTGGAGCGGAGGCGGTCTTTTTTAGCGGACCTGATCGGGTCCGTGATTTTCAGCTGCTTGGAGGGCGCCATGTGAGCTCTCGTTGCTCGGTGGAGTGCTGCAGGGCCGGGATTCGTGAGTCAGTCACGGCTGTCTGTGCTGTTTGGGTCCGTCGGCCTGGGAGCTCTCACTCCATGCGCCTTTCCCGGTCGGCCGTTGGCCACGCCCCCCCGGAACACTTGCTTTTAAGGGGCCCTACTTGTTAGTTGGGGAGCAGCCCATAGTGAAACCACCTGATATGACCCAATTAACCACATGGGCAAAATGATGTCTGGACCCCCCGTGAAGCAACCTACATCTGCAGTATCCTACCTTAAGAAAGCGACTACGGGTCAGTTTCTGCTGCCCAATGACTATATCATGTTGGTTAATATGATTATTACGCATGATGATACTGATTGGTTAGCTGCAACTGAACAATTACTGGATCCTAACAAACCCATTTCAACCAGATAGGATATTTTTACCCCTGTCCAGCTAGACAGTATGTGGGGACACATACCGGGCACATTTCAAGAAGGCACATGGGGATAGACAGAGCATGATTTCTGCCATTGCTTGCAAACAAAAAGCAAATTAGTCCACAGGGGCTTTAGCCAAGAGATTTCACAAGTGTTGGACTGACGAGTGCTGCTTACCCCTCCATGATGAAGTTAAGGGTATGTTTGTCACCACGCTGATTAATAACTTAATTCCTGATATAGCACAGACCTTTAAGAGACTTCTCCCGAAGGCACTCACCCCTTGCACGCATCCTGATAAACTGATAGTGGACAGGGCGCATAGGCTCCGGAGGCCAAAACACCTACCGCCAACTGCAGCCAGAGATGTTGTTGTACGAGTGCATTTCTTCCATGCTAAGGAGAGGCTGGTGCGGGCCTGCAGGAACCCTGATATGATATTCTATGATATATGATATTCTATCAGTCTGCTATACAATCTGACGGGGTATAGCAGACTGATAGAACACCTGAACTGTATAAGGACATCAAAGTCTTCACAGATCTCTCAGCCGCAACACTCCTCTTCCGGAAGAGTATGCTCCCCATCACGACAATCCTCACAGCACAGAATGTAAACTACCACTGGGGGTACCCAGCGAAGCTACTAGTGTATCACTGTGACAGCCTTAAAGGACCACTCTAGGCACCCAGACCACTTCAGCTTAATCTTCTAATGAAGTGGTCTGGGTGCCAGGTCCAGCTAGGGTTAACCCATTTTTTTATAAACATAGCAGTTTCAGACAGCCACTAGAGGCGCTTGCGTGCTTCTCACTGTGATTTTCACAGTGAGAGCACGCCAGCGTCCATAGGAAAGCATTATGAATGCTTTCCTATGTGACCGGCTGAATGCGCGCGCAGCTTTTGCCGCGCATGCGCATTCAGCCCAGGAGGAGGAACGGAGGAGGATCGGAGGAGGAGAGCTCCCCGCCCAGCGCTGGAAAAAGGTAAGTTTAACCCCTTTTCCCCTTTCCAGAGGGGCACTATAGTGCCAGGAAAACGAGTATGTTTTCCTGGCACTATAGTGGTCCTTTAATGTGGTGCCAACAGTGGAGGCGGGCATGAAGAGGCTGAAAGTACCAGATGCTGCACAGGCAATAGACCTCTCAGGTCCCTAGAATGTCCCCAGAGTGGACTGCTACCTGAAGTCTAAGACTGACTGGAGAATGGGCATAACGGCTTCTGACAGAGCTACTACCCACACTTGAATATCCTTCATATGTTTCTTCTGTTTCTTATAATATGTTATGTGGCTTTGACCAGGTTCAGTGTGCTGAGTTATATGCCCGCCTTGCAGCCATAGGGATAGGTTGCCCTCCGGGAGGTAGTTAATGGTGGGTCTGGGGCACTAGGGGGATGAGGATGGGATGTAATGCGTTGCGGGATATGCCCATTCCCTCAAGGTTAATTGAACTCACCATGACACAGACAGACACACACACCATACAGACAGACACCATGACAAAGACAGACACACACACCATAAAAGACAGACAAACTCACACTGACACTTTACTAATACCTGCCAGGGGGAGGTCTGCTGGCGGCCGCTGGGGGAGGTCTTCTGGCGGCCGCTGGGGAGGTCTGCTGGCGGCCGCTGGGTGACTTGTACTGGCGGCTGCTGGGGGAGCTGCGCTGGCTCTGCTCTCCCGCCCTCGCGCACTGCTGAATGAGACCGGGGCCGGAATATGACGTCATATTCCGGCACCTGTCTCATTAAGCTGCGCGCTGGGGAGCAGAGACAGCGCAGCTCCCCCAGCGGCCGCCAGTACAAGTCCCCCAGCGGCCGCCAGAAGACCTCCCCCAGCGGCCACCAGAAGACCTCCCCCAGCAGCCGCCAGCAGACCCAGGTGTCTGCCCGGCCCCAGGTGCCGACGGCCCACCGGCTCTGATATCTACTACGTCTGTTGTTTTCTGTTTTATTGGATGACAACTGGAATCATATTGCAATGATTGTTGAGTATGAATTCTATGTTTTGTAATGAATTGGTTTGTTATGTGTCCTTGTATATTGTCTATGAGTTTAAATAGTACAATGAGGAATATTTGCATGTCATTAACACAAGCCTTAGTGTTTTTAAAACAGGTCACATGCTGTACAGCCGACAAGAATGATAGCATTGCATGCTATCACTCCTGGGGATTTTTCATGATATAAGACTTTGCAAGAAAAGCGCTTGTTACATCTTATGTGAAAGGGGCCTCACAAATCTGCAGCTGATCAAATCGTGGATCCACATTTCCAATTGTAAAGTGACTAATCCTGAATGTGAATCTTCCCTTGAAAACAGAATGCATGGACAAGGAGATAGCTCTCCCTTCTAAAGAATTGCTATTAGGGGAGTATTGTTCAACTCAGAGTTAATTTTTTTCTTTAAAAGACCATTAAAAAAAAGTACATTGTTTTGTTCGTGTTAAGAAATATGTTCTCCATATTTATTGGTGTATTGGCATTTTGCTATATACTTATTCTTTACACTGCATTGATCCCTTTCATCTTTGTTACATGGGTGGGTGGGATTTAGGTACTAAGCAACCTGTCCTCTTACATGATAAATATTATTTATTAATCAGCTACATACTTATCCTTATCATGGTCCTGGCACCATTAAAAAAAAAAAAAAAAAGAGAGGGTAGTATGGTTTATCTGAAATAAGGTTCATTTAGTGTACCTCATTGATCATAGCGATGGTGAAATGATATTTTAATAATGATCAGAGAATTTATGTTGAAATTAGTACGTTTATAAGTGAGGCAATTGTAATCTATTTGTATCGGTAAATTAAAAGCATTTTGCTGGAAGACCTTATTAGAAGATATTTCAGCAAACTGAAGAGGATATAAACAAGCAGGGAGTGTGTTGTTTAGGTAATATTGCCCTAGCTCTATTCATTATTGGGAACAAAGGCCTAAAGTTAGGATTTTGCAGTAAGAGATTAACCCCTTAAGGACACAGCTTCAGAAGCTTGTCTAACGGTTAAAGGACCTCTATAGTGCCAGGAAAACATACTCGTTTTCCTGGCACTATAGTGCCCTGAAGGTGCCCCCACCCTCAGGGTCCCCCTCCCGCCGGGCTCTGGGAGAGGAAGGGGTTAAACTTACCTCTTTCCCCAGCGCCGGAAGGGATGCTCTCCTCCCTCTTCTCCTCCTCTTCGGCTGAATGATGGGACTTGTCATAGATAAAGTTAAAAAAAAGGATTAAAGCCTTTGCCTTAGTTAAGTCATTCAACGTCTGCAGGGGTTAAAAGTTAGATTTTTTTTCTCCTACTCATGTCTGCAACCTTATGCAGTTGCCTCCCTTTTCTTTCCCTTTTCTTTCCCATGAAAGATAAGACGTGGTATACATGCGCAGTAGACTAACAGCAATACGTAATGTTAAATGAAAAATTACACTTTTGGTTCTGAGACTCCTATGATTGGTTAATATTCCCGTTGATGTAAACACCCCTAGACAAACTGTGTTGTGTATATATATACGATGTACATGCATTAAAACTTTTGAATGCTCTTTGATCTCCATCTGAATGGTGCGATTTCTTTAAGTATTTCCGGTGGCTGAGTTTACACAGAGCCAAGGAAGGCAGAACGTGTTAGTGCATAAGTCCATGGCAGCGTAAGTGTCAGGATTACTAGTTGATCCAGCGTGCAGAAATAGTATCACATCTAGGATAACGTGTCACCAGACCTTAGAATGGCCGGACTTAACGTACCCAAGAATAGTCAACATACTTGCCAAGGTCAGAGATACAGAATGAGACACAATGATGAGGGAAAGCCAAAAGTTAAGGATACAAGAAATCAGGGAAGTCAAAATGAAGCCGAAGTCAAAAACCAGAATAATATGATCAGGAAAACACTCTTAGATAACCAGCAAAGTGAAATGACAACAGGGCAATGGGTGGAAGGAAAATTAGTTTAAATAACCCTCCTGCAAATCTGATTGGCAGTACTTGACCTTTGACCCCAAAACGTGCATGTGCGTTATTTGCATGACGTCACACGCATGTCGGCGTCGTCATTACCGTGGGCGGACGTGGGGCTATAAATTGGCATGGATCAGAAGCGTCCGGCATCCACCGACATGCCACAAAAGTCAGGCACCACGGCCCAGGAAGGCAACCCCCACCACAATCCCCACATGGAAATGATGGATATGTGATAGTAAGGGTTTCCAGACCCAGATAAATTGCTCAGCCTAGCAGAGGCTATTTCCAATGGTTACTTTCACTAGGTAGCACTGTCTATAGAGGTCTGTGACAAATTTTTGCTTAAGAATTGATAAACAGGTATTTTTGTATAGGTTTTTCCCCCAATATATTTATTTGTTAACACAATATATACATCAATTTAATGTCCTTTTAAATTAAGCAAACTTTAAATTTACATTTTAACTTCCCATGGGGTGAAAGAATAGGGACATTGTCCTGGCCCTCTTGCCTAATAGGAAATCCCTAGGTCTAGACCTCTTACTATGCAATATCTAAGTGCACATTTCGTGGGGGGGATAGTGCTGACCATGGGCGTCTGCAGGAAGGGGCAGGGGGGGGATTTTTCGACTTGCCCCCTCCACACAGGGTCGCAGCACCTGGGGCCAGCAGGAGGGAGGTGCATTGGGGTGGACTGGCTGCATTTGTTCTGCTGACCTTGCCGGAAGGAACAGGCCAGTTCACTTCCCAGTGCTTCCAGTCTCCCACAGCTAGACAGGTAGGCTTCAGCCCATAACAGAGATTGTGATTGTTTGTGCGTGTGTGTGTGTGTGTCTGCTAGTGAGTGAGTTTGTTTGTGTGTGTGTGTATCAGTGAGCTTGTCTGTAAGTGAACATGTGTGTGTTAGTGAGTTTGTAGTGAGCATGTGTGTGTCAGTTAACTTGTCTGTAGTGAGCTTGTGTGTGTCAGTGAGTGTGTCTGTAGTGAGCAAGTGTGTAAGCGAGCATGTGTGTGTCAGCTAGCTTTTCTGTAGTGAGCATGTGTGTGTCAGCGAGCGTGTCTGTAGTAAGCATGCGTATATATGTATCAGTGAGTTTGTCTTATCTGTAAGTGACCTTGTGTCGGTGAGCATGTGCGTGTGTTAGCGAGCTTGTCTGTAGTGAGCATGTGTGTGTGACAATGAGCTTGTCTTTAGTCAACTTGTGTGTGTGTCAGTGAGTTTGTATCTAGTGAGCATGTGTGTCAGTGAGCTTTTCTGTAGTGAGCATGTGTGCAGATCTTTACCCATAGCATTTAAAGGGCCAGAAACAGTCCAATAAAAGTCCATAAGCCCAAATAATGTTTTAAACGGCAATACATCCCAGTAGCCATAGTCACAAGGCAAGAGGCTGGAAAGCAGGCCTCTCCAAGAACAAGTGGCGAAGGGCACTTCGTCACAGTCTCTAGTGAGCATGTGTGTCAGTGAGCTTTTCTGTAGTGAGCATGTGTGCGTGTCAGGGAGTTTGTAGTGAGCTTTTGTGTGTGTCAGTGTGTTTGTCTATAGGGAGCATGTGTGTGTCAGTGAGCTTTTCTGTAGTAAGCATATGTGTGTGTCAGTGGACTTGTCGGTAGTGAGCAAGTGTGTAAGTGAGCATGTGTTTGTCAGCTAGCTTTTCTGTAGTGAGAATGTGAGTGTCAGTGAGCGTGTCTGTAGTGAGCATTTGTATATGTGTCAGTGAGTTTGTCTGTAAGTGACCTTGTGTCGGTGAGTATGTGCGTGTGTCAGCGAGCTTGTCTGTAGTGAGCATGTGTGTGTGACCAGTGATGTATCCTGGTTTTGTGCTGCCCTAGGCAGGACAAAACTCAGGCGCCCCTTCCCCGCCACTCCCACCCAACCCTTCCCCCTGCCCCATCTTCTAAATACACACACACACACACACACACACACACATTCACTGACAGATACGCATACACTAGCTAACAGAAACACACACACACACACTAACAGACACACTCACACACACTCACAGGCAAGCACACTCACACTAACAGACACACACACACACAGTCAGACACACACACACACTAACAGACACACACACACTAACAGACACACACACACACTAACAGACACACACACTAACAGACACTAACAGACATACACACACTCACTCACATTAACACATTTACCTTTGGGAATGCTGGGGGGAGGGGGGTTCCCTCTCTCCCTGGGTGTGCAGTGGCTGCTGGGCGGGTGGCGCTGGCTGGCGGCTGGCAAGGGGGCACTTTCTCTGAGCTGTCTGCTCAGCTCCCTCGCGTGCCGCAGAGTGATGCCGGGAACCGGAATATGACGTCATATTCCGGCTCCCAGCCTCACTCTGCGGCGCGCGAGGGAGCTGAGCAGACAGCTCAGGGAATTGCTCCCTCGCCAGTGCTGCCCACCCAACCGGCATGTCAGTTAGCCGCAAGGCTAACAAGATATTTGCCCTGGGCATTTGGGGGCGGCTTTTTTTGCCGCCCCTTGGAAAAAGCTTAGTAGTGATTATCCAAGGGAATATGCAGAGCATAGCAATCCCTTGTAGTGATATAGCAACTCCCCCAATAAAGAGGCAAGACTCTAGATTGAGGGTTAAGCAGGAACAGACTGAGCTGGGGCTTTATTGTTTCTTTTATACACATTTCTCCACAAGGTTACCACCCACGTAGACCTTGTGGTACACAGGACAAAAAGTTGCAACAGCCAATCAACAATGTACAGTACAGTCAGACACTCCCAGCTAATGCACACAAACCCTTCCCTCTGCCTCTGATACAATTACCTCAACACAATGGACTAACGTAATTACCACAGGCAGAAAAATATACTTTTTACAACTTCGCATAAAACTTACATTTATAGAACCAGCATAATTATGGAAACAACATATCCAAAAGAAGGTAAAACTTCAGCGCTGTGACCGCATTTGGCTAAAATAAAATGGCCGCCGCCACGTGTTCGTTTTTCAAATGGCGGTCACTTCGACTACTTCGGCACTTCGGCTGTATCCGAAGTGCCATAGCAAAAGTGCAGATCTTTACCCAGAGCATTTAAAGGGCCAGAAACAGTCCAATAAAAGTCCATAAGCCCAAATAATGTTTTAAAGGGCAATACATCCCAGTAGCCATAGTCACAAGGCAAGAGGCTGGAAAGCAGTCCTCTCCAAGAACAAGTGGCGAAGCATGTGTGTCAGTGAGCTTTTCTGTAGTGAGCATGTGTGTGTGTCAGTGAGTTTGTAGTGAGCTTGTGTGTGTGTCAGTGTGTTTGACTGTAGGGAGCATGTGTGTGTCAGTGAGCTTTTCTGTAGTAAGCATATCTGTGTGTCAGTAAGCTTGTCGGTAGTGAGCTTGTGTGTATGTCAGTGTGTTTGTCTGTAGGGAACATGTGTGTCAGTGAGCTTGTTTGTAGTGAGCATGTGTGTGTGTCAAAGAGTTTGTAATGAACATGTGTGTGTGAGTGAGCTTTTTTGTAGTGAGCATGTGTGCATGTCAATGAGTTTTTCTGTAGTGAGCTTGTCTCTAAGGAGCATGTGTGTCAGTGAGCTTGTCTGTAGTAAGTATGTGTGTGTCAGTGAAATTTTCTGTAGTGAGCATGTGTGTGTGTGTGAGGTCCGTGTGTCAGTGATCTTGTAGTGTGCTTGTGTGTGTGTCAATGAGTTTGTCTGTAGTGAGCATATGTCAGTAAGTGTGTCTGTAGGGAGCATGTGTGTCAGTGAGCTTGTCTGTAGTGAGCATGTGTGTGTGTCAGTCAGTTTGTAGTGAGCATGTGTGTGTCAGTGAGCTTGTCTGTAGTGAGCATGTGTGTGACAATGAGCTTATCTGTAGTGAACGTGTGTGTGTGTCTATTTGTCTGTAGTGAGCATGTGTGTCAGTGAGATTTTCTGTAGTAAGCATATGTGTGTGTCAGTGAGCTTGTCTGTAGGTAGCATGTGTGTCAGTGAATTTGTAGTGACCATGTGTGTGTCAGTGTGTTTCAGTAAGCTTTTTTGTAGTGAGCATGTGTGCATGTCAATGAGCTTTTCTGTAGTGTGCTTGTCTGTAGGGAGCATGCGTGTCACTGAGCTTGTCTATAGTAAGCATGTGTGTGTCAGTGAGCTTGTCTGTAGTGAGCAAGTGTGTATGTAACAGCAAACTTGTCTGTAGTAAGTTTGTGTTTGTATACCAATGAGTTTGTCAGTAGTAACATTTTGTTGGTGTCAGGGTTTTTTCAAATTTGTGTGTGTGTACCAATAAGCTTGTCTGTGTGTGCCAGTGAGCCTGTGTATAATGAGTTTGTGTGCTTGTGTCAGTCAGATTGTCTGTGTCTGCATATGAGATGCTTACTGTGAAATTACATTTTTAACACTGAAATAAACAATATTTTGAATAAGAAAAAGAAACATACCAATAAGATAGATACATAGATAGATAGATAGATAGATAGATAGATAGATACACACACTACATGGCACAGGCACAATGGCTTGCATGCATTTTTGTCCAGGGCTACTTTGTATCCCCAGTCTGGCCCTCCAAAAAGGGTCCGAGCATGGATGTCATTACAATTATGCCCTCCACCAGCCCTGCCCCCCTGGAAAAATTCATGCAGATGCCCATGGTGCTGACATCTCTGCTCAGTCCTAAGCAATCCATTACTTGTGCTTTTTAACTTTCACTTCCTGCAATGTATCTACAGGCAGGTACATTTTTTTTATTAACTGGTAGGAGGTGTATGATCTTCTCCTTTGAAGGTAATGAGACACTTTTGTGTATTGTTACCATGTTTATGTTTTACTTTATTATGTAGGAACTTTTTACATATTTAAAGAAATTACATATTGTTTGTTTCACTTTTGGGAGGTTTTATTTAATTTGACACTGTAAGTACCAAAACAACTTAGCTTAATGAAGTGGTTTTGGTGTATAGATCATGTCCCTGCAGTCTCACTGCTCAATTACCTGTCATTTAAAATAGCTCTGTTTATGCAGTGCTGTGTGTGACTTACACAGCTGCCCTACACACTTCCTGTAAAGAGATGTATCATTTTTAGCTTACCTTGTTGCACAGTCTGTTAAATTTAGAATTTCTTATCTCCTGCTCTCTTAATAGCCTGCTGGATCCTGCAGCAGTCTCCTGTGTGTGATTAAAGTTCAAGTAATAGAGCCGGAGATACTAACTTCTAAAGTAAACACTCTGTGCTGTAAGGTCTGGTTGAAATGAAACCATTTTTTAATGAAGGCTGTGTGGGAAGGGGAGGTGTGGCTAGAACTGTGTCACGGGTAGAAACAGTTGCTTAATGTCCCTTCTAGTAATCCTCCGCTAGCCTTGAATGTGGTTGCAGCATTCAGTGATTATAGCTGAAGGAGACAGTGATTTTAGCCCTTTTGTAACTTGTAGCATTCCCCTAACATAGTGGACGAAACCAGTCATGTTCGGTAAAACAAGTTAACTGTTTATTTCAGGAAAAAACATATGTATTTATTCCCTGTGGCTAAAGTGACCTCGCCCTGGTTTTTGGAGCGGCCTGTTTGCTTGCCTCCTACCCTGTGACTATGGGCCCTGCAATATACCTTGCCCAATACACTTTAAAAGGCTCCATTCCATACTCCTTTATGGAGTACTTTTGTACTCCATAAAGAGACAAAAAGAGACTTCCATGAAACTTTTGAACTCCTGCTCTGATCTGGGTGATTTTTGGATGTTGTTCACCCAGATCAGGGCTATCCGAGGATGTAACTTATGGGGATATGTTGTGTTTTGGGGTACTTTCTGAACTTTGTGAAAATGTGGTTTTTCTGCCTGGAGATAATTGAGTTAATTACAGAACTTTACTCAATTATCTCCCAAGCAGAGGGGAGGGATTGTGTGCTGTACATGGGCGTGTCACAGACTGTATGTTTGTTCTGATTGGTTTGTGTCCTTTGTGCTCCTGTGTCCCATCAGGTCCAGGAGGTGTTCTTCTGGCCTGGAGAATTGTATAAAAGCCAACCTGAACCATTAAAGATCAGATCATCTTGCACCTTCATGAAGTCTTGGCTCATGTTTGGGGGATTGGAGAACTACACTCTAGGGATTTCTATAATCCCTATACTCCCCTGAGTATAATCACTAAAATCTTGTAAGAGCTGTTCCTGCTTGACTCTCTGGAGCGAGAGAGGTTCACCCACTGGAACCTGGAGCCTTGTCGTAGGTCCAGGTTGGGTAGGAGACGACGAGACCCCAACCAAGCTGCGGCAGTTTGTGGAGTCTGGTGGAGTGCTGGAATTCCTCGGTGAGCACTAGGACCAGCGATTGGCGGAGGCACTCGGTCGGAGTGCCAGGCGGTTCGTCATATTTGGTGGCAGCGGTGGGATGGCTTCCTAGCCTTGGGAAAACCAGCACTACTGCAGTATGGAAGGCAAGTACTGCCGGTCAGTGTCCAGCTTCGATGCCAGGCTCCAGCAGCGACTTCGGGATGTGCTGCACAGTATGGATCACCCCATCCCAGAGGATAGAGAGACAGAGTGGAGGGTGGCACTTCGAACCGATCATTGGAAGAAGGACCTCGACGAAATTCAACCCTTCCGGAGTGAGGAAATCCTGACCACCGACCAGCACCAAGCAGAACAGCTAGAGCTGCGGATGCCGTTTCTGTGAAACCAGCCCTCAGAGGAATGGGTAAGAGACCTGGAGAGGCTTGTCATGACTGAAGTATGGTTGGACGAATCATACTGGGCCTTGCAGTGGCATGCATTCATTAGCTACCAGGGGCGGGTCAATCTCCAATGCATCGAGGGAGAGTACTACGATGGCCCTGGTCTTTTGTGGGAGGTTTTTGAAGATGGTATGGCGTTAGGAGACCCAGACAGTTCCCACTTCTGGTGCATACGAGATGAGCGGGAAGACAGCTTGGGCCTTATGGAGATTGCGGAAATGCAACCAGATCTCACTTTTTTGGTTAACCTGGAGTGGGAGCTCGAGCAGGACTATGTTCACCTATTTAACCGAGTAACACCAACTGTCTCTGACATGGTGGGGCTTATGGACTGTAAACCACCGGGAGCGTTGAGTTTCGTCCCTCCTCCCCAGCAACTAAGCCTGTCATCAGGAGTCCTGGGTACTGTACCACCTACTTCCCAACCAGCCCCGGAGATAAGAGACCTTATCGACTGGCCCTGGGAAGTCCCCCAGTTGGCAGGTGGAGATGGGACCGAGGTCTCTCCACCGGCCCTACAGGGATGCTGAGCAGCCAGCCCAGATCCAGATCCAACCCCAGATGGAGGTGTTACAGGGAGTGGACACAACCGGTCTCTCTCCCCAGCTGCAGTGTATGTTACAGGCAGGAGAGACAACCGGTCTCACTCCCTTACGGTAGTGTGAGGTCCTGGGAACAGAGACACCCGGTCTTGTTCCCCAGCGGCAATGTGTGTTATCAGGAGAAGAGACAGTAGGTCTCTCACCCCAGCGGCAGTGTATGGCACAGGGAGAGGAGACAACCGGTCTCTCTCCCCAGCGGCAGTGCATCTCACAGGGAGAGGAGACAACCGGTCTCTCTCCCCAGCGGCAGTGCATCCTACAGGGGGAGGAAGCAACCGGTCTCTCTCCTTAGTAGGCAGTGCATCTTATAGGGAGAGGAGACAACCGGTCTCTCTTCCCAGCAGCAGTGCATCCTACAGGGAGATGAGACAACTGGTCTCTCGACCCAGCGGCAGTGCATCCTACAGGGAGAGGAGACAACCGGTCTCTCTCCTCAGCAGCAGTATACAGTACAGGGAGCAGAAGGTGTCGTCCTTCCTCCCCAGCAGGAAGGTGAGTTTCAGGGAGAGGAGATAATCGGTCTCTCTCCCCAGCGGCAGTGTATACTGCAGGGAGGGGAGACAATCGGTCTCACTCCCCAGCGGCAGGGTGAGTTTCCGGGAGAGGAGACAACCAGCCTTCCTCCCCAGAGGCAGTGTGCCTTGCAGGGGGAGGAGACAACCGGTCTCTCTCTCCAACAGCAGCTGGAGATACTGGGAGAGGAGACAACTGACCCTCCTCCCCAACCACAGGGGGACAGCACTCCTGACCCCGATGGTGCAGATGGGACCGCACCAGATCTACAGGGATGCTGGACGGCTGGTCCAGACCCCAACCAACCCCACAGGAATGCCAGGAAGAGGAGGTAGGTGATCCCTCCTCTCCACAGTCTCCACAGCGGTTGTCTCCTGTGTCTCCTCTTCCTGCAAGGCACACTGCCTCTGGGGAGTGAGACCGGTTGTCTCCCCTCCCTGCAGTATACACTGCCACTGGGGAGAGAGACCGGTTGTCTCCTCTCCCTTAAACTCACCTTCCTGCTTTTTTAGTTAACCTGGGGGTCCTGGGGGTGGTATTCGCTGAATCCATCCCAGCAGAAGATCTGGCATCGGGGCAGTATGCCCTTGTTACAGGGCAGGACTATGTACTAGTCTCCCCAGCAGAAGCGCTGGCACCAGGGCAGAGCACTGTTGGCCTCTGCCGTCCCATTTACCTTTGTCCAGGGCCTGAATACCCGCAGGCCACCCCAGCAGAAGCACTAGCAACAGGGCAGAGCATAGTTGGCCTCTGCCCTCCCCTTACCCTTAATCCTAGAACTGGCACCCCTTTCAATTACCCAGCTGTAACGCTGGTCTCTGCCCACCAAGTAACACCAGCTACCAGCCAGAGAGCAACCGAGAATCCAGGAGTATCAGTATTTGCTTATGGGCTACTCGACTAACTCAGGCACCGACCGACAGGAGGTCAGGTACCTGGTTAGTCTCCCCTTAGGGAGGGAGATATGTGGTGAAAGTGACCTCGCCACTGGTTTTTGGAGCGGCCTGTTTGCTTGCCTCCTACCCTGTGACTATGGGCCCTGCAATATACCTTGCCCAGTACACTTTAAAAGGCTCCATGTTGGGTAGGAGACGGCGAGACCCCAACCAAGCTGCAGTGATTCATGGAGTCTAGAGTGCTTATGGTGTCTGGTGGAGTGCTGGAATTCCTCGGTGAGTACTAGGAGCATCGATTGGCAGAGGCACTCGGCCGGAGTGCCAGGCAGTCTGTCACATTCCCCTACACACACCAGGGGGGTCTTTAGCCAGAACAATGAAAACCACTATTGGTGTCTAAGATAAAATTAGGTCAAGACATGATAACTTAATTTCCTGCTGGAAACCAAGACACATTGCACAACAGCTGTAACATAATATAATTAACTCAATAGCTTTTATTTATTTCCACCTTTTACAAAAATACTTGACAATTATACAACATATCCCCACATTCTATATATCATTTTAAAGTCTGTTACCAGGCCCATTGTCTGTGGGCAGGAGGCTAGCTGTTATGCCTCTCCAGCAGGCTGTGGCACAGGGGCTTCTATGACAAACTGCATAAACAGAAACTAGAGTGGTTCCCACCTTTCCCCCTCATTTGCACACTGTTTTTGTTGCACTTAAAAAAATTGAATTTCTTATCATGGAAAAGACTAATGATAAGTGTGTGTTGGGGAAAAAAATGCTGTGTCTGACTCTGTTGTTATTAGTCCTCCCCCCTCACCCCTTAGTCATAGCTGGAGACACTGCTCAGTCTGATCAGGTAATCATGTCACGATTTTGGAGCATATTTTTAAATGCCCCATTTTCTTTATATAAAATTCTTAGATATGCGTAGTCCATTATTATAGGAATGACCTATTGGTTTTACATCGAGCCATCAGATCCTGGATGTCCTAAACTTTAGGACCTAAAGAACAGGTTTCTTTATTGTTCCATGTTTTAGAGTTATCATTGGAAAGCAGTATAATGGGTGCACTAGTATCTCTGTAAATTAGTTGTTGTTTCCCAAGTACATTTATCTACAGGTTTATGGTGTTGAACAGGACAAGACATCCCATTAGGTCAGGGGTTGACTGCATGGGATTTTAAGGGCAGAGGCCAACAAGTCAGAGTGCTAAACATCTTTAAGCTACACCAAACACTAGGGCTTTCACTGGTTTGGAAGCTTTCAAACGGACCTATCTTTATAATGTCAATGTTAAATTGCAGAGTGAATAAAAAAGTTTTCATAAAAAAAAATATTGATTTGTGCCTCTCTCTGCAGCCATTTCAGCATTAAACTCACCTCCGCTCATCATATACTCGCGTAGAATGGGCAATCGGAAGTTTCCTGCCAATGTCGCCAAGTAAGGACGAATTCCAGGGAATTTTTGGGAAAAGCCAGTAGACTCAGTGACAAAATTACAGAATGCCCCAATGCACAATATGCCATGAGGATGTGATCCGATGATATAATTTCGCCCAGGAGGGAGGTTGTGAGTTTTCACCAACTGCAAGAACAGAAGACAACTTCTAAGAAAATGAAAAGGATGAAAAGAAAGGTCAGAAAAACACAGAAAGAGAACTGGGGAAAAATTAACTCCCACTACCTGGAAGTTAATAAAACCATAAAAATAAAATGAGAGTGGCCTTCCAGGCAACTGACATTTTCATTTATCTACATTGATCCACTATTACTATTATTATTACCTATTATTATTACATCTTATTAATTATTTAGGAAGGATGGCATCAATAAATAAATAATAAATGCCAAAAATTATATAACTGCTATTTTATTACACTTGTTAAAACACCCTAAGGTGTGGTGGAAACCATTGATCACTTATGCCTGCAGAATCCATGGTCCGTCAGCAAACCACATCTAACAACCATCCCCATATATATAGGAATCTAAATATAATTGTTTACAGCCCAGCCTCATTCATATTGGGAATCGTGGTTGCCCCGATTATATGTTGATGCAAAAAAATATTTACTTGGTTTTATGTTTTGGTATAGATTTTTGCTCTCTCCCCAAGCTAACAATGTAATTAATAGGGGCAGCGACTCTCATATTAAATATAAATATATATATTATATTTAATATGGCATAAAAAATAGACTTATGGGCGGTGTTAACTGGGCACCCTAACGTGGCTCTTAGAAATAAACTAACTTTCACTAAACCCAGCCAATAACAATTCAGAAAGACATACTAATGATGTAGGAGTAATGTGCAAAGAAGAAGGCCTATTTTATTAACTCACAGGACTGGGGGATGTTTATTTTTGTTTGATGATTTTTTTCATTTTGAGGGCATGTTTCCATGGCTGTATAAGAGGAACTGATGACTGAGGGAGAGGAGAAGATGGGTTGGAGTACAGAGTAAACAGATAATTGAGATGAGGTGAAAGATGTAGAATTTGTGAGAAAGACTAAGACATTTGTAAATAAGGCAGCATGTATTAATTATATAAAATAGTGTAGATTGGATTAGCTGTATTAGTCCAGTATTTTGGCATCTTATATAAAATATATATATATGTAAGTGCGTAGACCTGTATGGGGAAGTAATCTCGAAAATAATTCCAAATATGCCAGTTCCGCACCCACAAACTGCGTCGACTCCCTGCAAATCAAAATGGATTATCAGCAGAATCAACATACAAACTGCATTATAGAAATAACGTTTAAAGACTGAATGATAATGATTACTTAATGGTAACAGTTATTAGAGATATAAAAACCATGTATGTGTGCATGTAGTACATACAGACAAGGTGAGATATAAGCACTTTGTCTGGACCAGGGGAAGTAAACCTTTTAATACCTAGTGCCCACTTTTGTATCTTTGTTGATGGCAAAATTTCCTTACCGTCCACCAGTAACTTATTTTATAGCGCAAGTGCAATTTATTTTTATTTTTTTTAGAAAGGAGGTATTTATATATATATATATATATATATATGTACTTAAATTGATCTATTTCCTTCTATTTTCTATTCTACTTTTTTCTATGTGTGTCTGTAAGGTGCTGTGTGTGTGTGAAGGGTGCTGTGTGGTGGGGTGAAGGGTGTAGTGTGTATGTGTGAACAGTACAGTGTGTGTGAGGGGGCACTGTGTATGTGTGAGGGGTGCTGTGTTTGTGAAGAGTGTAGTGTGTGAATGTGAGAGAGGTGAAGTGAGGGGGCAGTGTGTGAGGAGGTAGTGTGTGTGAGGGTGCAGTGTGTGTGTGTTTGAGGTGCAGTGTGTGTGAGGGGTGCACTGTGTGTGTGTGTGTGTTTGTGAGGGGTGCAGTGTGTGTTAGAGGTGGTGTGTGTGAGAGGTGCTGTGTGCTTGTGAGAGGTGCTGTGCGTGTGAAGGGTGCAGCGTGTGAGGGGGCAGTGTATGTGAGGGGTGCACTGTGTGTGTGTGTGTGTTTGTGAGGGGTGCAGTGTGTGAGATGTGCTGTGTGTGAGGGCTGCAGTGTGTGTGTGTGTGTGTGTGTGAGGGGACAGTGAGGCTGGAGGCGGGGCATGGAGGCGGGACCAGGGTGTGGCTGGAGGCACCACGTGGGTGTGGCCTGGAAGGGGGCACTTGATTTATTTTGCCCGTGGGCCCTGAGGGTTCTCAGTCCACCCCTGCCTTTAACAATTATTTTGTCAGATGCTGCACCACACTGATTGCCAAGCTAATAAATGACACACATCCTGAAACTACAAATGTGGATCAGACCCCATTAAATTTGCAAAGACCCAATAGAGACAAGTTAAATTTAGACCTGTACCTATTAGTGTCATTAAGAAAGACCTTAATAATCTAAAAATGAAAAACCAATCTGGACCTGATGAAATCCCAGCAATGCTGTTGAAGCTCAGTGTGCCTGCAATTGCTAAACCTGTCACAACCCTAATTAACAAATCCTTGGTGTTTGGATACATACGCAAACTTTGGAAGACTGCGAGAGTAGTGCCTATCCATAAAGGTGGTGACATTACTTTGGTTTCTATTGCCCAAAATCATTGCTCCCAGTATTGTCAAAAATCTGTGTCCATACGCAACTATGTGAGTATTACCAACAATCTAACTATCTGACCCTTGATCAAAAAAGTTTTCGCTCGAATTACTCCACTACAACTGCCCTCTTAAAAGTTTGCCTAACTGGAGCTATTTTCCTTGATTTTGTAAAGGCCTTTGACACAGTAAACCACGACATTCTACTGCACAAACTAAAGAAATCAGGTATTGGTGATCATCCGCTAATCTGGTTTCGATCATATGTATCGGATCGATCACAATATGTGTCCATTTCTGACAGCAACTCCCTCCCTCTCCCAGTCACGTGTGGTGATCCCCAAGGTTCCATTTTTGGCCCTCTACTATTCACATTATTTATAAATGATCTGCCTAATGTCTGCAAATCCTCAAATGTACACATGTACGCAGACGACACAGTAATCTATGCAAGCAAATCCGATCTACTGCAGCTTGAGGCTGTGCTCCAAGACCAGTTCACAGAGGTAGAATAGTGGATCGCAAAAAACAAACTCTTCATAAACACTGACAAAACTGTCACAATGATCTTTGGAACGGCACCTAAATTATGCAAATTACACAATTCCCATCTATGCATCAAAGCAAAATCAAATAGCACACTGACCGTAGACCACTCTTTCAAATACTTGGGTATTTTGTTAGACCCCAATCTATCTTTTGACCTCCAAAAAGAAAAACTTGCATCTAAAATTTATCCACAATTAGGTGCCCTGTACAGAAACAAATCCTGCCTAAGCCCTACAGTAAAAGAAAAGATTGTACAGCAAATGCTGATGCCCATCATTGATTGTGGAGAGGTAGTATATGCACTTGCACCGCAAACCCACATGATACATTGTATTACTCGTTTTGCCGATTTGTGCTACAATGTAATTACAGGAACCACCATTGCTATATATGCACCCTTCATCTTTCCAGCCTTGTGTTTAAGAGCTTTTCTGGGAAGCTCCCACCCTACCTGAGCAAAATGCTCTCCCCGGCTGTTCCCACCTCCTATAATATCCGATCCAGTACCAGCACTTTATTTAGTCTACCTCAATACAAAAAGATAGCAGCTCGATCCACCTTTTCCTGAGCACCACAATTATGATGCACACTTTTAAATCTTCCCCAAGTCTAAAGTCCTTTAAGAGATCCCTCTCTATATATATAAAAAAATAATGCACCTGTCATGGTTGATTATATGTTTCCTACCTTTTCTATGTAAAATTTTGAATGCATTGTATATTAATATTGTTTTTGTATTTTATTGTACCCTGTTGTATCAATGCAATGTTTTGTGGTCCCAGGACATACTTGAAAACTAGAGAAATCTCAATGTATTCTTCCTGGTAAAATATTTTATAAATAAATAAATAATGACTTTATGTTTGATGGCAAGTTTTATTTACAACTAGCAGGGACTGTTATGGGCACAGCTTGTGCCCCAAGGTACGCTAATCTGTTTTTGGTCTGGTGGGAGCAGTGTGTCATCAACTCCTCAGAGTATAATAGGTACCAATCTTTTATTCTAAAATGGTACCGGTATATAGACGACATACTGCTACTATAGTCTGGTTCAATCCCAATGTTTGAACAACTTGTGGTGGACCTGAATCAAAACAATATCTACCTCCAACTTACCCACATGATTAGTGAAAACAGTATGATCTTCCTGGACTTAAAGATACTATTATTTTTCATTTTTTTTGGCCTGATCCTTGATGTAGGTAGACGCTCAGGTAGAGAGCTCCCGCATTGAAGCCTCCAGAGCTTTAAACAGATACCGATGAAATAACATACTAACTATAGTTAGTATAGTTTGTTTGTTTTGGTGTGCACCATGCTTATAGACCTGTTAGATATATGCATTTATTGCGCAAAAATACTGCTTGGATGCTGGATAAAACATGATGGCGGATAAGATAGTTTCTTTAACTGTAAAAGGCCTGAATTCACCCATAAAAAGAAAGTTGATGTTTAAAGAATTAAAAAGAATGAAGGTTGATATAGCTTTTCTACAAGAAAATCACCTTAACAGATCTCATGTACTATCTTTGACAGATAAAATGTATGATAGAGCATATAGCTCGAACGCCATTCGTAAACACAACGGAGTGGCTATCTTGTTCCATAAATGATGCCAGTTTAAAGTATTAAGCTCTATTCAGGATAAAGAAGGAAGGTATATTTTGGTTTCTGGAATGATGGGCCCCTGTAAGCTACACCTAATGAATCTATATGCTCCAAACGTCCCTGACACTAGATTTTGGGACACGATAAGCCAAATTATTATTTTTTATAGCGTCAGACTGCCTCTTGATAGGTGGGGATTGTAATGCTGTTTCGTGCCCAGCGTTAGACAGGAGCTACAAGTCAGGATCAGTGCGGTCTCAGGGACGGGGAGGTCAGGACAAACTGTTCTTTCAGTTTACGTCGGCTCACAAACTAATTGATGTATGGAGAGCTCACCAACTTGATACGCTGGATTTCACCTTTTATTCTCATCCACATGATAGGCACTCTAGAATAGATATGTTTTTGACAAATCGAACACTTTCCCCTTATCTATATAGCTCACAAAGATAAAATCAGAATCATTGTTTGAGCTACAGAAATCCATACGCAAACTGGAACAAAAGCATAAAACAGCCCCTTCCGAACAAACACTACATGATCTGAAAATGAATAGATTAAAAATTAAATCTCTTTTATTAGATGAAGCTGCATGGCAGTTAAAAAACAACACACAGAAGATACTTCTACGAGAGAGCAAATAAGATAGATGCTCCCTTGGCTAAGTGTTTAAAACCACGCATACATTCTAAACCTATTTCAGCAATTAGAAACGCCTCAGGAACCTTAGTATCATCAACAGATGGGAATATTTCACTAGTACTGTACAGTCAATTTATGGATGAGAATGGGGAGGACATGGACCAGGACATAAGACTGAGAGAATTCTTTGATAGGATGAATCTACCTCAAATCCCCGAAAGTGCTCTAGAATTATTGAGGACAAGAATATCTATAGAGGAGAGTAAATCTGCCTGCTTCTCCATTAAAGGGGGTAAAGCACCAGGCCCGGACAGTTTTAGCAGTAGTTATTATAAAACATTCCAACAAATCCTTATGCCATATCTACAGGAGATTATAGATTAAATATGCTTAAATGGATATCTTCCAGCTAATCTTACAATGGCCAAAATCTTACTACTGACAAAAAAGGATAAAGACCCTGCATCAGTGGGAAATTATAGACCTATATCATTAATAAATGTGGATATAAAAATAATAGCCAAAGTCCTAGCTTTAAGACTTTCTCCTCTCCTCCCCACCTTGATTCACCCAGATCAAGTAGGCTTTGTTCCAGGTAAACAGCTCTACGAGAGTATACGTAGAGCTGTGGATATCGCATGGGTCATGGAAACAGGAAAGATACCATCAATACTCTTGTCGCTAGATGCCGAGAAAGCATTTGATAGGGTTGCATGGTCTTATTTATTTTATCTGCTACAACATTGGAGACTTCCTGATCTTATCATTACTATAATCCGAGCGCTATACTCTAATCCGCAAGCATTAATACAACTCCCTGGCACAGATAAGACCCAATTTGGTATACATAGTGGCACACGCCAGGGCTGCCCTCTCTCCCCAATCTTGTTCGCCCTTATATTAGAACCTCTCCTGATCCTCATTAGAGAAAGCAATAATATTCAGGGTGTTCAAATAGGCAGGGAGGTCTATAAAACAGCAGCTATTGCTGATGATGTATTACTCTCCATGGCAAATCCTTCTGAATCCATCCCCAAATTGTTTAACTTGATAGACCAATTTGGAGATATTTCGGGGTATAATCTAAAAGCAGAAGGAATATATAGATATGCAGATCTTTGGTTAAAAGGAGAGGTGGTCTTATTTTCCAGACTAACGGCCAGAACAGGCCTGAGGACAGGAGACTTTTTTCGTTAAATGTAGATTAGAGACCTGGTTTGCTCAGCGGAAGTAAAAACAGTAGTTAAACTTCCCCTCACTGATTTTGAAAAACTCTGTAAAGCAGGAAAGATAAAGATGTCTGTCAGTGAGTGTCTGTGTGTCTGTCAGTGAGTGTGTGTTTCTGTCAGTGAGTGTCTGTGTGTCAGTGTGTGTCTGTGTGTGTATATGTCAGTGAGTTTGTGTCTGTCAGTGAGTGTGTGTGTGTCTGTCAGTGGGTATGTGTGTGTCTGTGTGTGTTTGTCTGTCAGTGAGTGTCTGTGTCTGTCAGTGAGTGTGTGTGTGTGTCTCTGTGAATGTCTGTCTGTGAGTGTGTCTGTCAGTGTCTGTCAGTGTCTGTCTGTGTGTCTGTCTGTCTGTCAGTGAGTGTGTCTGTCAGTGTGTCTGTGTGTCTTTCAGTGTCTGTGTGTGTGTGTGTGTGTGTTGGTCAGTGTTGCATTGGCTGCGACTGGGCAGTGGAGTACCAGTGGGTGCTGGGATTTAGTAAATGGGGGACTGGGGGGGGGGACTGGGATTTAGTAGAGTGTGGTGCTTTGATTTAGTAGAGGGGGATGCTTTTTTTTTATTATACTGTACTTTTCAAAATAAACCTACCTTTCTATGAAAATTTAAGGTTTGTTTTTTTTGCGGCCCACATAAAATTAAACCTTGTTTATGTGGTCCGTGCTAGACTTTGAGTTTGACATGCTTGCTGTAATGTGTGCCAATTCATCAGACCAACAAAATTCACAATATCCAATCAAACATAGATGAAAGTCCAAACAAATGCCTTCATAAATTCTGGTACTACTAAATTGCTTTATTTAATCACTTGTTATTTCAGGAAGCAATATATAGGTAAGACGTTCCAGCAATTAAGGCAAAGAATTTTGCAGCACATAAATTCTGTCAATCACAATGTGCTAATTCCAGTATCCAGGCACATTATCAATTTCCATGATTTTATTACTAAATTGTTAAGCTTCCAAGCGATTGAGAAACTACTACCTAATCCCAGAAAGGGGGATTTTAATCTTACCCTACTACAAAAGGAATCCAGATGGATATATAAGTTTAGAACTTTGGCCCCTTTTGGCCTAAATGAAGAATTTAATTATACTTCATTCATACATAAATAGATCTCACAATACGAATGGATCATTCCAGCACTATGTTTGTAATTTTTAATGACCTTATTCTATATTAATTACACTGCTCAGATTTTTTTCAATTAAAATGGTTCCTTAATATAATATTTTTCCAATATCTATATTTCTTTTATTTTTCATACATTGTCATACACTCATTTTACCATTATGAAATCTCAACTTGTTTTCCCCATTTTTCTGAAACCTTATAGTATTGGATCATACAATGGAATAATTATATTAGCGCTATATTTAACTCTAGGTAAAGTTTTCCAATTAAGATTTACATAAATTCATACTTTTTGAAAATCTTGCATTTACTATTTATCTTTCCACAGTTTAGGTTAGTATTTTCCATTTACAAAATAACCACTTAGTAGATATTTCCCTTTCAGAATTCGGGATTATTCTAGCGTTAGTGACTGAATAATCTAAATTTTATTAAAGACAGGAGGCGAATATTTGCTTTAACCTTCTTTACTGAACCTCCCAGCAGCAAAGAAATAGTTAAACATATAGAGAAAAAATCAACCAATCAGGACACATATTAGAACATAACAGTCTGTCAGGCTCCTCCCAAATCCTCTTTCTGATGCAGCCGATCATAAGTGTAGTCAACCGTGTAAACTTGAGTAATCCATCAACCATGTAAACCAGAACGCAGCCGATACTAGAGACCAAAAGAACGTAGTCTTCGTGGCTCATGTAGAGAAACTTCACACTAAAAGACAGAGAAAGATCGTGAAAGTATGGTCACTTGGACTGGGTGTCCGCAAGATATCTACATTTACAGATCTACCCCCTGGATATTACAAGTATAACTATTGCAAAATTTAAAATAATCAGAACCAGGCAGATTGATAAGCACCTAAACAGAGCAAACAAGAAAAACAGTCAGATAAATATAAAGTCTCACAAGAAACCTAGAAAAAATTTTAAGAGTACATGTGATCTGAAAAAAATCTGGGTGGGAGAGCAATAGGGTGGGAAAATATTCGCCTCCTGTCTTTAATAAAATTTAGATTATTCAGTCACTAACGCTAGAATAATCCTGAATTTTATGGCAAGACAGGAGGCTTCATATTTGCTGTTTTAAAGCGTGGAAACCAAAGAAAAAGAAGCATGGGACGATTGTCGAAAATAGAAGGTACGGAAGGTAGATTCTCTAGACCAATCAGCGCATTTTAGGATGTCTCCAAGGGATCCCCCAGCTATAAAGGCGGAAGAGGCAGCAGTGCCTCTGACAGAATGAGCGCCAAAAGATGAATCTATGCCCGCTGAATCTAGAAGCCATTTAATCCAGCGGGCAATCGTGGGACAAGACACTGGCTTGTGTGGTCGCACATATGAGATAAACAGGGGGCCCGTAGGGAGACGTAGAGGCGACGTAGTGTTGGACACAACGAGCAACGCAAAGCGATGGTCTGTCGGAAAAATAAAGGTAAGTAATCGTTAAGGAATTAGTTTTAGTGCGGCGAGAAATGTTGAAACATACACCTTGGGGCATGAATTCAATAGCGTGAAAGTCAAATGCCTGAATATCAGAGACTCTCCTAAAAGAAACCAAGCAGAGGAGAAAAGCTACGACAGTTGTCGTAAAGAGAGTGCTTCATTGGGTGGCCAAGTCTCTAGGAAGGACAAAACAAGAGCAATATCCCAAAAATGAGAATATTTTGGGACAGGAGGTCGAGCAAGACGAATGCCACGCAACAGTCTACAGATGGAGGGGTGTTTACCTATTGCTGTATTATCAATGGGGCCATGAGCTGCCGTAATTGCTGAACGAAACACATTAATGGATCTGTAGGATTTACCTTGATCAAAAAGAGAGGACAGAAAGTTCATGACGTTAATCAAAGAAGCTGAAACGGGATCAATACACCTTTCCAAGCACCAGCGATGCCAAACTCGCCAGGCTGAGAGGTAAGAGCGTCTAGTCCCGGGGGCCATGAGTCCCATAAGAGTGCTCTAGCAGTCTCCGAAAGTCCTGCGGCATTCCAGGATCCCCTGAAACAGTCCAGGCCACTAGCTGGAGATGACCCTGCAACGTAAGAGGGTGAAAATTGCCTGCGGGATCTTTGAGAAGATCGTGCGTGGCAGGTAGCAGTAGTGGATAATTCACCGACATCTCCAAGAGATTGGGGAACCATTGCTGGGTATGCCACAAAGGGGTCAGCAGTGTTATTGTGGCCCCCTGAGTCCTGAGATGATGCAGAGTGCGAAGGATCATGGAGAACGGAGGGAAGGCATAAGCGCCGGTCATTGGCCAAGATTGAAGGAAGGCATCTACTGCCATAGAGGTCGGATCCGGCAACCAACTCAAAAAAGTGTCCGTCTGTCGGTTCAGACGAGATGCAAATAGGTCGATATTGAATGGACCCCGAAGAAGATGGAGACGGTAAAAAACGTGTGGGTCCAATTGCCAGTCGCTGGAGTCTCTCCAGTGTCGAGAGAACCAATCTGCGGCTAAGTTGTCGGAACCCGGTAGATACTCCGCTCGCAGGGAGATGTTCCTGTCCAGACAAAATTGGCATAGTTCTTTTGTGAGGTCTGAGAGCATTTTGGAACGGGATCCCGCTAAACGATTCACGTATTGAACAGCTGAGATGTTGTCCATTCTCCGTACTAGGGAACAATTGTAGGAGTCCTTTGCGAAACTGCGAATCGCAAAGGACCCGGTTATCAACTCGAGGCAATTGATGTGCAATGCCCGTTCTGATGGGGACCAAGGACCTCCGGTAGAGAGATTTGCGCATGATGCACCCCAGCCTAGAAGACTGGCATCTGATTCTAGGATGTAATCTGGCTGTGATCCAAAGATCGCTCTCCCATTCCATGCTTCCATATGGTGTAGCCACCAGTTCAATTCGAGTCGGACTTCGTCTGTCAAAGAGATCTGTTGATCGTAAGATGCAGAGTGACGTAACGAGCGAGTCTTCAGTCTGCTCGGTAATGTAAAGGAGCTGGGAAGATCGCCTGAATTGAGGCAGAGAGTAGTCCGATTATGCGAGCTAAGTCGCGAAGGCGGATAGTCGAAGAGGCTAGAATTTTTCTGATGTCTTTTTTGATGTTCTTGATCTTTACTGAAGGGAGTTGTAGGATAGCCAAAACGGAATGTATTTGGAATCCCAGGAACTGAACCACCTGAGATGGGGTGAGGATGGATTTTTGGACATTGATCACGAACCCCAAGTTTTGTAACAGAGCTGTGGTCATGTCTGTATGGAGTCATAAAGTGCCTGGGTCCCGAGCCATAAGGAGGATATTGTCCAGATATATGATGGAGCGAATCCCTTAGGAGCATAGCAAGGCCATGACTGGTTTCATCAGCTTGGTGAAACACCAGGGTGCGGAACAGAGTCCGAAGGGAAGGCATGTGAACTGCCATAAGTCTTGATGCCATCTGAACTGTAGGAAACAGCGATGGGCCGGTGTTATAGGAACCGTGAGGTAAGCATCTGTCAAGTCTAAACGGGAGAACCAGTCTCCCTCGCAGAGTAGGTCTCGAAGGAGGTGGATACCCTCCATTTTGAAATGTTGGTAAACAATAAAAGTGTTTAGGTCTTTCAGGTTGATAACTGGTCGAAAGTCCCCTGACTGTTTTCGGACCAGAAATATGTTGCTTATGAATCTGTGAGGGGACCGAGAACGTTCTATAGCGCCCTTGGCGACAAGGTCGTTTAGCGCGGCCTCCAAAGTCGCATTGTCCTCTTGAGACATGTGCAGAGGTGGAGGGGGGAACTCTTGTAGAGGGTCGTTTGCAAAATCTATATGGAAACCAGATACAGTTTGAAGGATCCATGGATCCTGAGTTAATAGAGACCACTGTTGGAAAAAAAGGGTTAGCCGACCTGCAATAGGAACTTGAGAATAAGGAAAGTCGATTACCTGAAGCAGTGCGGCCCCGGAGGGAAGCATATCCACGTCCTCTGATGGAACGTCTAGAGGGAAAGAACTGCTTGTGGTAGAAACGGGTATTGCCCGAATTCCATGAGTCTGCTGGTTGAGGCCTGTAGCCTGTGAAGGCAGCTCTGCCAGTCGTTCGGCCCCTATAGCGACCAGCTCTCCCGGAAAAACGCTGGGGTCTGAACACCCTGCGAAGGTTCCATTGTGCCTTGTTAAGGGAGGTAAACACGGATACGTGTTTATTCAGGTCTCGTATGAACCTGTCCCCGAATAATAGTCCGTTAGCCTCTGGACCAAGTTCTTTGGTGCCTAGTTCTGCCAATTTGGCATCAATTTTATATAACACGGCTTTACGCCGTTCAACGGAAATAGCTACATTGGCGTTGCCTAACAGGCATAACGCTCTTTGTGCCCATTCACGCACCATGTGTGCGTCAAAATTGCCTCCTGCTAGCGTCTCATCAGCAATTATAAAAATCTGGATAAGCGGGCCTGCTATATCCATCAGCTTGTCCTGGGTGGCTTTTAAGCCAACTTCGATTCCCTTACCCATCTTAGTTAGAAAAGTGACCAGGAGTGGGTCAAGTTCAGGGGTGACAGCCACCTTATCAGGGATCATAGGTCGTGGACATTCTGCTCTTAATTTGGCCCTAATCTCCTTTTCTAAGGGTTTACGAAGCCATAATCTGCAATATTTTGCAATGTGATCAGGGGGTGTCAATTCCGCCTCAGAAGGGGAAGGGTCACCTGGGAGATCCTCCTCTGGATACGCATTGTATTCGTCTATCACTCGTAGGTGATAGCCAGAGGTTGAGTCCTTTAAGAGGTCAGATTCTGAGGTCAAAGTGCGTTTGGCATGAGACAATTTAGCTGTCTTTGCTGGGGCTTTGCCTTTGCCAGCAGAAGCACTGTTACCCTTCCACGGGCGTTTACGTGGGGCTTCGTCATGGTCAGAGACCCTGGAATCATCAGAGTCTGACAATTGCGAGATGGTGGCAGTAGTGGCTGTCTGGTCATGAAATGCTGCCAAGGCTTTGGGGATAGAGTCTGCAATTGCAGCTTGAAGTCAGGCTTTTAATTCTGCTGACATTGCAGGTTCTGGTTGGTCCGACATGGTGACCAGTAAAATAGTAGTGGGTTCACCACAGAATCAGTATACCAAAAGGTATATTAAACAACTTTTATATAAATTCTTTTATTTTTTTTATTTTTTTATTATTATATATATTAACAAACTTTACACAAAACAAGTAAAAGCAGGGGCTGTCTTATTGGGGTTCACCCAGATAATATGCAGTCACCTTTAAGGGGACCAAGTGGGGTTCATCCACAATTATGGCAGTTAAACTGTCAATATAATAATGACAGGGGTAACCTGTGCAAATCAATAAAATATATAAGGGGTTCACCCTGAGAGATAAGGCACGAGGGGGTCACCCTCAATAAAGAGGCACAAGGGTATCACCCTTAAATCAAAAAGGCAAGAGGGGGTCACCCTCTAATAGGCATAGAGCTGTATAGTATAGTTTGAGAGCAATCTGCAAATAAAAACACAAATAGGCTAATATAAGCAAGTGTTCTGTGTAATATTCAGATGTAATAACAAAATGTACCAGCAGGGGGCAATGAAACTTACCGTCTAACAGAGCTGCAATCCAGTAGCTGTTCACCGAAAAAGCGCGCGAACGGAAACTAACCGCCGAACAGAAGATGGCCGCCGGCATAGAATGAGGAAGGCGGGAAACTGCGTGTCAATCAAATGACGCGAAAAAACGGGCGGTACAGAAATAGATCGCGGGCGTGATTAAAACGGACCGCAGCCACAGCAGTGGCGCGGTCTGAAGATAATTTCACCAAGGAAAAGGTTATTAAGGTTTTACTACAAAAAAACCCAGTCAGTCATAAATAAAAAGCACAGGGAAGGGACTGAACAGTGGGCTGACCTGTGAAAAGGTTTATGTGGTAAAGTGCACAGATAAAGTAAACACACCATTACCTCATGGAAATAAAAGAGACAGGGAAAGTTAATTAAAGGAGTCAAAAAATATATGGAAAAAAACAATATAAGGCAGGTCAATAATATATATATTAGAGAGCTATAATTGGAATAGACTCACCTGGGAGGCAAGCAGCAAAGAAAGAGGATTTGGGAGGAGCCTGACAGACTGTTATGTTCTAATATGTGTCCTGATTGGTTGATTTTTTCTCTATATGTTTAACTATTTCTTTGCTGCTGGGAGGTTCAGTAAAGAAGGTTAAAGCAAATATGAAGCCTCCTGTCTTGCCATAAAATTGTGTTTGTACATATTAAGTGCCTTTATCTATTATATTTAGATGCTCATTGGATCAATCTCAGTCTAGTTTGTTTTGTATTTGACTTGGATTGTATGTCATAAACTTACTAGATATAATTACAATTTTAGTATCCTATATTATTTATTTTTATTCTGTTCAATCTTGATTTGAACACTATATGTAGCCAATTCACATTTCAGGAATATTTCTCAGTAGTATCCTTGCTAAGCATTTACTATTTATGGCTATCTCTATACAGTTTAGGTCAGTAATTTCCATCTTGCAAATAACCACTTAATAAATAAGAACTGCTGTTTTTTGGAATAACCTTTACAGATTAATTCCTTCTAATACCTTTATCTATTTTATTTAGACGTTTATAATGACCAACTTGAGTCTAGTTCGTTTTGTAATTGACTTGGATTGTATGTCATTAAATAACTAGATTAAATTACAAATTCAACACAGCAATGAAGGGGTGATTGCTCATATCCTATATCTTTTATATTTTTATATTTTCTTTTACCAAAGATCACATATACTGACCATCTAGGATTGATCACTTCATTCTAGCAATTCACCCATTGGATGCCTTATGTTAAACTCTATTATGGCACTTCTGACATTGCATTGGCTAATCACCATATCAATCACTAATGGGGCACATTGATTGTATTTAACTTACATCAGGTGTTTCCTTCCTTACCCTATATAAAGACGATTCAGGTATCAAGTTCATTTTCCCCTGAGAAGCCTGCCTGGCGAAACGTACGTTGGGGCTAGACAAGTATTTCTGCCAGGTGATGTTGTTCCTAGTAAAATTAGGATCCGGATCTATTTATACCTTTTGATTAATATTTTCAAACTTGAAGGCGTGCTTAGCCATCTCCATAATAATTTCTGTAGCTGTCAGGAGTTTGTTAGACAGAATCATGATAAGATTAGGTGCCCTCTAAGGATATTATCTGTGTGCTCGAAGCCGGTATCTTGCTACAATTTCACTCACTACAGTATATTTAAAACACCACTTGGTGATGCGAATGTCTTACTTTGTTACAAATTTTAGCTATTCTGTAGCTTACAAGACTAATGCAGAACATCCGTACGGTCTTTTAGGTGCCTGATGTGGATGAATCAAGCCAGATATAATTGTCCACATAGATATATCCTACCAGAACACAAAATAATATATTAGTTCTCTCTGTATATACTTTGGTTTTGTTCTCTTCCACTTTTTTTTTAATTTAGTGTGTGTGTGTGTGTATATATATATATATATATATATATATATATATAATATTTAGTTTCTCACATGCACTTTTTGATAACTTTAATAAATGTTAAGTTTTAGATTAATTTATTTCTTTATGGATTTACATCTTATATGTTCAAATTTAGGTTAATTCAGGGCATTTCTTTTGTCTCTAGATTATATAGCTAGCTTGCTCTTCTATTACAATAAAAAACTCAACCAAGAGTTTCTGGTAGCTACGGATTAGGCCTACACAACATTCAGGAGGGATTTGACCACTTGTCATGGTTCTGATCAGGTCAGATATGAGACTTAAACTGGGGTTAACTTTGGGTTCTTTATTCAGATTCTTAGACATGTTTTACTTGAAACAATAAGCGTAGCCGGACTAAAAGGGAAGTGAAAGCAAAAAGGAGAATAGTAAATGAAGCCTAATACAGGTCAGTTGGCAAATAAAGCCCATAAATGAAATTATAGGACAGAGGGAGAAAAATTACAGGTAAGTATGAAGAGGGCTATTAAAAGGGTTTATACAATAAGCCCCAGACAAGATATAAAGTAACCGTTAAACCTATAAATGAAATTATAAACAGAAGCAATAAGGAGTACCTAAAAGTGAAATTCTAGGTGAGTATATGGAGAGAAAACAGAAATCAAGAGTTAGGCAATATGCCCCAGACAGAAAATTAGTTAACAAGGAAACCTATAAGAGAAATATAGGTAAAACAAGAGAAGGAAAACCTATAAGTGAAATTATAGGTTCAGGTAAGCAAATTACAACTAAACAGAAATACAAAAGGATGAAGTAATACAGGTAAGTTATACGTTTAGTTGATCAGCCTCTTTGGTTTAGAGGTTGTACTGCAGTAATAGGTCTTTCAGGTTAGTTGCAAATATCAGGAATGTTTGTAAATCCATGTACGATGCCTAGTTTTAGGTAGAACAGTAGGTAGCAATAATGAATTAAAATCCAGTATTGAATTAAGCAGGCTGGTATTGTAGATCAGAGTGTCCCCAAGCTTATTGACAGTAAGTTAATTGGGAATGTAGCAGGTAGAAAGGATAAATCGGGTTGATCGAATGAAATCCAGGGGAAAGCAGGTTTTTGCAGTAAGAGCCAGGATCAGTAGTCTTGTCAGGATCAAAACACAAACTGCAATCAATGTAAAGGCAATTTGTCTAGCAGGGTGTGTCCTCTTATAGTAGGTTGCATTGATCATGTTAAGCAGGTGAGATAAACTTGGTTTAGACTAGTGGCTAGGGAGGCCACTAGTGGTGAAAAACTGGAATTGTTGGGGGGGGGGGGAAAAGAAGCAGAAAATAAACAATTTTTTTTGGTTGTCAGGATAGGATCCTGACATCACTCTTCCTTACAGAACTGCTTCTGCTCAGCCATATTCTTATTCTGGTGTGAACAACTCTCTTGAGTTTACTCCACAGCATCTCTATGGGGTCATAGTCTGGGATCTGACTAAATCAATATAAAAGGTGGATTTTCTTAAAGCCGTTCTGTAGTGAATATTTTTAGATAGTTGTCCTTCTGCATCACCCAGCTTCTGCTGAGCTTCAGCTGGCATACAGCCACCCTGATATTATCCTGTATCTTGATACACTTGGGAATTAATTTTTCCCTTGATGACGACAAGAGGCCCAGGCACCAAAGCAGCCCCAAATCGTTATGCTCCCTCCACCATACTTAAACATTCGGGTGATGTTTTCATGTTGGTCTACAGTGCTCTTTTTATACCATACATAGTGTTGCATGTTTTCCCCAAACACAAGCTCAGTTTCATCAGTCCACAAAACATTTTCTCAGTAGCATTATGGAGTGTCAAGGTGAAACTTCAGGTGTACAGCAATGTGGTGTATTTCTAAAAAAAAAAAAAAATTAAAAGCAACAGCTTTCTTCATTGTGTCCTGCTATGAAAACTATGCCTGTTCAATGTTTTCCGCATAGAAGACTCATGAAAGAATATGTTAAGCAGTTCCAATGATTTCTTCAAGTCTTTACTTTTTACCTGATTGAGAATTGTGTGTCTGAAAATTCCTGCTGGTGAATCACTTATGGGATAACATCAAGCCCCATGGACCAGAATGAGAGGCTTCTGTTTGGTGGGGCCCTCATTCTGGACTGGAAAAGGTCTACCAGAAACTTTCATATCCAGAAATCTTTAAAATTATGTTTATTGTTAAGTTACTTCTGTGCATTAAAGGAACACAATAGTCACCCAGACCACTTCAGAAGTAGTCTGGGAGTAATAATCCTGTCAATTTAACCCTATAATGTAAAACTGCAATGATTACATGCAGGGTTAAATCCCTCTCTAATGGATGTCTACCTGATGAGAAGATGGGTTTTAGGAGTACAGAGTATACAGATGACTGAGAATTAGTAGAGGTGAAAGGTTGTGGAAGGAATTGTAGTACAACTAAGGAATTTGTAAATAATGTGGAGGATACTGGGATGTGTTTTGAATTTACTGAACTGCGATGATTGAATGTTGAGTGAGGCCAAGAAGGACAATATTAATATTTGTAAAGATAAGTGACTGAAATCTAGGTTATGAAGTACGATGATGGGAAATGATGTAGAGTGTTAGAGAAGGGCTACTAAACTGGTTCATGGATTGCAGGATAAAACTTACAAGGAAAGGTTAAAGGATCTTAACATGTATAGCTTGGAGGAAAGACGAGACGGGGGGGAGATGATAGAAACATTTAAATACATAAAGGGAATCAACAACGTAAAAAAGGAAACTATATATTTAAAAGAAGAAAAACTACCACAACAAGAGGTCATAGACTTAAAAAGGGATGTGCATGGGAAAAATGTTCGGTTCGGCATTCCGAAATTCGGGACTTTGGCACTTTGGAACTTTAGGACAGTGTAGGGTTAGGGTAAAGGTAGGGTTAGGGTTATGGTAGGGTTAGGGTTAGGAATAGAGTTAGGGTTACCCTAACCCTACCCCAAGCCCTCTCCTGTTTTGCCACTTTTCAGAAATCCAAAGCACTTCAGAAATTCGGTTCGATTCGGCACTTCGGACATTCAGAAGCGTACGAAATTCGTCCGAATTTGCATTCTGAATTAAATTAATTGCACTTGTCTAGTCTTAAATTAGCAGAGCTAAGGTTTAAAAATATCAGGAAGTATTACTTTACTGAGAGAGTAGTAGATGCATGGAACAGCCTTCCAGCTGAAGTGGTGAAGTGGTAGAGGTTAACACAGTGAAGGAGCTTGGCATAAGGCTATCCTAGCTATATGATAAGGCCAAGGACTAATGAAAGTATTTAGAAAATTGGGCAGACTAGATGGGGGGGGGGGATAAAATAAAATGTATAACAATTAATGGGAAAAAAATGCGCACACAGACTACATCCTTACACCAGGGACGTATTAGCCGTAAGGCAAACAAGGCATTTGCCTTGGGCAGCACTTTCCAGGGGGCCCCCAAATGCCCAGGAAAATGTCTTGTAAGCCTGGTGGCTAGCTGACAATCCAGGCGGGCGGCGCTGGTAAGGGAGCACTGATTAGTGAGCTCTCTGCTCAGCTCCCTCGCGCGCCGCATAGTGATGCTGGAATATGACCTCAAATTACGGTGCGCGAGGGAGCTGAACAGGAGGATCAGTGCTCCCTCGCCACCTGCAGTCACCGGCCGGCCGCCCAGCAGCCCCACTGGACCCCAGTGAAACGAGATTCCACCCCAGCATTCCCAAAGGTAAGGAGGCTTGGCGAATTGAATAAAAAAAGGGCAGCACAAAACCAGGATACATCACTGCCTTACACACCTACTCTGCATTAACTAAACACACACTACATCCTTACACACACACACACACATACACATTTTTTTGATAATAATAGGGGATAATAGGAAATGTAAGGTTTCACTTTATAAATATAAAAGGTGAATACAAATCAAAATAGTTAAAGTGGGCACAAGACGAGGGAATGAAAAAGGGAAAGTTTTTTATTATAAATAATAAACACAAATATTGTATAGAATATAGAAGAAAGGAAGAAGTAAGAAAAGAAAAAGGGGAAAAAATGGGTAATAGAAAGAAATAGAATGAAGGAGGATTGATAATTAATAATTGTTCTGAGAACAAATTATAGGAACACGTATATAACAATGGAAAAAAAGAATAAAGGGAAAGAGGGGCACTTAATAAGTAAAGTGTGTGTTTTTTTTTTTTGTTTTTTTTTCTTTCTCTCTCTCTCCTTCGCTTTGCTATCATGATATATATAAATGGATAAGAGTAGTAAAATAAATGAAATAAAGGGATCAAAGAATGTGATACAGACAAAAATTTTTACTTTTTTTTTTTTCTCTCCTCTTCGTCTCCCCCTCCTTTTTTCTCCTCGCTTTAGAGGAGGAAGAGAAGAGAAGGGTGGTAGTATAACTCTTCATAGAGCAGAAGAAAGAGGAAGTAGGGAACGTTAAAGATAATATATATTTGGCTCCTCCAAAACGAGAAATAGTCTTCCTCGCCGTAACCTGTAAAACGGTTAAAAGTGGGTATTAAAACCCACCAAGAAAAATGTTTTTTGACTCTTTTTAGGGTCTATGGAATGATAGGAAACAGACTACAAGTACTTAGTATACTTGAAGGTGTTTCGTGTATGTATTGTAGTGTGAATTGTTTATTTTTTGGGGGTTTTTTTGTTTTAGAGAGTTCACTAGACTATCCAAACAAGAAAATAATATATGACAATGGTTAAAATAATAACGTTAAATATTCAAGGCCTAAATATTCCGCAAAAAAGACAAGCTTTTCAAGAATATTTAAAAAAGGAACATGTTCAAATTGCTATGGTCCAAGAGACACATTGGCGTAAACAGGATGAAAAGAGATGGACCAGCAGTTTTTATCCTTTAAAATTCTGCTCCTCTAGAGAGGAGGGGAAAAAGGGAGGAGTTGCAATATTTTTTGCAAAAGATCTAAAAATAAATATAAAATTTATGGAAACAGATTTGGAGGGAAGATTTATTATTTTAATAGCCACAATTAATGAGGAACTCTTCACTTTAATTAATATTTATCTGCCTAATAAAAACCCCTTATGTCTATTGAGAAAAGTAATTAATAAGGTTGAGAAAGTAGGTGTAGGAATAAAGATATATGCAGGGGACTTTAATAGTATACAAGATCCCCTATTAGATAAGTTCTCTGAAAAACATCTGATTTGGGACAAACAAGTTTTAAAAAATGCAAGGACTTTTAATAATTTGATGAAAAGAGAAGGCCTATTTGACATATGGAGACTTAATAATCCTGCAGCGAAAGAATTTACGTTTTACTCCTGGCCCCATGATTCATACTCGCGGATAGATCTTATATTTGGAGATTTAAAACTAATAGACAGAACATATAAAATAGAAATTAAACCAGTAGTATGGTCAGATCATAATAGCGTGTGTCTGGAACTAAACAGTAATAAATCAAAGAGTAATGAAACTATAACCTGGAGGTTAGATGATTCATTATTATCAAATAAGGAATATAAAGACTATATAGATAAAATGACCATTTGTTATTTTGAGGAAAATAATAATGGACTTGTGGAGAATGACATTCTATGGTGCTCATATAAAGCAGTAATAAGGGGATATTGCATAATGCTTAATAAATTAAAGAAAAAAAAAAAGGTGCAAATATACAAGATCTCTATATTGAATTATATAAACTAAATAAAAAAAATAACGAAAATCCAACTAAGGATACTCAGTTAAAAATAGAGAAAATTAAATCCGAGATTCAGGAAAAAACTTATGAAAAAATTAAAATAAATATGCATAAACTTAAAGTTAAATATTACCATAAATCTAACAGAGCTGATAAAATAATGTCTAATAGGTTGAAAAAAAGAAATACGACCAATAAGGTCGATAAAATAATCTTTAACAACAACATCTCCCTTCTACCAGAACAGATAGGGAAAGCATTCAATGAGTACTATGCCAATCTATATAGTCTTTCAGTTATCACTCCTTCAGAAATAATAAAAAAATATATTAGATCAGCAAAATTGAATAAAATAACAGAGTCACAGGTAAATAAACTAAACAAAGAGATTACGGAAGAAGAGATCAATATCATGATAGACAGATTAGAAACCTATAAAACGCCAGGTCCGGATGGATTTGGAAATAAATTCTATAAGACAATGAAATCTCATCTGACAATACATTTAAAAAATACTTTTAATTCTGCTGTTAAAAAGGGCAGATTCCCAGATGAAAGGCTTAAAGCAAATATTTTACCTATTTTGAAACCAGGGAAAGATCCAACTAAAGTACAAAGCTATCGCCCAATATCATTAATAAATGTAGATATCAAGATATTTTCTTCTATCATAGCCAGTAGATTAAAAGAAGTTATAAAACAGTTAATCCATCCTGATCAAACAGGTTTCGTTCCAGACAGAATGTCAAGTAATAATATTAGACGCTTGATTGACGTATTAGATATATCACAAAAGAAAGAAAATCCCATGCTGATCCTGTCTTTAGACGCTGAAAAAGCCTTTGACAGGGTCAGCTGGGACTTTATGAAGCTTACCCTAGAAGAAGTGGGTATACAGGGATGGTTGCTTAATGCAATTTTGGCTCTATACATAGATCCAACGGCGAGAACAATCGGTCCGGGCATTTGCTCCGACTGGTTTAAATTGAGTAATGGGACCAGACAAGGCTGCCCTTTGTCTCCCTTATTGTTTATATTAACATTAGAGGTTTTAGCTAACAGAATTAGAAATAATGAAAATATTAAGGGATTTAAAGCAAAACAGAAAGAATTGAAAATATCTCTATATGCTGACGATACTATTCTATTTTTGAGTAATTCTACATCATTATTAAATGCAATGTCAGAAATTGATACATATAGTGTAGTATCAAACTATAAATTAAATAAAACAAAATCAAGTGCTATATATATCAATATATCAAAGCAAGAAATAGATTCCTATCAAGAAACATATGGCTTTACTAAAGCTAAAGTGTTTTTATATTTAGGAATTAAAATTTGTAGAAAGGTAGATAATACCATGCGAATTAATTTTATGGATCTTCTAAAAGAAACTAATAAGAATCTGAAAGAATGGAGAAAATTAGAAGTATCTTGGGGAGGAAGAATAAATATTCTAAAATCATATGTCTTGCCAAAATGCATTTATATGTTCAGAATGCTTCCATTAGAAATCCCGAATGCATGGTTGACAATGATCAATAAGGCCTTCTCTAATTTTGTATGGCAAGGGAAAAAACCCAGAATTAAAATTGGAACATTAGCAAGAGGAATGAAGAAGGGAGGCCTAGGATATCCAAACATAAGAAAATATTATGAAGCAGGAATTATTATGCATGTAATGGTTAGTCAAATAAAACAAAATAAAGAGGAAGTCTGGTGGCAGTCAGAATCAGAATCTAGCCAACACAGTGATACCTTAGACTTATTTTGGAGTTCAATAAAATACAACTTATCCAGATCGTACATTTTAGGACAGATTACTCCAATATGGCAAAAAATAAGGAAAAAAATTGACTTGGAAAATAAAATATTCGATTTTCAAAAAGTAGAAATATTAGAATTAAACATGGAGAGTATCTCCTTAAAACTATGGAAAGAAAAAGGAATACATAGTATAAAAGATCTGATTAAAGAGAATAAAATTAAAACTTATAAAATGCTGGTAGAGGAGTTTAAGATCTCTGTTAAAGATGTATATACTTATTTTAGAGTGAAACATTATTTGGAGAAAGTTGAGTTAGTAAAAGAGGGTAAGATGTATGATATATTAAAATCAATATTATACCAGAATAAGACAAAGCAGTTATTCTCTAGATGTGTTAGGATGTTAGATTTATTGGATGATTCTGATCTGCCTAATGCTATTAAAAAATGGAATAGTGAACTAAAACTAAACATAGAACTATCTGAATGGATATCTATCCTACAAAAAATTAATAAATATGTCCACTCCTTTGTGTTGATAGAAACTCACTTTAAGCTTGTTAACCAATGGTATATGACGCCAACGAAAATAGCGAAATTTGATGTTTCTAGAGACACAAAGTGTTGGAAATGTAAAGAGGAAAAAGGAAATTATGTTCATATGTGGTGGTCTTGTAAACAAGTGATTGTTGTATGGCAGTGGGCTCAGCTTGTCATCCATAGGCTATGCGGTGTTAAAATGTCTTTAAAACCAGAAATGATGTTGTTACATTATAAATGGCCAAGATTAAATAAAATAAATCAATTTTTAATTATTCACTGTTTAATGGCCTGCAAAATAATAATAGCAAGGAATTGGAAGGGAGATATCCCTTTTAATATAAAATCAATAACAATTCAGCTGATTTACCAACTTAAAATGGAAAAGGATCAATGCAGGTTTCTGGATGATAATTTGAGCCTATGGGAAAACTGGGAAAAAAAAATTATTACAATTGTAACTTTAATATCATGTGAAAAGAGATAGAGAAGTTGGAAGTCAGTAGAACTCTCGTGAGGGGATGGGTATTTATTGTGTTTTTTTTTTTTTTTCTGTCCTTGTAGTAATGTGTATGAATCTCAATGTATGTTTAATACTTTTTGTACAATATGTTGAAAAATTTGAAATAAAAAGAATTGAAAAAAAAAAAAAAGGAATAGAGTTAGGGTTACCCTAACCCTACCCCAAGCCCTCTCCTGTTTTGCCACTTTTCAGAAATCCAAAGCACTTCAGAAATTCGGTTCGATTCGGCACTTCGGACATTCAGAAGCGTACGAAATTCGTCCGAATTTGCATTCTGAATTAAATTAATTGCACTTGTCTAGTCTTAAATTAGCAGAGCTAAGGTTTAAAAATATCAGGAAGTATTACTTTACTGAGAGAGTAGTAGATGCATGGAACAGCCTTCCAGCTGAAGTGGTGAAGTGGTAGAGGTTAACACAGTGAAGGAGCTTGGCATAAGGCTATCCTAGCTATATGATAAGGCCAAGGACTAATGAAAGTATTTAGAAAATTGGGCAGACTAGATGGGGGGGGGGGATAAAATAAAATGTATAACAATTAATGGGAAAAAAATGCGCACACAGACTACATCCTTACACCAGGGACGTATTAGCCGTAAGGCAAACAAGGCATTTGCCTTGGGCAGCACTTTCCAGGGGGCCCCCAAATGCCCAGGAAAATGTCTTGTAAGCCTGGTGGCTAGCTGACAATCCAGGCGGGCGGCGCTGGTGAGGGAGCACTGATTAGTGAGCTCTCTGCTCAGCTCCCTCGCGCGCCGCATAGTGATGCTGGAATATGACCTCAAATTACGGTGCGCGAGGGAGCTGAACAGGAGGATCAGTGCTCCCTCGCCACCTGCAGTCACCGGCCGGCCGCCCAGCAGCCCCACTGGACCCCAGTGAAACGAGATTCCACCCCAGCATTCCCAAAGGTAAGGAGGCTTGGCGAATTGAATAAAAAAAGGGCAGCACAAAACCAGGATACATCACTGCCTTACACACCTACTCTGCATTAACTAAACACACACTACATCCTTACACACACACACACATACACATTCTGCAGTCACTAAACCACATAACATCCTTGCACAAACACACACTCTGTGTAAGGATGTAGTGTGTGTAGTGCATGCACTACATTTGTAAGTGTCCGCTTACAACTTTAAAATTTTGATCCACACTGACTGCTTCAGGCAGAACCTTTCTGCCTTCCTCTTGTTTCCCTGGGGAATGTTTGATCATCAGACCCCTCCTTCTGGCAGGAAAAAGCTCTCTGTGACTCAGCATTCAGATGCAAAGCAAGTCAGCAGCGCCTTGTGGGAAGGCGATTGTTATCGTTGCACCCCTTGGCAAGCGGAGCGGGGTACTCTGTAAAGGTGCATGTTTATAAAAGTATATATGTTCTAAGACATTAATTGTGTCCATGCCGTTAGTTAAGATGTGTTGTATATTAGACATGTGCAATTCGTTTCGTTCCGAATGTCAATTCGGACATTCAGATACTTCTGAATTGCCGAATTTCAGAAGTGCTGAATCGAAGTGGCGAATTTCAGATTTGCTGAATAGCCGAATTGCCGAGGCACAGAATTGCAGAAGTACTAATATACCCAGTGGAAGAATCAAGAATGTTACACTGTATACTAGTTTTAAATAAAAAGTATACACACATATCCAGGATTCAGCGGTAAGCATTTGCAACACTTTCAACAATCAAGTAACACGTTCATGTAAAATGTAAGTTACTTAGCCAGTCAATGGATGGAAATGAGTAAGTAGATATCTCCCTAATTCTCATGGTATTTGGGAGCTGTGGCGAAAGTGATCTTGCCACTGGTTTTTGGAGGGGCCTGTTTGCCAGCCACCTACCCTGTGACTATGGCCCTGTGGTGATCTGGAGGTTAAAGATACTGTTTCTGCCTCTTGGACTACTACTGGAACAGATTTTAACTTTCGAAGTGGCACTTCGACTACAGCCATCTTATTTGGTCGAACGTGTTCAGCGGTGTTTTCTCGTTGAGTTCAGGGAAATCAAATCGGAAACACAACGGTACGAATACCGCTGAACATCTACCTTCCAGGGAACTTCGACTATTCCAATGGGAGTCGAACGGCGTTCAGTGAGTTGAAGCCCACGAACGAGGGACACACATTGACTATGCTCATCCAACATTCCATTCGGTAATTTGAACGGTACTTCGACAGTTTGAAATAGACTGGCCGCACAGCATAATTCTCTGGAACTATTGTTTTGGGCATGAAACAATGTGTGCAGTCGGTCAAAAAGAGACTTCCTGGAATTTCCTGATCTCCTGCTCTGATCTGGGTGATTTTTGGATATGTTTTTCACCCAGATCAGGGCTATCAGGGGATATTTATGGGGATATGTTGTGTTTTGGGGTACTTTTCATACTTTGTAAAATTGTGTGGTTTTCTGCCTGGAGATAATTGAGTTACATACAGGACTTGACTCCATTATCTCCAAGGCTGAGGGGAGGGATTGTGTGTAATGTGTGGGAGTGTCACCTACTGTACATTATTATTATTATTGACTTTTAACAATTTTAATAATAACAATTGTCATCCTGTCCATCACAAGGTCCACGTGGGTGTTCCCTTGCATGGGGACTTGCATAAAAGACCAGCTGTGGCTCCCATTAAACAAGGTGCTTTACCCCTTCATGAAATCTTGGCTCATGTTTGGGGGATTGGAGAACTACACTCTGGGGATTCATATAAGCACTATAATCACTATACTCCCCTGAGTATAATCACTAGCTCTTCTAAGAGCTGTTCCTGCTATGCTCTCTGGAGTAGGAGTGGTCTACCCACTGGGAGCTGGATCCTGGTCTTGGGTCCAGGGAGGGTGGAGGACGGCAAAACCCCAAGCAAGCTGCAGCGGTTCGTATGGTGTCTGGTGGAGTGCTTGGAGCCCTCGGTGAACACTAGGAGCATCGATTGACGCAGGTACCTGGTCGGGGTGCCAGGCGGTCCATCACAGGAGCTATCTACCGAAAGGCTGAAAGACCTAGATAGGTCTTTCAGCCAAATTTACTAATACTAAGTAAAATTTACTTAGTATTAGTAAATTCTGCCCCTACTCGCTATACCGTACAAACTCCTCCCCCCCCCCAAGTGTCCCCCCTCCTGAGCCCCTACCCGTGCTGCACGAGGGGGGCTTTTAAACTGAAGGGGGGACCTATTGCCCCCACCACTGACCGGCCGTGCCCTGGATGACAATGGGGGGAACCTGTCTTGTCCCCCCCCAAATCAGAATAAGGGGCGGGGACCTATTGTCCTCCCCCCCGGCCCCTACCCCTGAGCGGCGGATTGGGGCACTAAATTACTTCAAAAGGGGGGTACTATTGTCCTCCCCCCGGCCCCCACGCTAACTCTGATTGGTTGCTTTCAATCAACCAGAGTGTGATGAGTCAAATTACACAGCGTGGGAAAATTCCAAAGAACTTTTCCTGCGCTGTGTAAAATGACACAGAGCACTCTGATTGGTTGGCTTTAACCAACCAGAGTTCTCTGAGCCTAATTGCAGGGCTGGGCAAGGCTTTATAAGATTACTTTTTCAGCATCAGGGGGTGATTGGCAGGCTTTTTCAATATGTACCTTTAAGAAACCTTGATAGGTATCACAATCCCATAGGGTATATAGACTACGATACACGGATCCTCCACTATCTTGAAAAAGCCCACCAAGTACGGGTGAAATGCGTTGATTAGCAGAGGATCCATTTCTTCATTTACCCTGCATTTTTCCAGCATCAGCAGTATTATCCAGCGGTTTAAGATCTCTACGTCCCTCCGGTTGTATTTGTTATGCTACAAGGGTTTCTGGAATTGGAACTCAACTGCAGCTTGTAGAACTCCTTAATTACAATAGAAATGAAACGGAGAATCTTCTAAATTATCAATACTGTAGCTTCTAAGTAAAGAGGTGATTGAAGGCATTTAGAGAATTAAACGAAGTTTTAATGATTGCAATAAATTTTATAACATGACAGGAGGCTTCGTATTTGCTTTAGTCTCTCTTTACTAGAACTCCACAGTAGCACAGAAAAACAACCAATCAGAAAAAAGTTAGGTACTATAAAACCCCCTTCCCATTGCATCATTTCCTCTTTCTTTGCTGCTCCGCATCAGTACAGGTCAGAGTACCACTGCCTCCTGCTTCTAGTGGGTGGCTTTGGGATTTAGTGTGATTTATTTATGATTGTTATTAATTATGCTTGGTTGTGAGATTTATGTGCCTTTCTGGCTCTTTTCTTTGGGGAATGTTTCCTTTACATTACTGATAGTTTGCCATGTGTTTATTTATACAGATTGTGACGGAACGCTGGCACTCCGACTGAGTACCTCCGCCAATCGATGCGCCTAGTGCTCGCTAAAGACTCCAAGCACTCCAACCGACACCATCAGCACTGCAGACCCCACTTCCAGCGATACAGCTGCGCCGGGGTCTCGCCGTCTCCACCCACCCTGGATCCACGACCAGGATCCAACTCCCAGTGGGTGAACCTCTCCTAAATCCAGAGAGCGTAGCAGGATTATAGCAATCCCCAGAGTGTAGTTTTCCAATCCCCCAAACATGAGCCAAGGCTTAATGCTGGAACAAGACTTTACTGGAAGTAACAATAACAGGTATTCAAGTTACAGTTTCTTTTATGCCCTGCTCCCATGCAGGGGAGGGACACACACGTTATCTACAGTAGCCAATAAAACAGAGGTTACAGCCCACACAAAATCCTCCCCTCTGCCTGTGATTCAATTATCTTATACAATAGAAGATTTAATTATCACAGGTAGGAAAAATACCGTTTTTACAGCATATTCATAACTTCTAAAATATACATCATATTCACAATCAATCCATTCAGGGAAACAACATATCAAAAAATGGCATGAATCAGACCAGGGGTTCAGAAGCTAGTAAAGTATCTTTTGGAGCCTGGCTGGCAGCATGGCTATCTGGCCCAAACTGGTTTTACAGAGCCCTCTATCCTGGAGACAATGGGGAAAATAATCCAATTATCCAGGGATAGAGGCAGACTCCATTGAGCACATGTTCCCAGTACAACACAAAAGGATACAAAAATACATAACTCCTATCATACTGAATTGAATTGAGCTTGCTCACATTATTTGAAAGCAGCCTCTATTAAGTAGACTCTTTCAAGTAGGAGTTAGAAAACCAGGAGTTGAAACTAACTAGGGGTTTAAACTATCAAGGTAACTGTTTTTATTTACAGTTTAAAGGGGAAATGAGTGTTAGCAAGATTGCTGGTTTAACTCAATGCACATCTTGTTGCATGTATGGATGCCTGGATGTACCCATCCAGGGTCCATACCTCTGTGATGGTTGTGTGCGAGTGGCTTCTCTGGAAGCTCAGATTGGAGATCTTGAGAAGCAAATCGCAACATTGAGGGAGATTGATAATCTTGAGAGGAGTCTACTGCTCACTGAGCAGAGTTTAGTGGGGACAGGTAGTGGAGAGGGAGGAGATAAGACAGATGGGGAACAGGCATGTAGCTGGGTGACAGTGGGGCGAGGAAGCAGGGGGGGAGGGAAGAGGAAAGGGCTAGCTAGTCCTGATTTGGTGCAACCTAGCAGATTTGCCCGTTTGAGGGAAGATGTTGGGAGCATCAGCTCAGGAGTAGCTGTATTAGAGGAAGCTGTTACTTCTAACAGCCGAGCTAACAGCCCCCCTAGTACGGGTGGGGATCAAAATGTAAGGAAGGCAAGACAGGTTGTGGTGGTAGGGGACTCTATCATTAGGAGAGCAGATAGGGCAATCTGCCGCTCTGATCGGCTCAACCGGACAGTTTGCTGTCTCCCGGGTGCTCGGGTCCGGCATGTTGCTGACAGAGTGGATGGATTATTGGGAGGGGCTGGGGATGACCCAGCGGTCATGGTCCATGTTGGTACCAATGACAAAGTAAGAGGAAGATGGAAGGTCCTAAAGAATGATTTCAGGGAATTAGGTAGCAAACTTAAGAAAAGGACCTCCAAGGTGGTATTCTCTGAGATATTACCTGTGCCACGCGCTACAGTGGAAAGGCAGCGGGAGATTAGAGAGGTCAATGCGTGGCTTAAGTCTTGGTGCAGGAAGGAGGGTTTTGGGTTTTTAGAGCACTGGGCCGACTTTGCGATTGGGTACAACCTTTATAGTGGTGATGGATTGCACCTAAACGGGAGAGGGTCTGCAGTGCTGGGGGATAGGATGGCTAGAAGGTTGGAGGAGATTTTAAACTAGTAGTAGGGGGGGAGGGTCATAGCAATCTACAAAATGGAGATAGGACAGAAAGGAGCTGGGCTTTAGCACAGTATAAGGGGGGTGGAAACGGGGGGAGGGCCAAGCTCAGAACAGAGAAGCTGTGTAATGTTGAAAATTCACAAAATATACAAGTGGCGCATAATATTAAATGTATGCTTACTAATGCAAGGAGCCTAAATAACAAAATGGGGGAACTAGAGGCATTAGCATACACTAAACAATATGATATAATAGGCATAACTGAAACATGGTGGGATGAGACACATGACTGGGCAGCTAACTTAAATGGGTACATGTTATTTAGGAAGGATAGGAAAAACAAGAAGGGTGGTGGGGTATGTTTGTATGTCAAACATGATTTAAAGCCAAATGTTAAGCAAATGGAATGCGAGGAGGATAATGTGGAAGCTTTATGGGTAAATATCTGCTTGGGGGAAAAGAAGGGAAACCAACTATTGGTTGGGATATGTTATAAACCACCTAATGTTAATATTGACGAGGAACAACAGCTGTTTGAGCAAATTGAGAAAGCTGCAAATCTGGGTAACACTTTAATTATTGGAGATTTTAATTACCCGGATATAAATTGGGACAGAGGGACTAGTGCCTCAGCAAAGGGAATTAGGTTTTTAAACTTGTTAAATGACACCTTCATGTCACAACTTGTACAAGCACCAACTAGAATGGATGCTTGTCTGGACCTGGTTTTAACAAACAACGTTGATCTTTTGACCAACATTCAAGTAGGTGAGCACTTGGGAAATAGTGATCACAATATAGTGTCCTTTGAAATAAACTCAAAAAAACAAAAGCACATGGGGAATACTAAAACATATAATTTTAAAAAGGCCAATTTCAATAAGTTAAGGGAAGCTTTACAATATATTGACTGGCATAAACTCTTTAGTGAAAAGAACACTGAGGATAAATGGATCATCTTCCAACAAATATTACAAAGGTACATTTCTCAGTATGTACCATTGGGAAATAAATATAAAAGAAACAAATTAAAACCAACATGGCTTAGTAGAGAAGTAAAACAAGAGATTACAACTAAGAGAAGGGCATTTAAAGCATTTAAATCGGACAAATCAGATGCATCTTATAAAAGATATAAGGATGCAAATAATGCGTGCAAAAAGGCAATTAGACTTGCTAAACTTCAAAATGAAATAATGATAGCTGAAGAGAGCAAAACCAACCCCAAAGCATTTTTTAAGTACATAAATTCTAAAAAAAAAACAAAATGAAAGTGTAGGTACACTAAAAACTGAAACGGGGGTGTTAATTAATGAAGACCAGGAAAAGGCAGGAATTTTAAATAACTTTTTCTCCTCCGTATATATTAAGGAAGAACCCATGGCAATAGATGTGCAAATGATTGCTACTAAAAACTTGCAGAATAATTGTAATTGGTTAACTCAAGACAAGGTGCTGCAGCAACTAAAGAAAGTTAATATAAACAAAGCTCCAGGGCCTGACGGTATCCATCCACGTGTACTTAAGGAACTAAGTGCAGAAATAAGTGAACCTCTGTTTTTAATCTTTCAAGATTCTTTTCTTTCAGGAAGTGTTCCGGAGGATTGGAGGAAGGCAGATGTGGTTCCTATATTCAAAAAGGGTTCAAAATCCTTGCCTGGAAATTATAGACCTGTGAGCTTAACTTCTGTGGCTGGTAAAATATTTGAAAGTTTATTAAGGGATAATATTCAAGAATTCCTTGAGAAGAACATGGTTATCAGCAAAAATCAGCATGGTTTTATGAAGCACAGGTCATGTCAAACTAACTTGATTGCGTTCTACGAAGAAGTAAGTAGAAGTATAGATCAGGGTGTTGCCGTGGATGTGATCTTTTGGATTTTGCCAAGGCATTTGATACAGTTCCACACAATAGATTAGTGTTCAAACTCAAGGAAATCGGTCTAGATGAAAATGCTTGTTCTTGGGTAGAACATTGGCTTAAAACAGAGTACAAAGAGTTGTCATTAATGGTAAATTTTCAAGCTGGACAGAGGTGGCAAGTGGTGTCCCTCAGGGGTCTGTTCTGGGACCCCTTCTATTTAACATGTTTATAAATGATCTTGAAGACGCATTGAAAGTCATGTTTCAGTGTTTGCAGATGACACAAAACTTTGTAAAACAATACAATGTGAGCAAGATATTACTTTGCTGCAGAGGGATTTAGATAGACTGGGAGACTGGGCACTCAAATGGCAGATGAAATTTAATGTTGAAAAATGCAAAGTTATGCACTTCGGCGTAAAGAATACACAAGCAACATATACCCTTAATGGAAGCGAATTAGGGATAACAACACATGAAAAGGACTTGGGAATTGTTATAGACAACAAACTATGCAACAATGTGCAATGTCAATCAGCAGTGGCCAAGGCCAGTAAGGTATTGTCATGCATGAAAAAGGGCATTCATTCTCGGGACAAGAATATAATTTTGCCTCTTTATAAATCACTGGTAAGACCCCATATTGAATATGCTGTGCAATTTTGGGCACCTGTTCTAAAGAAGGATATTATGGCACTAGAAAAAGTGCAGAGGCGGGCTACAAAATTAATAAAAGGAATGGAACATATCGGCTATGAAGAAAGGTTAACAAATTTAAACCTATTTAGTTTAGAAAAACGTCGCCTGAGAGGGGATATGATAACATTATACAAATATATTCGGGGCCAATACAAACCATTGTGTGGAAATCTATTCACAAACCGGACTTTACATAGGACACGAGGCCATGCGTTTAGACTGGAAGAAAGAAGATTTCTCTAAGGCAAAGGAAAGGTTTTTTTACTGTAAGAACAATCAGGATGTGGAATTCTCTGCCTGAAGAAGTGGTTTTATCAGAGTCCATACAGATGTTCAAACGGCTACTAGATGCATACTTGCAAGAACAGAATATTCAAGGATATAATCTTTCAATGTAGGGTAATAACTGCTTGATCCAAGGATAAATCTGACTGCCATTCTGGGGTCAAGAAGGAATTTTTTTCCTAGCTTGTTGCAAAATTGTGCTTCAAACTGGGTTTTTTTGCCTTCTTTTGGATCAACAGCAAAAAACAAATGTGAGGAAGACTGAACTTGATGGACGCAAGTCTCTTTTCAGCTATGTAACTATGTAACTATGTAACGGGCCAAATCTCCCAGGGTCCATAGTCACAGGGCAAGAGGCGGGCAAGCAGTCCTCTCCAGGCACAAGTGGCGAAGGGCACTTCGTCACAGTAATAAATCCATGAGTAAAGTAGCAGGGAGGGAAAGTACCGAATGCATGGAGGGGGATTCTTCACACAGATTACTGGTAGTTTGCCATGTGTTTATTTACACAGATTACTGGTAGTTTTCCATGTGTTTATTTACACAGATTACTGGTAGTTTTCCATGTGTTTATTTACACAGATTACTGGTAGTCTTCCAGGTGTTTATTTATACAGATTACTGGTAGTTTTCCATGTGTTTATTTACACAGATTACTGGTAGTCTTCCAGGTGTTTATTTACACAGATTACTGGTAGTTTTCCATGTGTTTATTTATACAGATTACTGGTAGTTTGCCATGTGTTTATTTACACAGATTACTGGTAGTTTTTCATGTGTTTATTTATACAGATTTCTGTTAGCTTTCCATGTGTATATGTCACAGATTTCTGTGAGTTTCAGGTAGATATATCACAGATTACTGTGAGTTTCCATATGTAGATATATCACAGATTGCTGTGAATTTCCAGGTCTATATATCACAGACTACTGTGAGTTTCCATGAGTATATATTCCACAAATTACTGTGAGTGTCCATGTCTATATATCACATATTACTGTGAATTTCCATGTAGATATGTCACAGACTACGGTGAGTTTCCACCTAGATATATCACAGATTTCTCGGATTACTGTGAGTTTCCATGTGTATATATATATATATATATCGCGGATTTCTGTGAGTCCTTTGGCAGTATATACTTATATCACAGATTCTGTGTTATAGGACAGTGTATACATATATCACAGATTCCTGTGAGTTATAGGACAGTGTATATATCTCAGATTCCTGTGAGTTCTAGGCCAGTGTATATATATATCACAGATTACTGTGGGTTCTATGACTATGTATATATGTATATATCACAGATTTCTGTGAGTTCTATGCCAGTGTATATAGCATGGCTTGCTGTGAGTCTTAGTGCTATAGATATCACGTATTGCTGTGAGTTTCACTGACGGTAGATGTCAGTCCTGTCTATGCCGATACTATTCTATCTTATCAGGCTTCTTGGGAAGATTCATTGAGTTGGCAATTGTTTTTGCCCTACTCCTGAAGAGACCATGAGTACAATACCCTTAAGGCGGTACGATGAGGATGATGATGATATCTCACAAGGATCTGTATGTACATGTGCATTACAATTTGCACTTTAAAGAAGGTATTGCTCAGCAGAGCTTGATTTTATGGACACTATATCACTGGAACAAATCCAGCTTAAACCCAATACAACTGGTTTTACCTCTCTGTTGCCTGCTGGGCACTTAGGGACCGCCAGTCCCGGTTACGGTTTATTCACACAGTAGTACGCTATCTAAGATTAGTATCTAAGGGTCCTAGGTCACAGGATACCCGGAGGATTTACAGATATTTAGGGGACTCTGCCAAACTCAGAGGTCCCCATTACCCATTTAATATGAAACCCAGGATTGGCCTGCTATGTCTGTGCCCCATTGATTGGCCTTCTATGTCTGTGCCCCAGTGATTGGCCTGCTATGTCTGTGCCCATTTGATTGACCAACTACATCTGTGCCCTTCTGTCTGGCCTGCTCTAACTGGGCCCATCGTTGACCTGCTCTACCTGTGCCCGAACCCCCCTTTGGACCACAAACCTGGGGGAATATCACTGAGGTAAGCTCAGTACTCTCTAGGTGGGTGTCCGGACAGGCACTGCTGCCATATTATCCAAGAGGACACCAGGATATGGACATCTAACTGTGATTGGAGGGGTGAAGGCCCTACACCTCATGCCCTGAAGGGCAAAGTTTTTATGAGGATTCCTGGGCACGCAACTACGGGTTATACCCAACGACGTCACGTCTCCAAGGGGAATTTCACCCAAGCAGGGAACAGTGCTCAGACGCCATATTAGGTATTGGTAGTGTTTTTCTATGTCATGTTTAGCTCCTGACCTTTTCAACTGGATTCACTGGATTCGTTTTTTCCAGTCTGCTATCCGACCTGCTTTCCGAGGTACGTATTTTCCATTTTCTACTTCATTGGTCATTTCTTTGTTTTCGTGCCTTCTATTGTCCTATCGCTCGGGTCGTCGAGAGGCCTGACTTGACCTCCCGGGCGCTCGTGGATTGCGGAGAACGTCTTCAGCTTTCCTCAGACTACCGGATCCGGACGGTCCGTTGATAGTTACCATCTTCAGCTCCGAAACTTACTTTTCTCATCACCCCTTTCTCTTATTAAGGTCGGACAAGGCCCGAGGTTGTATACTTTGCTTATATTAAATAAGGGTGTAACCCCACGTTTGGTCACCCTGAGTCTCTACTGGACTCTGGTTTGGATTACAGAGGGTGCGGCCCTCCTTCACCTTTGCCCGAGACTGATATTTTTATTTTCAAGAGTAGAGGGCGAACCCATCTCATTTACCTAATCGGACACTGATTCATTATAAGAGGGCGTGGCCTTCCCTCAACCTCGGCCCGATACTAAACTGAGTATAGAGGACATGCTCCGAGTGACTCCTTCTCATAGAAGGAACCGGACACAGAGGTAGACTCTGTTTGACTTCTAACGGGTGCGGCCCGCTCATACCACCAACCGTGCGCGGACTCAGAGTGCGATCACATTTTACAGAGTGCAACTCTCTCATACACTCAACGCACTATGGGGCCGTCCATTTGTTCCTCACACAGGCTTGTACCTGTACAGGTCAACTATGACCGCATAGAGGGGCGTCCCTTCTACATCCAATTTAAATATGATGACCGCGCTACTGATTTCGTTCTAGAGGGCTACCTGATCGGGCAAGGTATACATAGTTTGACTGGATCCATCTTGTAATCCACATGAGAAATACCCTCAGAGTTATTAGTGGGGGAGGTTTCCCACTTATGTACACACATTCCGGGACACAGTACGGCTAAGGAGGAGCCTCAGTGTTTACAAGAGTACAGGTTTTGGTATAACCTGTGCTATATCAAACAGACATTGCACTCTGTTTCAGATATTCATTGCGTACAAACTGTGCAGACTATTCTCCCATGTCAGGGTGACATGAGATCCTGAGACCTGCATAGGGCAAACGGGCACTGCCTTGCTCGAGTAACAAGACTAGAAAATTCACATAAACGGTCTTCAGGTGCACCGTATGCATGGAGAAACCGAAATTATCAGGACTTGGCTTCCCTGGTCCTTACAATCTTGAGATAAAGTTGACAGGACTGCTCCTACAACTCTGAACACATATCTGGAGAACAGTGTTCGGACTCTATATCCATCACGGGAACCATCTTGGTTTGGGTTCTCACTAGCCTTCCTATTCAACTACCATCAAGGAAACCTACACTGGGAGATACATGCTTGGACAGTCTATGAGACAGGAACCTAGGGGTCTCACTATATTATTCCCTATCTTGTAGGTGACGTATAGGCCAGGAACCCCTACACGAATATTGACAGGTCGGGCATGGAACAGGATTGTACAAAGGGTAATTGGAGTATTTCACACCCTCACTGCAACACGTAAGGGCTCTTCTGTGTTATTCGGGTCCTAAACTCTCTTGGATCCGGCCATCTTAGCACTCCTAGAGGATGATGTATTTGGATGGAAATCTCAACCCCGGTTTCCGGTCCCATCCTTTTGAACTTTCCAGGATTCACAATTCACAGAATAGTTGACCACCGTTTACCACATGAGTTCAGTTTGAGACCTTGATTGGACGTCCTTTGGATGCCTTTTCTAGACCGCAGCCGTGGATTACGCAGTCCAGTTGGTAGACTGGAGTCTTTTAGGATACGGCTAGTATTGTCCACACTATTATCTGCATATAACTTTATTTTCGGAGGAGACAATTCACCGGGTAGGTCATAGAGGAACGAATAGACACTATTCGGTTCTATTCGAGTATTGACAGTGGACTTAGGCGCGGGCCTGAGGTTGGAGTTTGTCTGCAAGGCCACATCGCCTGGTGAACCTGACACGATCGGAGGAATCACCTCCCACATCAGGAGTCGAGACACGGTGGAAGTCTCTTCTCGCGACCCCTCGGTACTTTACACCTACAGGAATATGACTAATAGGTCAACTTGGCAGCTCATGGACCGACTGCTAGGGAACAGGTCGTAACCCCACGTACAATGGATCTATCAACGGAGGTTACTTCTAGCAGTTGGAAGGTCCATTTAGGATTGCTCTAATATTCTCGGAATGGGTACCAGCGAAACAAGCAGCGTTGGATTTGTTGGCTGAGCGTTAAAACTGCAAATACGAAGCCTCCTGTCATGTTATAAAATTGTAGATTATGCTAGCTTTAGTGTACCTATAATCTTAATTTTTATTAATGACAGGCGAGTATTTCCCACCCATTCTTATCCCTCCCTTTAATTTTATAGTTTGGATTAATCAGGTACGTATACAACTCTGCTTGTTGTTTCTACTACCTGTCATCTGTCCTTATGTCTGTTTTTCATAAGTAGGGTTGGGATATCTACATATTAAGGTAATTTTTGTTTGCTACATTGGGTATCTACAAGTTTATTCAAAATACATTTCATTGGATAATCAACCTGTTCGATTCTGTTTTTCTCTCGTTTCAGTTTCCAGTCCTTCAGCGCTATCTGGTGTGGCGCTTCTTCGTGGATGGTGGACATTGACTTATTTATTTTCAGTCCATCAACGCTATCCGGTTGACAGTTCTTCTCAGACGTTGGACATTGCTGTATTCATCGTATCTGGACTTCGTTGCTTCGAATTATTTTTTCTGCCTTTGTTCTGTCTTGTCGCAGCTTGAAAGAGGAAATGATGCAATGGGAAGGGGATTTTATAGTACCTAACTTTTTTTTCTGATGGGTTGTTTTTCTGTGCTGCTGTGGAGTTATAGTAAAGAGAGACTAAAGCAAATACTCGCCTCCTGTTATTAATAAAATTAAGATTATAGGTACACTAAAGCTAGCATAATCTACAATTTTAGTAGCTGTGAATAATAGCATATAGGTAATAATTCAATAAGAAGAAACTGTAGATGATGGCAAGCAAAACACAGTTCATAAATAAGTAAATCCTCAGAGATGATTTGAAAAGTATACTTAAGCTTGATGTGAGTTATCTTCCATAGGAATAGCATGCAGTCAGCAGTGAAGAATTTAGCAAGCAAGAAACAATTCAGTTATAACTGAGTCTCCAGAGAATAGAATGAAAATTATACTTAAGATTTATGTGAGTAGTCCTCCAAGAGATCGGAATTAGAGTCCAAGTATAAATTGGTAAACAGTCCGTTTTCCAGGATCCAATAGAGGATGTAAAGCACAATCCTTTTAGTAGTTCAAAGGGTAAGGGAGGCTTGCGAGTGAAGCTTGTGTAGCCGGCGTCTAAACATGGAAGTAGGTCCCAAAATCACCAAGCAGTTTGTATCTTGTGGATAGACTTGGTGGCAGGCCCTGTGTGCGGACAAGGGGGCGGGCCACAGGGGCCAAAACCTGAGCTGTGTCAGGGGCCCCAAAATTTCTGATGGCACCCCTTTGCACAGCCATGCTACAACTGGAGAGATCAGAGATCTCTTTAACTAGAATGGCAAATGTTTAAAAATTCTCAAATACAAACATGCATTGATACACAGGTCTTCACACTGTACATGTACACATCCAGGAATGCCGTATTATATGAGAGTTATACTTAACATTTATTTAATGCACATATATTTGGCCTTCATAGGGCCTGCGATCTAATTTTGCCCGGGGGCCCCAAAGGCTCTCAGTCTGTCCCTGTGTAGTAGAGTGCGGAGAATTATTATTATTTTCACATAAACATTTTAACATTTAAAAATAAAGATGGCATAAAACTTTTTATTCAAAAATTCATGAAAGGGCCCAAATAGGCCATATATAGTATTAAATACTAGAAGTATTGTGATAAACTAACCATCCAGCCCAGCTTAGAATAGTTAAATAAATCTCCTGTAGGTTTCATCATTCAAAGTTAGTACCAGAATTATAAAAATACATTTCTATTCAATTTACATGCAGGTAATAATGATTTTCCACCAGCAGAGGACACCACTGTGAGCTAATAGAGTCAAGTTGATATCATGAATTCAATATTGGGTAAAGAAAAACGTTTCCCCTGAGTTGACAATAGGGCGCAACACCTGCAATCATATCATGATAGTGCTAGTAAGATACCTGAAATTAATAACAGAGAGGGAGGGTAGGTCAGATCCAAAACGGCTGTTCCCTAGTTTGCCCTAGTATAAACAAACTATTGTGTGCTTAATTATTTGCCAGTCAGCTGGATCTAAAGAAAATTGTGCAGATTCCAAGGGAGAGTAGATATAGGCAAATAGTGACAAGAACAAACAATACAACTGCTAGGAATTATTACATTAGCATACATTGTCAAGCAGTCCTTAAAGCGCACTGTCACGCCGAACTTACCTTTCTTCAATTGTTTCCACGTATCTTCCTCTCTCAGAATCTCTTTCTTCTTCTTTTCTTATTTCTGATCTCGTTTTCTTTAAAATATAACACAAAGAAGGGACTATTTTGTCTTATGTATTTTTTTTACACTTGACTTTCTCTAACATAAGGAGGAGCTTAAGTCAAATCCATTTCCTGTGTCAGAGCAAGTACTCACTCTTCTTCTTGACACAGGAAATGGAGCGGACTTATGCTCCTCCTTTGGTCAAAGAAGGTCAAGTGTAGGAAAAAATACATAAGACAAAGTAGTCCCTACTTCATCTTATGTTTTAAGCTGGGTGACCAGACATCCCGGATTTTGGCAATTTGCCAAACCTTCTTGGGACACAAAAATGTCCCAGTTTTTGGCTGAAAGGCAGCCAGTGCTGCCAGTGCTGCAAAAGAGCCAGTGTAGAAGCTGTTGGAGCCCGTTAATAGCGCTGAGTGCTCTATAACCAGTCTCACGCGTAGTTTCTGATACTCAGCTGGAGACAGCATCCTATTGGCCAAGCTGAGCATTCCTGACCAATAATGGAGTTGGAGGTGTGTATCACGGAGGTGCAGGCATGGAATATATGGCTGCATTCCAGCTACCAACACAGTGCAGATTTATGTCGGCCAATGGCTCTACCACCACCCCTGTCACCCTCAAGCAACATATAGAAGGGCTCTAGCCTGTGTGACCAGATGTCCCGTTTTTTTTTATCTCCAAAATCTGGTCACCTGGTTTTAAGGAAACCTAGATCAGAAATAAAGAAAAGAAAAGATTCTGAGAGAGGAAGAGAAGCGGAATCAATAGGAGACAGGTAAGTTTGGCATGACAGTGCCACTTTGAGGAGTTAAATCTTTTACTTTACACGTTGCAACATAAACAAATGTGGACAAACAAAAAGTGATAAATACAGAATTAGTTGTTGGCAGAATCACGCATCAGGTCAGAGATGGAATTTAATCCCTTGATGAATAAAATGTCAGACATCACAAAAAGTGCTTTGATGTTGAGTTATATGTCTGCAGGAAAAGCATTGTTAATAGTATTCCCAGAAATCAAATCATTCTGTGATCTCTCTACCTGCTAAAAGTCTAGTTTGTTTGTAACATTGAGGATTAATTCACTAAACCTGACACGGTGGACAACCAAGTATGGAAAATACTTGCATATAATTTGGATTTTATCTATCTATCTATCTATCTATCTATCTATCTATCTTTCCACATTATAGCAGAATCCAATACTTCTATATTTACAGAGGATACTAGTAATTGAACTAAAAATCCATGTTAAAAAAATGGGAAAACAACCGTGGGTCCCTAGGACTATTAACCATAGGATGCTCAACAAAATAAACTGGCTTCATGGGGTAGTCCATGCAGACTTGACTTATACATTACAGGTGATCAAGAGGTTTGTTTTTTTCAAGCCATCAATTTTTTTTATATAAAGTTTGTAACATTTCCGTGCCAAATCTGTGAAGGTGTTTGCCTGTGATCTTTGCATTAAAACTGAAGAACCTCCCTGGAATAATAAGGAAGGGAGGGCATGACTGCTGACACGGATAATGGGATAAATTGGGGGTATATATTCTTGCAACCAAGGGACATTATTGTGACGAAAGCAACTTCACCACTGGTTTTTGGAGAGGACTAATGGCCAGCCTCTTGCCCTGTGACTATGGCCTCTTTAATTTATTTTGGCTGAGAGACCCTAAATGTGCCTATTGGGACTTTAAACATTTGGTTCTTCTAACTCCCGAACGGTCTAAGAGGCCGCCATTCGACATTCGAACACATGGTGGCGGCCATCTTGTTCACATAGGCCATAACAGCGAATAGACTTCAGGGGGACTTAGCCGCAAATGCCCTGGAACTATTTTCGGCATGAAAACCTCCTGGTTCCTGGTCGGTCCTCCAGCGTCACTTAGCCGCGATTCTATGAAATTGTTTTGGCCATGAAATCATGTGTTCGCCTGGGCAAAAATATGACTTCCATAAAATTTTTGAACCCTTGCTCATTTCGCCTGCCTTCTGGGCTTCCTCTTCTGACGTCCTTGGTCTCCTTTTTAATACCTCACTCCTCCCCTGCATTATTTTCATTGGTCTGGGGGCGGGATGTAATCATGAGTTGCTGTCATTAAATTATTCAGTTTTCCTTACAAGGATATGTTTGCAGAGCTCGAGTCCAGTATCTTCTTACACAAAGATAACGTTAACCATTACGGATTAAAGATACAGACCTATATTATACAGTATTACACATCCTTCAAACTTAAAGACATATCTCCAGCCACATTTATTCATGTTGTCATTCCACAACATATACAATATGAAGGAGCACGGTATAATACAATACAGCTGCAAAAAGGATATGTCTCTGGATATATATACAACCTCTTCAGTATAACAATCCAGTATAGATAAAGGTAAGGGTAAATATAAAAAAATACAAATAAAAACTAAACCTAATTATATCTAAAAATCACCATCTCTATAAACTACATCATGGAATTCCAAACTAGAGAGAAATGGGCATAATAAATGACTCTCGCAATAAGCAAAGTTCTATAAAAATTTAAGAAGAAGAGTACTTCTATACACCACTATATTAAGTAGTGTCTAATTGTATTCTTATGTTACTATTGCATAATTCATTTTAGGTAGTATATATTTAAAGAGACAGTAAAATCTCCATATTATATCTATTAATAAGACGGCCTTCCATTTTCTCCAAAACTATAAGGTGTGGAGGTTGTATATCCATAAAAATAGCACAACATTCCCAAGAATTGCAAGATGGTACTCATTTTTACATACATAATCTTCCTATTATATAAATTATATTATAATTGCATTTATGTTCTCACCTGCCCGTGTAAGAAACAATATATGGGAAAAACCACAAGACAAATACATGTTCGCATTGAAGAACATATAAGGAATATAAAAAAGGGTTTAAGGAGCCCTTTTACAAACAACACAAAATTGTATTGCATTTTATTTTCTTACCTGTCTCGGGTTTGTCCCAGTCTAACACAAGCCAGCTTACATACAGAGCAGAGATCGGCCAGAGATAAGTAAAGAAAAGATATATAAATACAACAAGGAACATCAGGCCTGGAAACAGAATGAGAACAAGACACGATAAATCACAATAAATCACAGTAACTTTCTGCCAAAAGCAAGTTTTTTTGCTTAGTTATAAGTTATGAATTTCTTAGAGATATTTGAGACAGGTGAAATACATTGATAAAATATTGCTGTCATTTTACATATTCAATCATTTCCATTTTCCCTCCTGCATAATGTATGAGATTTTTCAGCTGCCGTGGAATATAGCTTCCACCAATTCGTGACTTCCTGAGCATGACCGTACCTGCTCTGTACAAACCGTAGCTATACCAATGTAAGACGAATAGTTCTACTATCATCTATTAGGCTCTATCTACAGAGCCAGACTTAAATCTCGGGTGCCTCTAGGCACAGAATTCTTAGGCTCCCCCTGTACTCTCACTCCCTAAAATCTAAAACCACTTAGGTTAGGTGGATATCAAGGATATATGAACTAGACATTGCAGGAACCAAAATACCTCAAAAACGTTGTTTTAGTATTATTACCAATCTCTTGTAAGTCTCTTGTCTCCTGTATCTCTTTTGTTTTGTCAGTATGTCTTAGTTGATTGTTTTACTATTTTATTTATATATATATATATATATATATATATATATATATATATATATATACAAATATAGGGAACAAGAGGCAAGCACTCACGGTCTTTTGGTTTCTTTAAAACGATTTTCCTTTTATTTCATTGCTTAAAACTTGATCGACGTTTCAGCCACAGTACATGGCTTTCATCAGGATCTTTACAGCTGTAAAGATCCTGATGAAAGCCATGTACTGTGGCTGAAACGTCGATCAAGTTTTAAGCAATGAAATAAAAGGAAAATCGTTTTAAAGAAACCAAAAGACCGTGAGTGCTTGCCTCTTGTTCCCTATATTTGTGTATATTATGGCATTGGCTTGACAGCACCAGGCAGAAATCCACATTGAAGTGTGTGTGCAAGGAGACAATAAGACTTTATATATATATATATATATATATATATATCCAAAGTTTCCTTGCACTTCAGGCTTAACGTTATGTTGTGCTTTAAATGCCGGGTGCCGGGTCAGGGTCATCTATACACAGAAATTGAAGCATGCTGTCCTGAGGAAAGTCCCGAACTGCGACTGAAACATTGACGCAATATGGCAACATAATTTGTACTTTTATGTAAGCAATAAAAGTTAAGTTTTAAGAAGACCATGAGTGTGGACCATCACTTCGATTTCTGTATATATATATATATATATGTCCAAAAGTAGATAGCAGCCTGTTACAAATTTACCGGTCTCTGGAATAGGCTGACTCTTCGAAGGTGACACCTGGAGGACTGGGACTTTCGCTCAAGCTCCATGACACAGCCTGGACGGCTGCATGATCAGCAGTGTTGTATTGTATTTTAATTTTGGTACTAATTTGCCTCAGTTTCTGTCCTTTTCACACGCTTTGGCCTTTACCTCACTATCCAGCCGCAGCGCACCACACCAGAGTGTCCCCCTCCATTAGAGCATTATCATTATATTTCACCTTCCATTTTACCTAGTGTGTTCCCCATATTCGCACAGTCTACTATTTAACATTGCAAAGCATACTCTCGCTAATAACATGTTTAATATACCAACCATGAATCTCTAGGCTTGCGTAAATTCTATGTCTGAGTATCAGCCATGTGTTTTTCTCATTTAGACATGTTTACCTACCTTGTAATCCTTTGTTGTCCTATACAAAATTGTGCTCATAACCCATTGCTATGTATGTGTAAACCTCTGTTGGCTGCTACCGTGCTTGCATATGCTATCGTGACATTGTCGGCCCTTTTGTTAACTTTTGCACAACAAGAAATAAAGAATTAAAATAACCAAACAATCTTCTGTCCCTTACCTGATGCCAACGCCGATGTCCCTCAGCGCTGGTTCAGGTTCCGCCTCCGCTTCTCCCCTCTGATGTCAGCATTAAAGGAGTGGCATCAAGCAACCCAAAGTCAAATAGTTCTAAAAATGATTGCTTACAATGGAGGGATGCAATGACACTCCTGACACCATAACCACTACAGTGTGCTGTAGTAGTTATGGTGCTTGGGGTATTTCTTTACACATGGAAATCTCTAAGGACTTGTAATACATTATTATCTATTGGCAATTACTGGTTTTCAAGAAGAACATTTTTCATAAGCTAAAAAATCAATTAAAAAGAGAAAAAGCATAGAAAACCCTCACTATAAACAAAAGCAAGGTCACCAAAGCATTGCTCAATGTGTCTGAAATTTAAACCGCATTGTACATTCTGAACAAATAACTTAGAGAGAAAATACTGGAGTTCATCTCCATTTTTAATACCTTTCCATTGGGAAAAAAAAAAAGATATGACATATAACCACAATAGAAAGAAAAATCTAATATAAATCGGGCAAATGAAGATTGGCAGGGAAAACAGTGATAAAGAGAAGTAGATAAATGAAGCACATCAACAATATTATCTTCCGTCAAAGAAGGCAAATAAAAGCCCAACTATGCTCACGCATTAAGTGTGGGCTTAAAAAAACAAGAATACGCCTTCTTGTGCGATTTTGGGGTACTATCCCACCACCCTGCCTTGGTCCACTTGTGTCTAATGTTTTGGGACACCAGAGAACTTTCTTCAACAATCATAGCATAGCTTCCTGCAGTCCTAGTGTGCTCAATTATTACATATGGTGCTCTAGTCGATATGCCATCCTTATGTAACCACCTGGGCTGGTCTCAATGATTGGCAGGCAACCTGGCATGCATTCAAGCCAGGCTGAACTGCCGTTTACTCAGGTGGACCCACCTCCCTTATGGAAGAGTCTATCCCTTTGGGGAGAAGCTAATTGAATCACTGGCATGCCCCCTCTACCTCCCTCCAATCGGTGTCCCAATTCTAATCAATCTTTTCCCCTGCATGACACCATAACTACTTCGAGAAAATGGCTGACTCCTACAGACACTCTGCTTTGAGCCTGCTAACTTCCCTACTTGTTCTTATATTGTAATACTACACGTTTTTGCACACCAGTACCCAAGGGTTTATAAAGAGAGGATGAACAAAATGAGTCTCTTTTAAAAATTAAACATATTTAAATTATATTACTTATACTAAATAGTTAGCAAGCAAGAAAATACAGTAAATAAAGTAAACTATTAATACAAGTAAAATTCGAATACTATAAAAGGTTCTTTTTCATTCTTTGTAATAACACCCAGACATTAATTTTATGTACTTACCCATCACTAGAAAAGAAAAGATCCATTGGAGAACAGACAATAACTGCAAAAATGTGCGTAAATGGTGTTGTGGAATTGTTGAAGCAGCAGATATTGAGCGAAGTAGAGGGCGTAGACTCAGCCTGCTCCCTAAAATACACAGCACAAAGTAATATCTCTCCATCGGCCTTTTTTATGTAATCAAAAACAGGTTCTTCATTGACAATATCTGCCTTAAACCTCCCTAAGAGCATCCATAACATCGAATATCATTTATTGAATATAGTGGGTCCAAATAAGGTGAGCATATCCAAACTGTCCCTAGAACTATCCCTTGGAATAAACACCACCGTCTATCTATACATACATTTTATATATATATATGTAACAAGGGCTTGCACTCCTGGTTAAATTCTTAATGCCCGGTGCAGGTCTGGCAAAATCATGTAGATATATTAGAAAGGACTGCACTCCAAGGCCTTTGTGATAGTTTTCAAATAAAATTTAACTTTTATTTAATCCATATAAAAGTCAACATTTCAGCCCCCACATGGAGCTTTCATCAGTTCAAGAGTGCAGTCCTTTCTACTATATCTATCTATCTATATATATATATATATATATATATATATATATATACACACACACACACAATATAATTTTATATATATATATTTGTGTATGTGCATGTGTGTGTGTGCGTGCTCCTCTTATAAACACACACACATACATATATATATATATATATATATATATATATATATATATATATATATATATATATATATATATTTATTAATTTATATCTGTGAATCTGATGCAGGAAGATAGCACAATTATTACATATGGTGCTCTAGTTGATTTGCCATCCTTATGTAATGACCTGTTGAAATTATATAAATTGGAGATTAAAAACAAGACTTACCACGAAGGTCTTTGGAGTAAGCAGCTATAATGGTTTTCATGGCTCCAGATTCTGTGTGTTTTCTGTAATAACTTTACAGCTGATCCCTAAAGTGCACTGATGGGAGATGTAAAATATTTAGGCAGGTAGAGGTGTTGTAAAACTCAGATAGTATATCACTGACATTATCATTAATCATTACATTTGTGGACAAGAAGAGAATATAACCAGAGTAGTTGTCAACAACAGTGTTAGTGGGGTCAGTTAAATAACAGTGCACGTTATCTAACAGGCTTGTGCAAAAAACATTCATTAGATGTCCCCTGCAAAAAGCATAGTGGCACATTCCATATAATGATGAAATCCAACTGCCCTTGGTCTGGGGTTATTGGGACTGATTCCAAAACAAACTCAACCACTTATCAGTGTGTGTCGCAGGGGGTGTCTTCTTCACTATCCCTGTTTAAACCATTCGCTGAGTCTTGACATATATTTTGAAGGGACACTGTAAGTCATATGTGACCTTCTTTTTAATACATTAATTAGTTAATTCAATATATAAATAATACAAATTTCACTTAAAATTGAAGTTTGTATATTGGGCCATAATTTACAGAATCTGTAGTGAGCTTTCACCACTTGTAGATAACTGGAAGATTCTCAGTTGGTTCTGATAAGCAGACAGGGGTGTACGGGAGACTTGTGTATTCATTTTAAAACAACCTGGGACCGTCTGAATTTTGGGTGATCTGCGTTTTGTCTGAAATCTCAAACTCTTAAACATTATATGGCCGGGTCACGAAATAAACAACAAAGGACAAACTGTTTAGTTTGTTTTGTGATTCGGAGTTCCGTGTCTGGCGCCAGAAAAAAACAAAAAAGGTCAATAGGGAAAAAAATAAGATTGATGGTTAGGAAGCAGCCACTAAATGTTGAATTCATTTTTCTGAACCAAAACGCCATATGGACGAAACCTGAATCACCAGAAACAATTATTTTTTTCCAGATGATTCAATATGGACAAACCAAATGTTTTCACAGTACACATAAATGATGTGCAGCTTTGTGAGTTCTGGTAGCGAGATCTCATTCATCCTTCTCAGGATAGAACCTAAATGTATGACGTCACGTATTGCTACAGCAAAAAATGGAAACCCTTGAAATAGAAAGGCAGTGAGCAGATAATTTTTTTTACACAAAGTTTACTTATATTATTGCACACACAAAAAATGATGTTGAACATCCCAAATGTGTAGGCACTATATAAATAAACTTATAGACGGAATAGGCATCCTCCATACTTCCACACTTGGTCCATCCTGCCGAACACAGATTGTTTGGGAACACATGTCCCACAACCTGTTTGTTCTTTTATATAGTGCCCATCTTCCGGAATACCTTAACCTGCGTGGTTAAATGTTCTGATGCCTGTGCTATCTTACTCGGAGTTTATATGCCATTGGCCCTAAAAAAGCACTAAAAGAAGAAAAGCTAAATTTCTATTGAATATCTGGAGCTCGACCCATTACCCAGTAAAGAGGGAGGCACTCTCTGCTTCAATCTGATTTTTTTTAAAAACAAAACATTTTTTAAATGAACACCTAGAAAAAACAAATATATATATATATATATATATATATATATATATATATATAAAACAAGAGGGGGTTGGCTGCACTCACCTTAACATGCATAAATGGGGGTGCTGCTGGGGGCCAAATGTATATATATATATAAAGCATAAGATAACATTAGAGGGGCCCAATGATTATTTGTCAAGAAGGGGCTGTGCATCTACTTCCATTTATTTTTCAGGGACTTAGATGTTTATTACAGGTGGATAACCAGCAAACACCCCCTACTACTTACCTTAGCGACCTAGTGGTTTTCTTCCTGTTGGTTCCCAATATTTAATATTACTTAAAATTATTATGAAGTCTAGGGTCCATTTGCAGGTACTAGTTACATGGAATGTTGGCACTGAAAATGACTTATATACATTTGTTAACCAGATACCTGTGAATGGAGTAAATACAAGCTTCATTAAAAAAGGAAATGGGCAAAGGCATTACAAATATTTGATTGAGCCTCAAACATTCCCATAGTATTGTAGACCCAATAGTAAGAACTATACGTAATGGAAATTGTTTTTGCCTATCAACAGATATCAGTATTGCAAATCTGGGCAAGGAGTAGTTAAAAACTTAAACTGTTTGCTTACTTTGTTATCTCACTCACTTGACCTCTAACCCCAACAGTGACATAAACAGAGCAGGGACCCAGGAACTGTCTATGCTACAAAAATATGTTAAAACGTTGATTCCGTATTCTGAGAAATAGCAGTACCTGGAGTTATAAACCACTTTGCGGTGATCACTGGAATGTTCCTGTCTGTTTGTGTTGTCCTTTGATGATTATGAGATTTTCACTTACATAGTTACATAGGCTGAAAAGAGACATGTGACCATCAAGTACAGCCTTCTTCACATCTGTTTTTTGCTGTTGATCCAAAAGAAGGCAAAAAACCCAGTTTTAAGCACTTTCAATTTTGCAACAAGCTAGGGGAAAAAATCCTTCTTAACCCCAGAATGGCAGTCAGCTGTATCCTTGGATCGCAAAGCTATTACCGTACAGTTGAAAAATTATATAATTGAATATCATGTTTTTGCAAGTAAGCATCTAGTTGCTGTTTAAACATCTGTACAGACTGATAAAACCATGTCTTCAGGCAGAGATTTCCACATCTTTATTGTTCTTATGGTAAAATAAACCTTTCCTTTGCCTTAGACTAAATCTTCTTTCTACCATTCTAAATGCAAGATCTTGTGTCCTATGCATTGTCCTGTGAAGTTTGCAAATAGATTTCCAGACAATGGTTTGTATTGGCCCTGGATATATTTATATAATGTTATCATATCTCCTCTGAGGCAATGTTTTTCTATACAAAAGAGTTTTAAATTTAACCTTTCTTTATAGCTGAAATGTTCCATTCCTATTATTAAGTTTGTAGCCTGCCTTTGCACTTTTTCTAGTGACATAATATCCTTCTTTAGAACAGGTGCTCAAAATTTCACAGCATATTCAAGGTGTGGTCTTACCAGTGATTTATAAAGAGGCAAAATTATATTCTCATCCTGAGAATTAATGCCCTTTTTTATACATGACAATACCTTACTGGCTTTAGCCACTGCTGATTAACATTGCAAATTGTTGCCTAGTTTGTTGTCTAAAACAATTCCCAAATCCTTATTGTGTGTTGTTATCCCTAATTCACTACCATTTAAGGTATAAGTTGTTTGAGAATTCTTTAACCCAAAGTGCATAATATTGCATTTTTCTACATTTTATTTTATCTGTCATTTGAGTGCCCAGTCCCCCAGTCTATCTAATTCCTTCTGCAGCAAAGTAATATCTTGCTCACATTGCATTACTTTACAGAGTTTTGTGCCATCTGCAAATACTGACCTTCTAACTTTCAATGCTTCTTTCAAGATCATTTATAAATATGTAATATAGAAGTGGAACAAAACCTTGAGGGACACCACTTACCTCTTTTGTCCAACTTGAAAATTTACCATTAATGCCAACTCTCTGTACTCTGTTTTTAAGTCAATGTTCTACCCAAGAACGAGAATTTAGATCTAGACCAATTCTTGTCATTTGAAAACTAATCTATTGTGTGGAACTGTATCAAACATTTTGGCAAAATTCAAATAGATCACATCCACTGCAACACCCTGATCTATACTTCTACATACTTCTTCGTAGAATGCAATTAAGTTAGTTTGACATGATTTATAATTCATAAAACCATGCTGATTTTTGCTGATAACCACATTCTTCTCATTGAATTCCTGAATATTATCCCTTAATAACCTTTCAAATACATTCCCAGCCACAGAAGTTACGGTCGCTGGTCTATAATTTCCAAGAATTTTGAACCCTTTTTGAATATAGGAACTACATCTGCCTTCCTCCAATCCTCCGGTACAATTCCTGAAAGAAAAGAATCTTGAATGAGTAAAAACAGAGGTTTGCTTATTTCCCTACTTAGTTCCTTAAGTACTCATGGATGAATACAATCAGGCCCTGGAGCTTTGTTTATATTAACTTTCTTCATTTGCTGCAGCACTTTCTCTTGAGCCTTCCAATTACAATTTTTCTGCAAGGTTTTTGCAGCAATCATTGGCATATCTATAGCCATAGATTCTTCCCTTAATACATACTGAGGAGAAACAGTTATTTAAAATTTCTGCCTTTTCCTGGTCTTCATTTACCAACCAATTACATCCTGAGTACATCCCGATTTTTAGTATACCTACACTTGCATTTTTTGTTTTTTTAGAGTTTATGTACTTACATTTTGGGTGAAGTTTGTTTTGTTCTCTTTGGCTATTACTACTTTTGTAGTTTAGTGAATCTAATCGTCGTTTTACATGTATTATTGGCTTCCTTATTAATTTTTATATGATGCCTCGGATTTGTCAGATTTTAAATGCTTTAAATGCTCTTTTCTTATTTTTAATTTCTTGAGTTACGTTCTTACTAAACCACATTGGTTTCAGTTTGTCAGTTTGTTTATTTTATATTTATTAGCCAATGATACATACTGAGATATGTACCTCTCTAATATTTGAAGATATTCATATTTATCCTCAGTCAGGGCCGGCCTTAGGGGTGTGCGAGCTGTGCGGCCGCACAGGCGCCATAGAGCAGGGGGCGCTGTGTGGCCGCACAGCCGACCAGAATTAAAAAAAAAATTGGTGGCGGAGCTTCCTGTGCGATGGGGCGGGGCTAAAAGTGCTGGATAAGTGCTGCAGGGGAAGTGTGACTGTCTGTGTGTCTGTGACTGTCTGCCTGTTTGTGACTGCCTCTGTGTGTGTGTGTGTATGACTGTCTGCCTGTGTGTGTGTGTGTCTGTGTGTGTGTGTCTGTCTGTGTGCGTGACTGCCTGTGTGTGTGTCTGTGTGTGTGTATGACTGCCTGCCTGTGTGTATGACTGCCTGCCTGTGTGTATGACTGTCTGCTTGTGTGTGTGTGTATGACTGCCTGCCTGTGTGTGTGTATGACTGTCTGTGTGTGTGTCTGTGCGCATGTGTATGACTGTCTGCCTGTGTGTGTGTATGATTGTCTGCCTGTGTGTTCATGTGTATGACTGTCTGCCTCTGTGTGTGTGTGTGTGTATGACTGTCTGTCTGTGTGTGTGTCTGTGTGTGACTGTCTGCCTGTGTGTGTGTGTGTGTGTGACTGTCGGCCTGTGTGTGTTTGTGGGACTGTGTGTATTTGTCTGTGTGACTGTCTGCCTGTGTGTGTGTGTGTGTGAGTGACTGTCTGCCTGTCTGTGTTTGTGTGGCTGTCTGCCTGTGTGTGTGTGACTGCCTGCCTCTGTGTGTGTGGATGTCTTTCTGTGTGTGTGGATGGCCGCCTGCTTCTGTGTGTGTGTGTGTATGTGGCTGTCTGCCTGCGTGTATGTGTGTGGCTGTCTGTGTGTGTGTGTGTGTTTCTGCCTGTGTGTGTTTGTGGCTGTCTGTCTGTGTGTGTATGTATGTGGCTGCCTGTGTGTGTGTGATGGTCTGCATGTAAGTATGTGTGTGTCAGACTGTATGTGTGGCTGTTTGTGTGTGTAAAACTGTATATGTGGCTGTGTGTGTGTGGTTGTCTGACTGTAATTGTGTGTGAGTGTGTTTATCTACCTGTAACTGTGTATGTGTGTTACTGCCTTTACCTGTGTGTTTCTGTCTGATCCTGTGTATGTGACTATCTGCCTGCAACTATGTGCATGTGGTGGATTTGACAGTGTATATGTATAACTGTCTAGAGGCCTAAATGCATGTTTTTATCTGAATTAAATAACCATCACACACAGCCAATAAACCCAGCACAAATATCACATACAAAAAATACACGCATATCACACACTGTTAATACACCCATTACAAATATCACACACAGTCATCACATCTATCACATACACAGACAACACAAACATTATATAATGCATGGATAGGGGAGGCGCCGTGAAGATTTTTTGCACATGGCGCCTAAAGGCCTAAAGCCGGCCTTGTCCTCAGTGTTTTTTCATTAAAGATTTTATGCTAGTCAATATATAAGTTTCCCTTATCTTATAGAATTTTTTTTTTAATGATATGTTTTAGTGTACCCCATGGTTTTTTGAGTTTAGTTGAATGTTGGTCAAAAGAGCAACATTGTTTGTTATAATACGATCAAGACAAGTGTTCTTCCTAGTTGGTGCTTATACAAGTTGTGATATGAAGGTGTCATTTAACCCCTTATGACCGCGCATGGTTCAGGACCGCCATCGGCATTTTTGCCTTGCCGACCGCTGACGGTCCTGAACCGTTCTAACGGTCTTAGTTACTTACCTGATCGCCGTCATTCCCCCGGCGGTGATCAGCGGTGCTCCCGGTGTGCGGAGACTGCCTGCAGCCCAGACAGTCTCCCCACACTGGATTAGGACCCCTGTGGTCATGTGATCGCTCAACACAGCGATCACATGGTCACAATAGGTGTCCATGTGTCTGCCTGTCATGTTAATTAAAAAAATATATATATACAGTTGCAAGAAAAAGTATGTGAACCCTTTGGAATGATATGGATTTCTGCACAAATTGGTAATAAAATGTGATCTGATCATCATTTAAGTCACAACAATAGACAATTACAGTCTGCTTAAACTAATAACACACAAAGAATGAAATGTTGCCATGTTTTTATTGAACACACCATATAAACATTCACAGTGCAGGTGGAAAAAGTATGTGAACCCCTAGACTAATGACATCTCCAAGAGCTAATTGGAGTGAGATGTCAGCCAACTGGAGTCCAATCAATGAGATGAGATTGGAGGTGTTGGTTACAGCTGCCCTGCCCTATAAAAAACACACACCAGTTCTGGGTTTGCTTTTCACAAGAAGCATTGCCTGATGTGAATGATGCCTCGCACAAAAGAGCTCTCAGAAGACCTACGATTAAGAATTGTTGACTTGCATAAAACTGGAAAGGGTTATAAAAGTATCTCCCTTGCTGTTCATCAGTCCACGGTAAGACAAATTGGAGAAAGTTCAGCACTGCTGCTACTCTCCCTAGGAGTGGCCGTCCTGTAAAGATGACTGCAAGAGCACAGCGCAGACTGCTCAATGAGGTAAAGAAGAATCCTAGAGTGTCAGCTAAAGACTTGCACAAGTCACTGGCAAATGCTAACATCCCTGTTAGCGAATCTACAATACGTAAAACACTAAACAAGAGGGATTTCATGGGAGGATACCAGAGAGGAAGCCACTGCTGTCCAAACAAAACATTGCTGCACGTTTACAGTTTGCACAAGAGCACCTGGATGTTCCACAGCAGTACTGGAAAAATATTCTGTGGACAGATGAAACCAAAGTTGAGTTGTTTGGAAGAAACACACAACACTATGTGTGGCGAAAAAAAGGCACAGCACACCAACATCAAAACCTCATCCCAACTGTGAAGTATGGTGGTGGGGGCATCATGGTTTGGGGCTGCTTTGCTGCGTCAGGGCCTGGATGGATTGCTATCATCGAAGGAAAAATTAATTCCCAAGTTTATCAAGACATTTTGCATGAGAACTTAAGGCCATCTGTCTACCAGCTGAAGCTCAACAGAAGATGGGTGTTGCAACAGGACAATGACCCAAAGCATAGAAGTAATAAATCAATAACAGAATGGCTTAAACAGAAGAAAATACGCCTTCTGAAGTGGCCCAGTCAGAGTCCTGACCTCAACCCGATTGAGATGTTGTGGCATGACCTCAAGAAAGCGATTCACACCACTGTATTTTACCCTGTAGCGTTCTACGACACCCTAAAACCTGTACATGGGGGGTACTGTTTTACAAACAGTAAAACATATCACAGCGATGATATTGTCAGTGAAAGTGACTTTTTTTGCATTTTTCACACACAAACAGCACTTTTACTGATGATATAATTGTTGTGATATGTTTTCCAGTTTCGAAACACTAATATTTGTGTTCAGCAAAGTCTCCTGAGTATAACAGTACTCACCCCCCTCCCCCCCATGTACAGGTTTTATAGCATTTCTGAAAGTTACAGGGTCAAATATATGGGTCAAATATTTGTACATTTTTTTGAAAATGGCCAGGTTGGTTACATTGCCTTTGAGAGCGTATGGTAGCCCAGGAATGAGAATTACCTCCATGATGGCATACCATTTGCAAAAGAAGACAACCCAAGGTATTGTAAATTGGGTACGTACAGGCTTTTTTAGTCACAAACACTGGCCAAAATTAGCGTTCAATTTAGTTTTTTACTTTTTTCACACATAAACAAATATGAATGCTAACTTGCCAGTGTTTTCGACTAAGTGGCTACTAAAAAAAGACTGGACATACCCCATATTGAATACCCTGGGTTGTCACCTTTTGGACCAGTGGGGGATATTCTGGTCCCCATTGCGAAGGCTTCAAAAGTCGCCTGACTGGGGCAACTAGAGGCACAGAGGTCTATTCTCCACTTAATGACAACCACCCCTGGGCAGGTAAGGATCCTTAAGAGGGGTTCATTACTCTTTTCAGAAAAGAAAAAAATGCGAGAGACATATTAAATTCATATGGGATTTTTTTAAATTTTTTTTTTCAATTGGCAGTTTTTATTGTCAGCGAAAAGGCAGTTGGGTACAGAAAAGAGAAAAGGGAGGGTCGGATACCATGACCCAAAGGGTACTTTGCATTATCAATAGATACACACATGACAATTATTATTCGATAGTACATGCATACTTTCAATCCTGTGTTTCACGAGAAATTAATGAGGTGCCTATCACTTTGGGCTTAGCGGCTGGGTACAGGGTGGCCTGTCTGAAAGAGTGCTGCTATGTAGGGTTTGGTCTCAGGCTTTGTGTTCCTTGTCGTGTCTACTTTGTGCCTTGTCTTGCTGCTCCGCTCCCTTCAGGTGTCTGCGCAAGACATAACTATCGTCAGGTCAGGTGGGCTTTTGGTTATGGTAGCCTAGCTAAGACAGACTTTTTTTTTTTTTTTTATATGCGTGTGCTTGCATAGCGGTAGCGATGCTTTTGTATCTCCCTTCTAAAGGTGGTGTTCAGATGTATCCGTTTCCTCCCCATTCCTCCCCCAAATCCGCCTGACCACTTGGCTCATTTTTCTTTTTAAGACGGGGGGGGGAGTTTAAAAGGAAGAGGTATGGGGGGGTAACTATTTACAAAAGAGGCTTGCTTCTTCAATCTCTTGTCAGGGTGGTCCCATCGTTTAGGGTGAAGTCCCCGCATTCGGAAGTTACAGAATGCCCAGTGTCTTTGTTGATTGCCATTGCCAAGTGTGCTGAGTTGCCTATTGTGAATCTTGGGTCGAGAGCCCAGAGTCCAGCCCGGATTTCCACCGCTCCCACTCATTTATCGCTCTGTCCCGTCTCCTTTGTTTGCCCCCGGTGGTAAACCTCTGTGCCAGAGGTTTTGCGTCATGTTTAATTTGTCATGTAATAATAGCCCTGCAGGTAGCGTCCCGTGTTATTACGTCTTCCTCCACCGCTCCCCCTTGGTCACGTGCGCATGGGGTGTGGGTATGTTCCGTGTGTGTTTGAGTTTTAATGTAGGTGTCCCACAGGATTCCCGCTCTCTGTATATGCTTTTTTGGGCTAATATGCTTATGGGCCATTGACTCGTAGTCCAGATTCAGGGTAATCTGCGCTGTAAGGGCAGTACGACCCGGGATTTCTGTAGATTTCCATGCTCTGGCTATCAGCAAATTTGCAGCCATAAGGATGTGGAAGAGTAGGGTAGAGGCCGGTTTAGAGATGTTTTCCATTGGCATGAATAGGAAACATATATCAGGTGTGAGTGTGATACCCATCCCCAATGGGTCTGTTAATACGTCACCCACCATACGCCAACATCCCTTGATCTTGGGACAAGTCCACCAAATGTGGTACATCGTTCCCGTTTCCTGTAAACACCTCCAGCAGAAGCTGGTAGTGTTCGGGTAGATTCGCGCCAGTCTGTCCGGTACCATATACCAGCGATACTGGATTTTTCTAATCAGTTCTAAGTGTGATGCACAGCTTGTCTTTCCCTTGTGAGCTAACATTGCTTTTTTCCAGCTTGTGACGTCAAATGTTTGGTGTAACTCATTGTGCCAGTCGAGCATAAATTTTCCGTAGCTGTGTGCTGCAGGGACTGTCAGTACTCGGTATATAGAGGCTAGTAGCTTATTTGGCGTGATAGAGGCTAGGAATGCTTTTTCAAAAAAGGCCATGGTCGGCGATCGCGAAAATGGGGGGTTGTGTGTGAGGAGCGCTTTTAGTTGGAGGTATGAGAACAATGCCCTCGTCGGTAGTTTGAATTTGAGGTCCTATTGTCCCCCCCCGGCCCCCACCCCTGAGCGGTGGGTGGGGGCCCTAATAATAATAAGGGTGGGACCTATTGTACCCCCCGGCCCCCACCCCTGAGCGGTGGGTGGGGGGCCTAAAATGAACAATAAGGGGGGGACCTACTGTCCCCCCCCGGCCCCCACCCCTGAGAGGTGGGTGGGGGCCCTAATAACAATAAGGGGGACCTATTGTCCCCACGGCCCCCATCCCTGAGCGGTGGGTGGGGGCCCTAAAAATAACAATAAGGGGGGGACCTATTGTCCCCCCCTGGCCCCAACCCCTGAGCGGTGGGTGGGGGCCCTAAAATGAACAATAAGGGGGGACCTATTGTCCCCCCCGGCCCCCACCCCTGCGCGGAGGGTCGGGCCATATTGATAATGAGGGGGGGACCTACTGCCCCCCCCGGCCCCCACCCCTGTGCGGTGGGTGGGGGCCATAAAAATAATGAGGGGGGGGACCTACTGTCCTCCCCCCCCGGCCCCCACCCGCAGCCCTAAGTAAATTTCCCCCTCCCCCCAAGGTGACTAGGGGTTCAATTTTCCCACAGGCTGCTCACTGTTTAATAGACATGCCCCTACTCGCAGTATTGCGAGTAGGGGCACAATTTACTAATACTAAGTAATTTTTACTTAGTATTAGTAAATTAATAGGGGGCGGACCGAACATTGCATATGTTCGCCGTCCGTGGCGAACGCGAACACGCTATGTTCCCCGGGAACTATTCGCCAGCGAACCGTTCGGGACATCACTACCCGTTTGTGATCAAGAAGGTGTCAGACAGGAACCCGCATTGAGCACGTGTGCGGTAGGATGGCTGTAGAGGGCCCTCACCACCGACAGAAACCCCTCAGGTATTCCAAATTTGAGCAATACTGCTTCTAGAAAGCCCCAATGTAGGCGATCGAAGGCTTTTTCGGCGTCTAATAACCCACCTTTCCGTGGCGTCTTATAGCCATGCATTATGTTTAGTACTTTTCTTGTATTTTCCGATCCCTGTCTGCCCACCACGATTCCCACATGGTCGTTGTGAATAATGTGGGGAAGAATGTTGCTTAATCGGGTTGCATGCAGTTTTGCGAAGATTTTGGCGTCTGTGTTCAATAGTGATATAGGTCTGAAATTTTGGGGGAGTGTGGGTGATTTGCCTGGTTTGGCAGTGTAACAATGTGCGCCAATAGTACGTCTTTGGGTAGGGATATGTGATCAATTGCGTCATGGAATGTTTGTACTAGGTGTGGAGCTAATGTGCTGCTAAATTTTTTTGTAGTAAAGATTATCCAGGCCATCAGGTCCAGGTGATTTGCCCAGGGGCAGGGTGTTTATAGTTGAAATAACCTCGCTTTCTGACACCGGTTGGGTGAGTTCAGTCTGTTGTGTAGGGGTCAATTCTGGTAGGCGAAGGCCTTCCAGGTATTTATTAATGTCTGCACTTTGGGGTTGGTGTACTTGCCCATCTTGTTTAAGATTATATAAGTCAGCATAGTACCGTGCAAACTTGTTGCTAATATCCCGTGGCGTGTAGGCCTTAGTGCCGGTTTTTGTCATTAGGTATGCAATTTTCTGGGATGTTTGGCGCAATTTCAATCTGTTTGCGAGCAGTTTGCTTGCTTTATTACCTTGGGCATAGTGGGTAGCTTTAAGGCGTTTAAGCTGAAACCCTGTTGATTGTAGGGCCTGTTGATGGATGTTTCTATTTAGGGCTAGTATGTGGTCTCTTAGAGAGGCAGAAGGTGACATTTGGTTTTGCACATTTAAGGCGTACAGCTCTGTCTGCCACTTTTGCAGTTGGGCACTGAGGTTTTGCGCAATGTGGCTGCTCGTTGTATGAGTAGCCCCCTCACCACCGATTTGTGCGCCTGCCACATTGGGGACATACCAGGGGTGGAGTTTTCCGCAAAGTAATGTTTGAGGGCCGTCTCTACTTGGCCTGTGAAGGCCGGATTTTGTAGGAGTGAGTCGTTAATTCTCCAAGGGCTGCAGTTTTTTAAATCGTATAGGTCTTTAACTTCTAGGGTGACAGAGGCATGGTCTGACCATGTGATGTGGTCGATATCGCACCTAACAAGTTGGTTTAGATTCGATCCCTTCACAAGAAAGGTATCTAGCCTAGAATAGGAGTTGTGAATGGGCGAGTAAAACGTGTAAGACCTTTCCATCCCGTGGGAGATTCTCCAGGCATCATAATAGTGGTGCGTGGAAAGGAGTGTCTGTAATGCTCTGCTTTGGCGTTTGAGGGTTCTGAACCTGGCCCGAACACTCAAAAGGGTGGTATCCAATGCCAGGTCCAGAACATGGTTTAGGTCCCCGCATATTATTGTTATCCCTTGTTGCAGTTTTGTCAGTGTCTGTAAAATCTTGTGGAGGAAATTCCGTTGATTTGAGTTGGGGGCATAAATGTTTGCAATGGTGTATGTGATGTCGTTTATAATCCCCACAACTATGGCGTACCTCCCATTTGTGTCCAACTCTTGTGTGAGGAGTTGCAATGTGACCTTCTTGCTGATGAGTATAAACGCACCCTTCGATTTGGATGGGGAGGTGGCGTGAAACTGAGTGGGGTAGTCGTTAATCAGCATAGGGGTGTAATCGTTTGTTCTATAGTGGGTTTCCTGAAAGCACACTATTTCCGGGCTGGTTGCTCAAAGCTCCCGACTCAACAAGTGTCGTTTCACGGGGATGGTTCAGTCCCTTAACCTTGTGGGTATAAAACTTCATGGTGGGTCATATATAAGCGATCGCAGTTTATTATAATAATCATTATGTGTTTTTGGGGTCACCGCTTCTCCCAGCTCCATCGAGCAAAGCGGAGGAACCCCATGAAGTGTCGGCAATGGCATTACCACTCGTCGCGGCCCAGCCCATGAGCTAGAGGGACAAGGGATCTGTGGTCCTTTCAGTGTGGCAAAAAGTCTGCACCTTGGGCTGTCTACTGGGTCGTGGGTACCAGAGCTTGGAAACAGGGGAAGGGGTGAAGGGGTCAGGGGCAAGGAGATTTCTGACGAGAGGACTATAACCAGAGTCCAGGGAGTATATAACAAGAGAGCCAAGAATGTGGCTAGGCGCTGGCTATTAGCGCCTTGGGGGTGGAAGCGTATGGCTTCCAGTCCTGGGGGGATCCGCAGACGGAGGACCCAATGTACTGCAAAGTAAGAGATACTAAAGGATCTGGCTGGAGGAACCCGTGTCTCAGTGTCAGTAGAGGGTAGCAGTGATTGCGTTAGATAGTCCTTGTGGTGGGAGATGGACCCGAGCTCAGAGGTACTGTCACAATATGGGAACAAGCATGAGATTATTACAGTAAAACCAAAACATATTAACTGGGTATGTAATTAGACGTTCGAATATGTCCTGCCCCCAATTTGCCCTACACATTCAGCAGTGGAGTCAGGGTGGACCATTCTACCCCTCTTGCAAAAACAGATATCTGTACAGGTATCAATTAGCGTACATAGGGGGAGGTAGGAAAGTGAAACAGCCTCTAGATACATTACAGGTCCTATGAGTCCACCCGGGCAACCCTCTAACCGCTACATCTCCAGTAGTTGCTACCCTGGGTGCCCCCCACCCAGGCCAGGCATCTCAGCCCCTAGCATAGGGAGGGAAGCCACCATGCAGGCTACAAGAGTGGACCACAGGAGTACATATGGAATCAGAGGGTCACAGACCCTGTCCTCGCAACAAATTAAAGAACTGACCACAGTTCATACATTCAATATAGAAAAGGGGAGTGGGGGGCAGTTAAACATTTTTTTTATTATTTATTTATTTATATTTTTCTTCCCTTTGGAAGTATATATATATATATATATATATATATATATATATATATATATATATATATATATATATATATATATATATATATATATAAACATTATACGCCTTTTTTTTTTTTTTTCTCGCTTTAGTGGTGAACATATACCTAAACCTCAGCGTATTCCCCCTATGGCTCTCCCACCTTCCCTCTCAGTGTGTGGGCTTAGCTGAGTGGCAAGAGTGTTGTGTGTGGACTCGCCATGCCCGTTAGCTCAAGGGGCATCCCAGTGGGTCATCAATGCTAAAGCAGTTGGGTTTGACCAAATAGCACCCCCTCTTTTTTTTAAAAATTTGTTTATTTATTTTAATTATTTTTTTGCAGGGGGGGGGGGATATTTATACTTGCTGTGGCTCACGGCAGCTGGGGGTAACAGTCTCTGATGTCTTCAGAGTGCTATCAGCGCCGTCTGGGTTTTTTCCATGCCGGGGAGATCCTTGGCAAGTTCCCTGGACGTCTCAGCGGCTCTTGCTGCTCAAGTCCCCATTGGCTCAAGAAGCAGTCTTCCGGAGTGAGTATAACGGTGGTTTTCCCGTCGCGTTGCACCAGGAGCTTCACTGGGAATCCCCAGCGGTAGATGATGTGGTGTGCTCTCAGGCGCTTCGTGACTGACTGGAAGGCTCTGCGGTGTTTCAGGGTATAAGCGGACAGGTCAGCGTACACGGATACGGTCTGGAATCTCTCTGGCCAATCTTTGCGGGAACAGCTTCGTTTGAGTATTTCTTCCTTGGCATGGTAGTAGTGGAGGCGAAGCATCACGTCCCTTGGTGTTTCTGGAGGTAGGAATTTTGGTCTGGCAACTCTGTGCACGCGGTCCAGCACTAATAGGTCTCTTGGGATCTCAGGTGCAATGGCATGGAACAGATCCGTCACGTACATGGTTATATCAGCCATGCTTACTGTTTCTGCTATCCCTCGGAGCCGGAGATTGTTCCGACGGCCCCTGTCCTCTATGTCCGCTAGCTTTAGGTCGTAGTCCTCCATCCGGGTAGCCAGTGTATTGTGGGCTCCCTCGAAGTCCGCTAGCTTCATTTCCATGTGGGAAGTCCAGGACCCCAGGTCCTGTAGATCCCTTCTCAGCTCTCCCAGGGATGACTGAATGGAAAACAGGATCTTTTAGGACATGCCGTCCAGCATAGTTTGCAGCATGCTTTGGGTCAGTGGGGATTCCAGATTAGGAGATGCCTGCGAGCTTTCCAGTTCCTCCTCGGCGCCATCTTGTGCCATCTCAGAGGAGGCCGGAGTTTTGACATGTCCCGCTCGTGGTGCGAAGAACTGCGCTTTCTCCTGTCTCTCGGTGACCCTTTTAGATTTGGGCTGTGATATATTGTGCCCTGTGATGTTCAAGTGAGATTTATTTTTGTTTTTTTGGGTTCCAATTGCTCAAATATGGGCCTTAGTAGTGCGGAGCTCTCACTACATACGTCTCGCGGCAAGGTTCAGGACACGCCCCCCATATTGGATATTTTAAGATTTATTTTGACACTCAATATTTTCTTGTTTAATGGCAAAGTATAACAAATGAAAGGAACAGCCACGGGCTTAAGACGGCGCGCAAGACGTGCCCGTAGTTGTTCCTTTCATTTGTTGATATACTTCGCATTTTTTTCTTTTCTGAAAAGAGCAATGAACCCCTCTTAAGGATCCTTACATGCCCAGTGGTGGTTGTCATTAGGTGGATACTCTTCATACCTGACTTGTTGTCTGTCTTTTCTACTTACCTCCTTGTTTTATCCCAAGACACATTAGGAGTAACATTATATGTTTGGCTATCTTTGGTCTATCTGTATATACTAGATTTAATAAATTTAAGGCCTTTTTCAGTAATCTCCTTTCACATTACTGTGCTTCCCCTGCTGCACCCCCCATAGTGGAATGTACTGTGGTTTATTTTTCTTCTAATCTGGTGCTTACATTTCTACCTGGGGCCTTGTTACCCACCCATCTAATGTGGGGGCCTTATCGGTGTACTAACACTCTCTTGATATTTAGCAATCCAGCTCTCCACGACTACTATGCTCTAGCCTATCTATAACTACTTGAGCAGGCTCATTTAATTCACTCTAGCAGTCTAATAACACATTATTCTAGATCCAACCATGAAACCTAGTCTTGCTACATTATAAAATGAACTCGTGCATTATTATTGTAATGCCATGCAACTGTTATGCTATGACTTCTGAAATGCTTGCTGTGGCTATTGTGGCACTGCAAGCCTCTTGTTATTTCTATGCACAACAAAAAATGAAGAATTTAACTAAATATATATATTAAAAAAAAAAAAAAAAGGACATACAAGAAATGTAACTATAGAGTTTGTTATTATTACCCAATTTAATAACCTTGGATCAATGCAAAAAGCTATAGCCAGGCCTGCTGGGAAATGACCTTATAGTTTAAACAATATTTTAAAAATAATGAATACTTCATTAGAAAACATGGTAATAATTTTAATCATTTTTTTAACAAATAATTTCAACAAGGGCACATAATATGCCCAGTTCTGTTTATTGAACAATAAAAAAAATACAACATAAGGGTTGTGTATAAGATAGAAGTTTTGGATTATTTTTTTCCCCTATGCAAATTTGCGTCTTTGTGGGCCTCTCATTGGAGTATTTAATAATCAAATAACACAACCAATAACGCTATGAGAGTGGTGGTAAATTTAGTGTTACTAAAAAAATATAGTCATAAAAGAAAAAAAAATGCAGATATAGAAATAATTCCCTTCAACTAAAAATCTATCCAGTGTAATCCAAAAAAAATGTTTACAGCTCTATCCTATGTCTCACAGACAAAACCAATGCTAAAAAAAATGAACTCATATTAGCCAGAGACGCCATCAGCACAATATATTTTATTTAATTATTTTAAATAAAAATGTCAAAATAAATACAAAATAAAGTTTAAATATGGCATGATGGTATCAGTCTGCATTGATGGCACAAAGTGAAGGCACTAAGTTTACCATCACTATAAATTGCAGTTAGAATACAGCTTATACCTAGGGCACTCAGCTTCTACTCCAACCACACCTCTGTCAATAACCAGCAGCACTGAGAATGGAGCAAAATATCTTATTCACAAACTCTGTAAATGCCGATCTCACAACCAAAATGCTGCTGAAACTAAGAACAAAGCGTCAGCCCATGTTCTTGCGGTTTCCATAACCGCGACGATGATCATCCTTCCACTCTTCCCAGTTTCGAGCCTTCTGCAATGCTTCTGGATCATCGATCTCTTCCTTTCTCTCGCGCTCAGCTGCCTCCTGCTCCTCATCTGTACAAAAATAAATGGGGAAGTGGTCATAACTTGTATTGCTAATGCAAAAATATGATCCTGAGCAATGCTAAAATATGATCCTGAGAATTGCTAAGAATTCAAATTGAATTTCAATTGTAAGACCAAAATAGCCTAAATCAGGGGTTCTCAACCCAGCCCTCAAGGACCCCCTACCAGTCCAGGATTTAGGAATTACCCTGTTGTGTCTAAAGTGTTTGTACCCCCTACCCCTCTAAAAACCACATTAGACAATGCAGGATAATCCCTAAAGCGTGGACTGGTAGGGGGTCCTAGGACTAGGTTGAGAACCCCTGGCCTAAATGAACACATATCTGTAACAAGCTTCACTTTTGTGAGTACGTCTTCTCTGATTTCATACCCACCACCCTGGCAAAAGTTACTAAACTATCAGTATTCGATTTGTGTTTGTTTTATCATTATATCCTTACACTGACACACTGCAGACTGTGAGATCCCCCAAAAGAAGGCTAAGCACCGAAACATCATGGTTTGTAAGTCTCCAGCTCCAGGGTTAGTATACTCTTTGTTCTCTTATCTATTGGACCAGTTTAGTGAGCACTTTAGTGCCTGGATTTATGTAGCTTTCTAAACTGTGTAATTTTATTGCATGCTTTTGCACTTTATTTCTATGAATGTTTATCATATCTTGTTACTCATTAAAGGACCACCATAGACACCCAGACCACTTCAGCTCTATGAAGTGGTCTGCGTGCCAGGACCCCCTAGTTTTAACCCTGCAGCTGTAAACATAGCAGTTTCAGAGAAACTGCTATGTTTACATTGAGGGTTAATCCAGCTTCTGCAATTCTCAGTGTGAAAATCACACTGAGATGTCCCTGGGCGTCCATAGGAAAGCATTGAGTAATGCTTTCCTATGGGTGGTTTGAATTGCTGCGCATGTGCATTCGGCGCTGACGTCGGCAGGGGGAGGAGAGGTCACCAGTGCTGAGGGAGCCCGGTGCTGGATTAAGGTAAGTGGCTGAAGGGGTTTTAACCCCTTCAGCCCAGCGGGAGGAGGGCCCTAATAACCCTATAGTGCACCTTTAAAGATTTTTTCTATTCAATTTACTAAGGTGTACTTTGAGTTTATTTTCTTTACACTGCAGATGGTTATCCTGAACAATACGCTAGTAAATGCAAACATGAGATTTTCCTGTTAGGTGCAACCTTGTTTCTTTATTACATTTTCTGTACCTGTTTTAAATTTTTGGGTGAGGGAACCCGTAGTCGTCGTGTGTGCTCCTTATATCACTTCGATTTAGTGGTCTAGCACAATATTCACATTCATTTTTTTGCTATTTTCTATACAACTTAAAAATAGCTTATGAACTTAAGCCGGGAATCTTTTTAAAAGTCGAAAAATATATGTCTTAGTAAACAATATTCTTTATATAAAAATTGCCCCACGTACAAAATTAACCTCATAAATGGGTACTTACGTATATTTTAATGCAAGACCTACAATTTCAAGTTGTATGCTAGTAGGCAGGCCTTAAAAGTTACTCCCTACTGTCAGCTTAGAGGGTCCTTGACACAGTCGCTAGGGGTGACTTTTAAATCATCAGGCCAATTTACACTTTCCAGTAGTGAGTTGAAACTTTGAACTGTGTTAAATAGATGTGTTATAGGTGGGGTTTTTTTTGTTTGTTTTTTTTTAACAATGGGAATCCAAATGATTTTTCTGATAGTGACAATATTGATTAGCAGTGTTTATGAGGAAAAGGCAGATGTATGGACAGATCAGTGTTCATTACACATTCCAGTAAAAAGAGGAATTGTGGGCACACTCAGAAAATGCATTTCTCAGTAGTGGTGCTGCCATATAGACCAAAATTTATGCAAAATATAGTTAAAGAACAATGCACACACACACACACACACACACAAAAAAAAAAAAAAAATAGCTTTACAATTTACAAGGTTCCTTAAAAACATCTATCTTAGCAAACAAATATGGTTAATGCATCTTCCAGGAGTGCTACAATTCCCATTTTTTCTGTTTATATTTGGAATCCAGACTAGATTCCTTTAGGGACCCAACTCCTCCACCTATAGGTGATCCTTTGGAGGTGATCACAATATAGCCATATAGTAGAACTGAATCCCCACATTTGTTTGCTAAGATAGGTGATTTTAATGAGCCTTGTAAAATTTAAAGCTATATTTTTTTGTGTGTCTGCTGTTCCTTAATCTGTATTTTTCATGACATATTCCAGTAACATGCAATGGCTTAAGCTGCTGAAACATACCTCTTGGTTTACTGAAAACACCCTGGTCAGGCAAGACATTCTTTTCTCGATGTTGCTGATACCAATCATCCACAGTCATAGTGGGTAGGCTAGGATATCCTGCTCCCAACACCCTGCAAGGTAAAGCAGTCTCTATAATAACACAACTTGGGGAAAATGCATGCCGATTGCATTGCAGTTTCTGGCTGTCTAAAAGTTACAGAACTAATTCCAAATAGTCACCTTCAAGTATTCAAGCTTTTCCATAAAAGTAAATATTTTAGTTATTTTTTTATGTATTGTGTAACAGATGCTAGTGAAAAAAATAATGGCTCCTAAAATTATAAAAAGGTATAAAATTATCCAGGAAAACAGATGCAGAGACAAAATTAAAAAAAAATAATATACAGTGTATAGGAGAGATTTCTTACTTTGCCTGCACAGCATCCCGAGTCAAGATGAAAGGTTTCATGGGGGGTCTCGTTTGACGTGCTGGAGCGGTCATTTCATGTCCCTACAATATAACAAAAAAAATAAAGAAACAATCTGTTTAGAGTTGTGTCAGCCTATGAAAGAATGACTTAAGGAAACACTATAATCTGTATTCCTAATGCTATAGTGTCCCTCTCCCTAGCCCTAAATAGGTCTCTGCTACTAGAGCAAAAAAGTTTTTCTTAAAAAGTTACTGTCAGGAATACAACGGATCCAACACGCAGTATTAGTATCACACTTAGGAATAAGGGTAACGTCTAACCGGACCTTAGAATGGCCGGACTTACTGTACTAGAGAATAGTCGAAATACTAGCCGAGGTCAGAAATACAGAACGAAACACAGTTGCAAGAAATAGATTACAGGGAAGTCAGAACAAAGCCAAAGTCAATAACCAAAAAACACGATCAGGAACACACTCTCGGACAACAAGCAAAGGGAAACCATGACAGGGCAATGAGTAGAAGAAATGAGAGAGTTTAATTGTCCCTCCTGTGAATCAGATTGGGCGTATCTGGCCTTTGACCCCAAAACGTGCGCCCTCAGCGTGACATCACCCGCACGTTTACGCCGCTACCACCGTGGACAGACGTGAGGCTATATAACAGTGTGGATCTCATGCGGCCGGCATACACCTGTATGTCGCAAAAGCACAGTGTTATGGCATAGGACCGCCGAGCAGCACTTCTCTTACCCCTGGAAAGGTAATTAATGTTGTGTATTGCATATGGAGAGGATGCATACGTGAGTTACGTTTTGCAACCTTTTTCCCCAGCGCTGCTGACCTCTCCTCCCCAGCCAACATCATGGAGGAGGCCCTGCCTCCATTAGGGTCCAATCCAATGTGCCTCATAGACCGCCACTAGAAGTGCACAGAAAACCTGTGCTAGAGCGTCGCTGGATGTCCTCACGCTGTGTGAGGACCTCCAGCATCGCTCAATTCCCCATAGGAAAGCATTGAAAAGCATTTTCAATGCTTTCCTATGGGGAGCTCTAATGCGCATGCACGGCACTGCCGCGCATGTGCATTAGGTCTCCCCGGCCTGTGGGCGGGATCAGTCTCGCCCACTGGCCGACGTAGAGGGGACCCGCAGTGCCAGGAAAACGTATTGTTTTCCTGGCACTGGAGTTTCCCCTTTAACACAGCTATGTAAACATTGCAGTTTCTCAAAAACTGCAATATTTTGCAATGCATGGTTAAGGGGGACAGGGACACTGCTCTCAGACCACTTCAATGAGATGAAGTGGTGTGTGTGCCTATAGTGTTCCTTTCAGCTATAGGAACCAAAGTAAGATCTTCAGTTTTTGCTTCAAATACCAGATAATAAGTATTGGTGGCAAATAAAAAATTTGTTTAAAAAAAAAAAAAAAAATAAAAACAAGGGAGAAGAGCCAGTATGGAAAGAAGAAAATAGCATGGAACTGCCACTACCCCTTGAAAAGATAACATTCCTGCAGATTGTCAATGGCATCTAAATGTGTAGCAGGCAAGAATGATTACCATGCCCCTCTTGTGCCCATGTTACGCCAGAACCAACATATACACAGGATTGTTAAATAATCCAGAGTGCAGGATTTGTCACCTGGACATCAGATGGACTTACAGGTTCAGTGGACTTTAATATTCTATAGCAATAGTCTTAACTCAAAGAAATTTAATGTGATTTTCATGGGTCACAAACCCTGTTAAAGTTTCTTGATGGTCAACATATTATGTTGTTACTTTAAGCACACGATGACTAGGTGACAAGACTGCAGAAAAGGCTGCATTTGAAAAACATAACTTTCAGCATGCCAATCTAACAGAATGGTAGCACTACACAGCAACTATTTAATTTAGTTAATTTTTAACAGCGAGTAACATTCCCTGTTTGTTGGGCAGAAGTAGCATCCCCAGGATGTACTTGGAAACCAGAGTAATCTGAAAGCACCTTTCCTGGTTAAATACTTTGTTTTTATTATTATATGGCATGGTGGATTTACCAAATTGTATAAAAATGCAAAAACAAAAAAAATGTAATACTACCCTAATTTGTAGTTTATCCCCACAATTAAGCAGTGCCAACTCACAATTTTGATTCTCCTATAAACCTCTAAGAGAAAGTACAAAAAATCTAAAATATAGAAAATAATGGCTGTGCAGATGTTTCTGGGAAATGTACAAAATCTGTGCACATTCTAGACAAAATCTATGTTTTTTGTTTTTAAAATGTTAATGGAAGCCTTATAAATGAAACTGCTATGCAAACAGCTTTTGTACACATTCTCAATAAAATAAAATATTTTTAAAAAGCTAAGTGTGTAGTAAAGGTGCAATACAACTGCTGTGTCACTGCACACAACAAATAAATATGAATTTATCTTTCAAAACAGAAGACAGGAACAACTTCCAATAGCATAATTCCAACTTTATTGTAGCACACAGAACAGAGTCGCAATCACACGATTTGACCCGCCACAGGTCTTCCTCAAAGTGCATGAACAAACCAAAGTGAAGAAACAAGCCGGGGAAGGTCCTGTAGGTGTTAAGGGAGGTCTCTATTCCTGCCCTTAAGTCTGAGTTAACTCTGAGTGACTCAGCAGTATGTGAGTGGATCTATATTGTATTTATGTGTGATTATTGACACTCTGTCTTACTACACTATAAGCTGTTACTTTTAACTTCTGTACACATGTCTATGCTCAGTTATGCCATGTTAAGTTGCCTAACAATGGATACACAACAAAACTAGCTAAGTATAGGCTGAAAATATTCCCATGATCACCTACCTTCTTTATCATTTCCCTTGCCTTAACCATTGGTAGCTCTTGATCTATGCTCTCTATCTCCTCCAGGGCAGTACACACCCAACGCTGAAGCTGAAGAAGGTAAAATTCTCTGATTTGTTCTTCTTCTGCTGTGCCATGCCTTACACACTCCTGCAGTCCAGAAAGCCGGGTCTCGAGCTCCTTTCTCTGTTTGTACCTGGGATTAGATAGAAGCGCAATTTATTGATCACAGAGCCCTTATAAAACAGACTGATTCAGCAACATGGCTGCTTGCTTTAAAAAAGGATTACACGACAGTATGAATAGACATTAGAAGTATTGCATTGTTAAAAATGTCACAAAATAACCAAGATGCACTTTCAATAATAAGAAAGATACACTGGTCTTTCTTGAATAAAGTCTTGAAACCCACTAGAGAACATAACCTCGCTTTTAACTCTTGGTTTGAAGAAAGTTGATTTTCTTGTGCCAAGGATGTTCCTTGAATAATTCTTGACTCTAGGTGAGCACATCAACCTGTAGTTGATGTATTCATGGTTAGAGTTACCCAAAACATGGTAATAAAAAAAAGCTTTCTTTAGAAAGCTGGATTCTCTCCCTGTTGCAAAGAAATCCAGGTGATTTCTAAGGCAGTCATCTTCTTGTCCATGCGACTCGACAACCTGTCCAAGGTTTGCAGCATTTCTTATTGTTAAAAGTCACATCCTTTGCCTTTGACCACTGGACAGAAGAGAAGAAGTTCACAGCCATAGAATGTTCACATCTTCTCAAACTAAACACTCTGAATGAGCCTGTAATTTTCTTATAGTGTTTTTGACCATGAAAGGGACACTCTAAGCACCAAACTTATTTATGTTTTCTTTGATAAGTGCTATATGTTAGGTCTGTTTTCTCTTTTTATAAATTTCTACTTGATGAAGCCTATTGTGGCGAAACGCGTATAAGATCTTTTTATATAATCTAAGTGTTAATAAAGGAATATTGGGCTATTATACATTTGGTTGCCACATTCCTCTTTCCACCTTAGAATTACATTACTTTCTTTTAGTATAATTTTATTATTTTCAAGTTTATTTTATTCAGACCTGACTACTACTACATTTTTGTCTATATTGGAGTACCAATAATCCTAAATAATCCTAAAGTGGGGATTATACCACCCATACGCCATCCACCGAGCATATTCTGTTTCTACATTTTATCAACTATACAGTGAGCACTATATATTTTATCCTTTTACTACTCCACCAAAGTACTCTGCTAAAGAACAAACGAGGAGCACCGTATATCCTTGAGTGGGGATTATTCCACTCCGTGCCATTTATACCAGAGCTGGATTTAAGCTCTGAATATTGTGAGTAGTTCTACTATTATATATACAATATTATTTACCGTTCATACTATGCCATTGGAGTTTCCCTTGTCTTCTGTTTTCTTCACATATCCACTTTGAAGCTGCAGATATACATCTGGGACTTCACATACCATTTTATGTACCACTAGGACTACCTCCTACATTTGTAGACTATTAACATTCAGACTTTTTTTAGGTATCGCTGCTTGTACTCTCTGATATATTTTTTTATATATTCATTCTACTTGTCTTAGGCGCACCTTTATTTGTTCTTTTCTCTCCATTGTATTCCAAGGGGCTTAGAGTGGATTCCCCTGTTCCATAGGTGTGCTGCCTTGCTGTCATATTCTCTGTTTTCCTATCAGCGCTGAACCTCCTTCCTGATCTCGATTACACCAAACTTATTGTAGCTTAATGAAGTGGTGTTGGTGTATAGACCATGTCCATGCAGTCTCCATTATCAATTCTTTGCAATTTAGGCATTAAATCACTTTGCTTATGCAGCCCTGGCCACACCTACCCAGGGTGAGACTTACACAGTCTCCTTACATACTTTATGAAAAGAAGAGTCTAAATTGATTAGCTTCCCATTATTGCACAGGAAACTTAGAATTTATTTTCTTTTGCTACATTAATAGCCTGCTAGAGCCTATTGCAGGCTCTTGTACTTGAAGTTTGATTAACAAAGCAGGAGTTAACAGCACACTGTGCTTTAAGATCTGATTTACAATTAAAACTTTTTTTTCATGGAGGCTGTTTGCGTCAAAGCTAGGGAAGGTATGGCTGGGGCTGCATAAACAGAAACAAAAGTGAGTTAAAGCCTTAAAAAGCAGAGAAGTCAACAGTTATAATGCAGGGACAAGAGCTACTACTTCATTAAAGCAGATCTGTAACTTTCATATTTTGCAAAGAACCGTGAAAGTGACAGATTCGGTGTGGGTCTGGTGGCCGTGGGGTAAAGGAGAAGGTAAGTTTTACTCACCAAAAAATGTCCCTCGCAATCACTGCAATTTTCCTCCAACAGGTCCTCTTCAGCTCCTGGCGTTTTAGTTGCCAGCAGTAAGATCTCTGCATGCATGAGAGGACAACACAGATAAATGGAGGATCCCACAGGAACCTCCATAGATAGAGCCTGAATGCTTGGATTGGATAAAAGGTGACGGCAGAACTATGTCTCTTATCAATGTCAGGTTTGGCCATAAAATAAAGAAGTCGCTAATTTGCCTTATGGTATCTTTGGATTATGCAGTCTTGATCAGTATTCCATAAAAAAATATATCTTTATGAAATACTGAAAAGTGAGAGATCCACTTTAAGCTAAAGATGTTTGGGAGCTTTGACTGTCCCTTTAACTTTTTTTCTTTTGTAAGGAAAATCGTTTCTAACAAAGAGTATGAGTAGTCTTAGGAAGGGTATTCTCTGCGTTGGAGATCTATCCTTTTTCTTTTTACATTCACGTTGCTGAAGACACCCCTTCCTTCCTGAAAAGTTTGTATTTTATAAAGATACAATCTTTATGAAATGCTCATTATGATAGTGTTGGAATTTCATTGATATTCCCACCCAATCAGGAGATATACAGAGATAAAGTAGGGACTACTATGTCTCTGTATTTCTCCTTCACTTGACTTTCTGAGACTCAGGGCAGCATCTAAGTGTCAATCACAACAGCCGTCACCAGTGGATGCTGCCAAATTCACAATACACAGGTGTAATGTAACCAGTTTGCAAACCAAGTGCTTTCACACTAAAATCAGTGTGTTTGTTCTTACTGAAAGATCCATAGGTCTGTAGAGTACAACATTATTGGTCTTACCTCTCGATCTTTGCTTGCCTCTGTAAAGCCATAGCTGTTAGATTTGGATTTGATGTTGGATGCGCAATGTGGTGCGAGTTTTCTTCTGCATTAGAGTTTCTGCCCTTCTGTTGAGGAAGATTGAATGCAGAGACTTTGTATTCATGGCATCGCTGTAAGAAGTCCATAAAATAAGTGCGGGCAGTCTCTAGGTGATTTAGTCTTTGAGTGAGGCCAACTTGCTTTAAGGTCAAAGCTCCTTGTAAGGCTGGCAAGAGCAAATACTTTATATCTGCCGAAGAAATCTCATCTAAGTCCTCATTACGGCTGGGAAAAACAAAATAAATAAATAAAAACAATACATAACTACGTGTAAATTTAATATATTATAAAAATGAAAAGCAGATGATGCAACCCCAGTGTATAAATTTAGTGGGAAAATGAATCTGAAATTCAGCTCATGCAGCCACATTATTATAAAATAAAGAGAGTAAACCAGGGGTGGCCAAAGGGTAGCACCTCCACCACCAGCTATTGCATAAGTTTGAGGCTGGCAAACCATATCTGTAATTAAAACACTTTTAGTATATATAGTCAGACTCTTGTTTAATGCCTCCCCAGAACATTTTATATATTTATATTGGGAACATAATGAAATGAAAGGTTGCAAACTACACCAACTCTGGATCTTTCTCAAACTTCCCACTAACATGACCATCATGGTAACTATGACACACTTTGATGAGGCCTCCCAGGAGCCCAATCCCAGGGAGGTACCTGAACAGATCTAGCTGGGTCACCATTCGCACAGCCTGCTCCAATGCCACCAGGCCTTGTTTCACTTTGTCTTGCACCTCACGGGATCCACTTGGCTCACTGGACCCGTCCAGTTCTTCCAGTGACCGCCATCCTTTCTCTAGGAGTTCAGACAGCTTCGGTCCATCAGACTGCAAGTATTCCGCCATCTTCAAGAAACATGTCTGATCCACACCGGCTTCCGTAGCCGGACGTTACGCACTGATGTCGCCATATTGCGTGTGGCAATCGGAAAACCGATCGGATCCGTGGTCATCCCTTTGAGTTCCAGCAGAGGGCGCCACGTCACTGTCAGATATTCAGATATATTTGTGTATCCGTTTGCTATTTTCTACTGAATGCTTTACAATGGCAAAATGCAGCTGGTGAACATTTACGTTTTAATTCATGCATTAGACATTTTACATTTGTTTTATTTCTCTTATTGTATGTATTGCACTTTATGAAGCAGGAATAAATAGTTGCTTGGTTTTTTTTGGCGTTGGGGGGGAGGGGGTGGAGGTTGGGGGTGATTTAAAAAAGTTGGAGTACTTGTCAACTGTGAGGGAGACATGCATAGATTATTATGATTATCATTTATTTCTATTTAGTATTATCCACTTATTTCTGACAATTCTTAAAAGGTTACTGCAAGAACCATGATCACGTCACTGATTTGAAGTGGTGATGGTGCTTAGAGTCTCTATGTGTTGCGTTTCAAACCGAAACTTTGCTGCCAGAGGTTTAACACCACTTCTGGTAGCATCATAGGGGCCATGCCTGGGCCTTATACTGCATAACAAGAATAATCTAATTCCACAGCACCAGTTTCTCTGAGGCTCCTCAATCTAAACATCTGGTTCATTCATAGAGTCTGTAGCGAGAAGAGAGGGGACTGTAGCAGGGTGATAGGGGCTGTAGCAGAGGGATAGGGGGCTGTAGTGTAGCAGACAGGTGACTGTAGTGTAGGGGTTTAGTGGCTGTAGTGGGTGGTTTGGGGCTGTAAGTAGTGGGTTAGGGGCAGGGATCAAGTCCTGGGGGGAAAAGTGTGGGAACTCACCCAATATTCCTGCCCCCTCTCCTCAAAAAAAAGTACACTCCTATGCATATAGTGCAGTGCAGGGTGTGTATAATGAATGTAGTGTGTTTGTAGTGAGTGCAGAGTGTGTATAATGAATGCAGTGTGTGTAGTGAGTATAATGAATGCAGTGTGTTTGTAGTGAGTGCAGAGTGTGTATAGTGAATGTAGTGTGTTTGTAGTAAGTGCAGAGTGTGTAATGAATGCAGTGTGTGTAGTGAATGTAGTGTGTTTGTAGTGAGTGCAGAGTGTGTATAATGAATGCAGAGTGTGTATAGTGAATGTAGTGTGTGTAGTGAGTGCAGAGTGTGTATAGTGAATGTAGTATGTTTGTAATGAGTACAGAGTTTGCATAATGAATGTAGTGTGTTTGTAGTAAGTGCAGATTGTGTATAATGAATGTAGTGTGTTTGTAGTGAGTGCAGAGTGTGTATAATGAATGTAGTGTGTTTGTAGTGAGTGCAGAGTGTGTATAATGAATGCAGTGTGTGTTGTGAGTGCAGTGTGTAGATGAATGTAGTATGTTTGTAGTGAGTGCAGAGTGTGTATAATGAATGCAGTGTGTGTAGTGAATGTAGTGTTTGTAGTGAGTGCAGAGTGTGTATAATGAATGCAGAGTGTGTATAGTGAATGTAGTGTGTGTAGTGAGTGCAGAGTGTTTATAGTGAATATAGTATGTTTGTAATGAGTGCAGTGTGTATAGTGAATGTAGTGTGTTTGTAATGAGTGCAGAGTGTGTATAATGAATGTAGTGAGTGCAGAGTGTGTATAATGAATTCAGTGTGTGTAGTGAATATTGTGTGTTTGTAGTGAGTGCAGAGTGTGTGTAATGAATGTAGTGTGTGTGTAGTGAGTGCAGTGTGTGTATAATGTGTGTGTGCTGGATGAAGTGTGTGCTGGGTGATGTGTGTGTGTGCTGGCTGATGTGTGTGTGTGATGATGTGTGTGTGCTGGAAGATGTGTGTGTGTGTGTTGGATGATGTGTCTGTGTGTGTACTGGATGATGTGTCTGTGTGTGTGCTGGATGATGTGTGTGTGAGTGTGTGTGTGTGCTGGATGATGTGTGTGTACTGGATGATGTGTGTGCTGGATGATGTGTGTGTGATGATGTGTGTGTGTGTGCTGGATGATGTGTTTGTGTGTGTGTGTGTACTGGATGATGTGTGTGTGTGTGCTGGATGATGTGTGTGTGTGTGTGTGTGTGTGTGTGTGTGTGTGTGTGTGTGGATGATGTGTGTGCATTTTTTTACAATTTATGTGTTTATATATTTTTATTTTATTCCCCCCTCCCTGCTTCTTACCTTGTCAGGGAGTGGGGAGATCGCCTGGTAGTCCGGTGGTATGGTGGGGGGAGCCAGCCGCTGCACACGGGGGCCCAGCACACTCTGTGTTCCCTCTCCAGCTCTAACTCTTGCAAGACTCGCCTGCGTGCTGTGCGGAGCGTTGCCATGGTAACCCGTGTCAACGCTCTGACAGCCTCGGGTCTCGCGAATGTGAGCTGCAGCTGGAGAGGGAACACAGTGTGTGCTGGGCCCCCGTGTGCTGGTAGCAGGGCAGGTCCTGCAGGATCACTAGCGGGAATGGCATTCCTGCTTTGGAAAAAGTGCAGGAACTGCGTTCCTGCAGGATTCGAGCCCTGGTTAGGGGTCTGAAGTAGCAGGATAGGGGGTTGAAGTAGAGGCTTAGGGAGCTGTGTTGGGGTAGGGAAGGGGCTCTATTCAGATGAAATGACATTCACATACAAATACACACACACACAGATAACCTATTCCTACACAGGCACACACACACAGATACATACACATATTTACACATACGCACAATGGCACACACATGTATACATACACACGCTGTCACACACACAGTGATTTACAATACACACACTGTCTCTCACACACACACACACACACAGATAAATACACACACACTGGCACACAAATACACACAACTACACATACACACACTGGCAAACACAAAAATATATACACACAGATACACACACACACATACACACACTGGCACATGCACAAAGACAAACACACATACCTACACATACACACTGGCGCACACACACACACACAGATGCAGACACACATATACACAGTTTACACACTGGCACACACACATACATGCACACAGGGCCGGACCGGTAAAAAAAATTCGGCCCGGGCATTTTTCAATCACAGCGGCGCCCCTGAGAAGGTGGCGGGGCCAAAGAAGGTGTGTTTTGTCATGAATAATGACAAGCACGCCCCCTCTCAAAGTGAGCATGTTCAATGCTGAAGAGCTCAAGCATGGGAAAAAGGCCCTAAATTTGTTCTGCGCAGCGCAAGCAAATTTAATAACATGCTTGCGCTGTGTTTGCTTTTAATTGTCTCTGGTGTCTCCATAAGTGGGATACCAGAGGACAAAAAGGCCCGAAAAGCGTATGGTGCATGTGTTTAGAGCCTGCTTGTGGGATTGCATGTGTGTAGAGTGAGCTGATTGTGGTATGGTATTGTGTAAATAGGTCAATTTAATTTGTGTTTGTGGTGTAATATGTGTGGCTAGGGGCTGTAGAGAGTGTGTGTGTGTGTATAAGGGGCATAGTGTGTATAGGGGATGTAGTGAGTGTGTGCATACAGGCTATAGTGTGTGTGTGTATAGGTGACAAAGTGTGTGTAGGGGTTGTAGAGAGTGTGTGCATGGGGGATCCAGAGTTTGTATGTGTGGCGAAACCGGCCTCGCCACGTGTTCTTGGAGGGGGCTGCTTGCCCGCCTCTTGCCTTTGGACTATGGACCAGACTTTATGTGAATGTATTAACCCAGATAGCTATGCCATGGAGCCCATTCGTGTAGTTAAAGACTTCGGCTCCATGGCAATTGAACTGTGTGAATAGGATCTGAGCGCTATTCGGTAGTTTTGTGCGCTCAGATCCCAGCTATCTGGGGATATGTGACATGTCTGTGTTTTATGTATAAAATGTGACTTTGTGTTTTTTATAATATTTGAATGCTTTGTGCTCACCATGTGCATAATGGAGTCTTGTGTCTGTCCTGGGAGATAATTGAATTACTTCTCAATTCAATCTCCAGGATAGAAGACTCTGAAACTGGTTTGGGCCGGAAAGCCATGCTTCATTTAGTCACAAAGGACTTTCCCTTAACTTTTGAACCCCTGGTCTGATTCGTGCCATTTTTTAATATGTTGTTCCCCTGAATGGATTGATTATGAAAATGTATGCTTTATGTTTGTGACATGTATATTTTAGAAGTTATAAATATTTTGTAAAAACTGTATTCCTCTGCTGGTGATAATGAGATTACCCATTGTGTTCAGTAATCATATCACAGGCAGAGGGGAGGAGTTTGTGTGGGAGTGTCTGGGTGTATTGTACGGATTGATTGGTTGTTTTGTAACGCCCTGTGGGCTGTACTATGTTTGTGGATTGGGAATAAAAGAGACTGTATGTGACAGTACAGGGAGTTCCTGTTTTAACCCTCAAAGTGAAGTGTCGTCTCATTATTGGGGGAAGGATTTATTGTATGCTGTTCCAGTTTGACTGCTAGGAGAGTAAACCTATTCGTATGGTTCCTATTCAACTGTCTACAGCATTCAAATGCTTGAGAGGATTCATATGCTTCTCCGGTTCGGTGGTTGTGGTGTCTGCTGCAGTGCTTGGAGTCCTCAGGAAGCGCTGGGAGCATCCTTTAACGGAGGTACCCAGTCGGGGTGCCAGGTGATCCGTTACATCGGTGGCAAGCGGTGGGATGGTGTCCTAGTGCGAGGTAAAGCAGCTCAGAGACACAGTTCGTGGATTTACAAATTAAAGGCGACGCTAGTGTTCATACAGCGTCCCTGTCTACATAAAAATTTTGGAAAATGGGGTTCGTGGACCCCTGGGCAACACACACACCTGAGGAAGAGAGTGAATTAGACTGGAGAGATATCGCTCGGAAAGAATTATGGTACGATGCCCTGGAGGAAGTCCAGTATCAATGGCAGCAGCGCCTTCCTGGTGTCGCATACCAGTTGGAGGAACAAATGGCCTGGCAGATGCCGCTTCTGGGAGACCAACCCGGAGGGCAGCAGGTCAGACAACTTGAGTACCTCGTGGAACGGGAACTGAGCCTTGACGCCTCATACCGGGCACTGTGGTGGTGCACTGTCCAGCCAGAGACGTGGAGGGCAGAGGGCATCCAGCCAGAGGGGGAGAACTACACTAGCCCCGGCCTGTTGTGGAAGGCCTTAACAGAAGACGTCGACTTTGGCAGTCCAGCAGAGTCACGGTACTGGGCTATCTTTCATTACTGAAGTGAGATGTTACAGGGCCCGAGATCTATTGGACTAGGAGAAGACATCCGCCGTTTCGCTGCCATGGAACGAGAGCTAGAGATGGACTATGTGGAACTACTGAACTCATGTCAGCCGCAGAGCATAGACGCAGAACAGGAAAACTGGGTGGCGGACCCAGACCTGCCAACCTACAGCTGGGAAAACGCAGCCGAGGTCCCCACTGCTTCACTACCAGTTGCAGAAGTAGGGGACCTCATAGACTGGTCCTGGGAAGACCTACCGATGGCAGGTAGAGATGGGACGGCTGTCTCTCTACCGGCCCTACAGGGATGCTGGGCAGTTGGCCAAGATCCCCAGCGGCAGTATGTATCCCAGGGAGCTGAAGGTGTCGTCCTTCCTCCCCAGCGGCAGTGTGTACCCCAGGGAGCAGAAGGTGCTGTCCTTCCTCCCCAGTGGCAGTGGGTATCCCAGGGAGCTGAAGGTGTCGTCCTTCCTCCCCAGCTGCATTGTGTACCCCAGGGAGCTGAAGGTGCCGTCCTTCCTCCCCAGTGGCAGTGGGTATCCCAGGGAGCTGAAGGTGCCGTCCTTCCTCCCCAGCGACAGTGTGTACCCCAGGGAGCTGAAGGTGTCGTCCTTCCTCCCCAGCGGCAGTGTGTACCCCAGGGAGCAGAAGGTGCTGTCCTTCCTCCCCAGCGGCAGTGTGTATCCCAGGGAGCTGAAGGTGCCGTCCTTCCTCCCCAGCGGCAGTGTGTACCCCAGGGAGCTGAAGGTGCCGTCCTTCCTCCCCAGCGGCAGTGTGTACCCCAGGGAGCTGAAGGTGCCGTCCTTCCTCCCCAGCGGCAGTGTGTACCCCAGGAAGCAGAGACCATCTGTCTCGCACCCCAGCCACAGGACAGAGTGTTGAAGGGGGAGACAGTTGGTCCCCCTCTCCACCAGCAAAGAGAGTGTCAGGGAGAGGAGCAGGTTACCCCCTCTCCCCAGCGGTAGTCTACAGTTCAGAGAGAGGAGCTTGTTACACCCTCTCTCCAGCGGCAGCCTAGCCCACCAAGGGGAGATGTTAAGCCCCACAACTATGCAGATGGGACCGTAGTCTCTGCACTTGCAGCACCAGGGGTAGGGACGGTCGGTCCTGTCCCCCAGCCACAGAGCAGTGTATCCAGAGGGGAGACAGTCGGTCTCTCCCTCCCACAACCAGGCTCCAACCAGTGGCGGATCCAGAGCCTGATCTCGGGAGGGGCACTTGTAGATTATTTAAAGAAATAATCCAGACACAATAACCACTACAGCTCAGTGTAGTGGTTATGGTGTCAATAGTGCCGGGACCCCCTCCCACAGTAAGCAGTCAAACCGTTTAAGAACAGTTTGACAACTTACCTGAGATCTGCTGGGAAATGGGGCTGTAGTAGGGTATAGGAGCAGTGGTGTGTGTGAGTGGTGCAGTGTGTGTGTGTGTGAAGGTTGTAGTGTGTGAGTGAGGGCGGCAGTGTTTGTCAGGGATGCAGTGTGTGTAACAGTTGCAGTGTGTGTGAGTATTGCAGTGTGTGTGTATGTGGGGCAGTGTGTGTGTATGGGGGGCAGTGTGTGTGTATGGGGGCAGTGTGTGTGGGGGCAGTGTGTGTGTGTGTATGGGGGGCAGTGTGTGTGTGTATGGGGGGCAGTTTGTGTGTGTGTGTGGGGCAGTTTGTGTGAATGGGGGCAGTTTGTGTGTATAGGGGCAGTTTGTGTGTATAGGGGCAGTTTGTGTGAATGGGGGGCAGTTTGTGTGTATGGGGGGCAGTGTGTGTGTGTGTGGGGAGCAGGTTTGTGTGTATGGGGGCAGTTTGTGTGTATGGGGGCAGTGTGTGTGTATGGGGGCAGTTTGTGTGTGTAGTAGGGGGCAGTTTGTGTGTGAATGGGCGGGGCAGTTTGTGTGAATGGGGGGGCAGTTTGTGTGAATGGGGGGCAATGTATGTGTGTGTGTGTGATCAGGGTAGGGTGGCTTTTTTTTTATAATATAATATTTTTTAATTTAATTAAAAAAAATATATATTCTATTTTCCTGGTGGTCCCAGTGGTGATTCATTGGTGGTCAGGTGGTGAGAGGTGGTCAGGTGGTAACCGCGGCAACGCTCCAAATCTCGCGAGAGGAGGACCCGGAGGAGCTGCAGTCTGAGCTCCCGGGTCCTCTCTCCTCCGTCTCCCTCCCCTGCCGCCGGCCGCCAGCACAGTGCCTGCGGACCGGGGAGGGAGAGCTCTGATCTCCCCTCCGGTCCGCAGGCACATCGCAGGGCTGGCAGGGGAGGAAGAGGGAGACCGTCGGATTTCTCGGGGGGTGCAATTGCCCCGTTGCCCCCCCCCCGGATCCGCCACTGGCTCCAACCAGGCTACTTCAGTGGTAGTGCTGGCACCCGGGCAGAGTACCGCTGGTCTCTGCCCACTCAGCAACCCACCAAGGCAGTCTACCAGCCCCCCGCACAGCCGTGGTGAGGCACCTGGACATGGACAAGTTGCTATTTTATCCAGGTGTAGTAACCAGTTATTGTGGGTGGGCTGTATTGTTGTTTGTGCTTCGTGGGTGGGTTGCTGGACTAACCAGGGCACTGACCGGCAGGAGGTCAGATACCCTGTTAGTCTGGATCGTAAAGGGGAGAAATGTGGCGAAACCGGCCTCGCCACGTGTCCTTGGAGGGGGCTGCTTGCCCGCCTCTTGCCTTTGGACTATGGACCAGACTTTATGTGAATGTATTAACCCAGATAGCTATGCCATGGAGCCCATTCGTGTAGTTAAAGACTTCGGCTCCATGGCAATTGAACTGTGTTAATAGGATCTGAGCGCTATTCGGTAGTTTTGTGCGCTCAGATCCCAGCTATCTGGGGATATGTGACATGTCTGTGTTTTATGTATAAAATGTGACTTTGTGTTTTTTATAATATTTGAATGCTTTGTGCTCACCATGTGCATAATGGAGTCTTGTGTCTGTCCTGGGAGATAATTGAATTACTTCTCAATTCAATCTCCAGGATAGAAGACTCTGAAACTGGTTTGGGCCGGAAAGCCATGCTTCATTTAGTCACAAAGGACTTTCCCTTAACTTTTGAACCCCTGGTCTGATTCGTGCCATTTTTTAATATGTTGTTCCCCTGAAAGGATTGATTATGAAAATGTATGCTTTATGTCTGTGACATGTATATTTTAGAAGTTATAAATATTGTGTAAAAACTGTATTCCTCTGCCGGTGATAATGAGATTACCCATTGTGTTCAGTAATCATATCACAGGCAGAGGGGAGGAGTTTGTGTGGGAGTGTCTGGGTGTATTGTACGGATTGATTGGTTGTTTTGTAACGTCCTGTGGGCTGT